TTATAAGTAATTATATGAGTATTATTATTGATGTCCATACTCTGTATTAGCCATCTTGTTATCACTATACAAGATGCAAATGCTATCACTAACACATTCTTAGTCGTTACAGTATTCCCACTCTCAGTATCATTATTATAAAAAGCTACTATATTCGCTATTACCATTATCAAGCTTATCACTGTCATCAATATGTTAATTATATTCATATAATTACTTATAAAAACTGTACAAACTCTCATTACCGCTATTGATAAACTACCTCACACCACATAGACCTGTTTCCAGAATTCACATATAGAATCACACTTATATCATTAACACTGTTGATGTAGCCATCATAATTTTGTTAATGATCATTCTATCAAACATTTCATATTCATTCTTCAATGAACTCCTTATATTTATTACTATAGCCGCTACTTCAATAAATATTATTAACATAACTAAAGCTATTGGTGTTATCTTATTCATTTGTTCTTGTCTTTCTATTCTGTTTTTTATATTTATTAATTCTGATTTGTTACTTTCATCGGGAAAATTTTCGAACAATTTATTAAATTTTGTCTCTAAATCATTATTTTTGTGCTTGCTCATAAATTCATATATTGTATTGCGGACAAGATGGTCGGAATCCTTGCTTTTTATTTTCAAACCAATTTTAAGCATTGATACCATATTCATGAACGATTCGGTATTATTCATATCTATGCCAGTTATATATTGGCCTAGATGTTTTAATAACCATACTTTTACCCATACATTAAGATATTCAGTACCTTTATAAGTATTTGTAATTTCTACAAAATCATCAAAATTAAAAATACGCCTTTATCTATAACCGATTCGGCATTCTTATCTTTCTTCAACCTTTCCATTTCCATTTTCAAAAAGAGTTTTAACGTAGATTTGGTTTCACCAGAAATATTTGGCTTAAGATTAGAATCATCAAGATCGGCAACACAATTAAAAAAATATTTAGTGCCTTATAGTTGTGTATTATATAACGATTGCCAAATTTGCTTTGTAATGCCTTAAAAAAAATTTCTCTTCGATCATAAGTCTCAAAGTATTTGTTAAGAAACACCTTTTTATCTCTTCAAATTCATCATGCTTCAAAAAGTCCATGAAAATTTCAACCGTTATAGTATTATTCATGAGATTTTCCTGATTGCCATTACTGTTTTTATCCTTAAAAACATTAATTATCTCGATTACTTAATCTTCATTATTTTCTATATGATAAGGGTTGTTCCGTTTTCCACATTATATTCTAATTCACTATGCATTTGCCATATTCATACAATTTCATTCTCACTCAATACGCTTGAATTATATACACACTACATACACTACACATATATAGTCATGCCAAACACATATATAAATACAATCTAACAATCATTTATTACTCATCACACACATAATATTGCTCACCATATTATTCATATTATGTCACATCCAAAATATCTTGCATACTTCGATTTTCTTGTTGATTGCAACTTCTCATTAACATCTTTATCCATAAATATCAACAAAAACAATATAATCGCCATGATCCACTACTTTCCATCATTCCTCATATACTCCACAATATTACTCATCACGTTATCTTTAACATTTATTTCAAACTCTTATCATTAATTACCTAATTCGCTTACATTACCTGATTATGTCCACTATCATCACTTGCTTTTTGTAACAACTTTTCTTTCATTACGTTAATAAACTCTTTTATAATTCTATTGTAAGTATTCTCAGAAAGTTCCTTATTACCATGCATTTCAGTAAAGAATAAATCACATATCATATTAAGTGTTATTCCATTAACAATTTCTCAATATCCATCATTAGATATGGTTTTTTAATCATTCAATTGTTCTTGGCTTATACAACTTAATTTTTTATTCTGATTATATATATTACATATTTCATCATATAAATAGCTAAATTTCTTCCTATCAATTTCCATCATAAGCGTATGGTAGGCTTTATGAACTCTTCATCGACCACATCATATTTATCCTCTTCAGATCCACTATAAATCATGATCTCAAGTTGTTTAATCACAAACATTGCTTTAATCGTTCTGAGAATATTTGATTTATGTTTTTTACTACACTTCAGCTCGTTCTTTTCTATGCTATCTATTATTCCTTTTATTTCATATATATCACTTTAAAAAATATAGATCAAATAATTAGTTAATATTCTTTCACGCTTTTCTTTATCATCCTTCTTATGTTGATCCAATACATTCCCAACCTGCATAATTCTAAACACATTCATAACCATATTTCTCTCACCGCTATCTTTCATAAAATTCACCAGAGGTTGTACCATCCTTAGATATCTACAACAGGCATGCTTATCATTAGAACACTCTTTCAGTCCTTTATATAAATTTCCTTATTTCTTTAACAAATCATTGTTATTATCATTACATGCATTACTCAATTCACGTAATTTTGTTTTAATCCAATTGAGGCAAGTTTCTGCTCTATTCTTCTTATCATCACTTTTCATCTTCAAGAATCACTGCATATACATACATAACAACATGTGACCAGTCATGTATTCATTGTTCCTTTATTCCACTCAATAATCACATATTCAAGTAACCATTTGCATATACCTCCTTACTTCGTTATTTCTTTATTTCACATACTTACACAAATACATCCAATTAATAATTATTCGTTTATTCTGTCATCTATGATTTACTATCATTTAATACTTTAATATTACCTTACATCATTGTTTATTGTTCCAATAATTTACATATTTTCATCTATTACTCTACCATTGTAATACTCTACTCTTCAATCATCAATAATCTCATTCAAATGCATTCTCTGCATCATAACCAGTGATTGTTACTACAACTACAACAACTAATCCAAATGCATTCGCAATCGTACCATTTATGGACTTACCTAATATCTCACTATCATTCTTATTCTCACCATCTTATAATTCTACCATCATTCTTCCTAACATCATCAATTGTATCATTCTTACCATCCTATTATTGTAGAATTTCATTATTCACTGGATTATCCTTTACTATATACACAAATACCTTATCATCACATCTAGATACAATATAATAATCATTCATTCCTTTGTTATTCACACAAAGTATTATGCTGCTTGAGGTTCGCTAATGTCATCTGCTACCAGAATTGCTTGTTGTGGGAGACTCTATATTTATAATAGTCGATACCAACAGAAGTAGTACAATAACTATAATCACATATTTTTCTCCAAATATCATAATATATGTGATTACAAGCTCCAGTTGATTTGAAAATCCTTCATTCAACATAATAATTAACTTATTATCTTTTTGTAGAGCATCTTGTGCATTTATTATCGCAGCTTAATTATCATTGTCTTTGTTTTCAGATGCACCATCATGTACTCCTATCTGATTTATTAGATTATTTTTTGTTTTATTATTAGAATAAACTCTGTGATTATGGAATTCAAATGCTGCTTATCTGTAAATATTTCACTGTCCGTTTTTTCATTTGTAATACATCCAATAATATCATACATGCCATTTCATCATTATTCAATTCATCTTATGGCTTTTCAATTTGATTTATTGGTTGCATTGTGTCATTATTTATACTATGTATTGCATAACATACAAAATTAAACATTTCATTCTTATTCCTTTTTGAAGATTCGCAATAATACCTAAAGCTGCCTTCATAAATTCATAATTCTTCTTTTAGATCAATTTATCATTTGAATTTTGTTCGGGATTTATCACATTACTAATTACCTTAATTGCTATTCTATAATTAAGATGTGTATTAAATTTTGTATTACTGTCTTATCGTTTTTCTTAATCTTAAATTTAGCCTGTACTATTTGTATATCTGTATTATACTTCAATTTCTCTACAAATTTCATGTCGTTTATAATATCAGATATTAAAGTTTTATGATCACTTTTCACGATTTCCTTTATATTCGTTAGAAAAATTTTGTCCATACAGTTCAATATATTTATTTGCTAATCTATCAGACTCAAGGCAGTTCAATATATTTGCTGCTTTTGAAGGCTTAAAAAGTGTTAATGTATTTGCTGAACGTTCAGGCTCAACGTATTCCGACAATATCATTGCTGCAATTTTGTGATCTTCGATACGATTCAACACTTCTGCCATATTAATATCTAATATATCATTGCATATCTCTCTTGTCTCTTTCTCATTAATATAGTTCAGCATTCTAGCCACACACAGATATTCCTTTTGATCTAATAGCTTTTTACTAACGATTTAAATTCATCTTCCTCTTTCATAACATTGACTACTTCTTCAATCATTATCACATCTAATGCATTAACGACTTCTTTTATCGTTTTTAACACCTTAAATATCTTTGCTATTTGATATATACCTTTTTAATTCCTCAACATTATTAAAAACGCATCCTTTCCTATCAATTCAGATTTGTTTGCCACATCTGGTAGCCCATAAAGTATAATGCTAGCTACATTATTATATCTAAGACTAAAAAACATCTTTAAGTCTATTATCCTACCAGCGCCATTGTTCTCAATAAGTCATCATAATCTTTAGTCTCAATCAAAATACTTATAATATAAAGAGTCGCTTTTTCTTTACATTTTTTCACCAATTCTCTCAATATACCTTCATCTTTAATCTCATTCAATACACGTCCTAATCCGTCATTTTCATTCCGAAGATGTTTTATTAATCTTGCTTTTGCTATTTCTAATTCATTTCGATTCTTAATCACATTAATCACCTTCGCTAATCCCAATGAACTGGTATTATTCAGCAGATATTCCAGTTGGCCCTTCTCTGTTACATATCTCACTATACTTTCAACATAATTGGATGATTTAAAATAGCCCATCACATTTGCCACTTTTCGAACAATTCTTTGTATCTTCTTATTGCTAATAAACCAACCTCCAATTATACTTTCCACAAAATATTTGGTTATCAACCCTGGGCAAATCACTTTCCCATCCTTTGATTTCACTCCATTCACTATAAAGTCCCGTTCATGCTCATTATATCCTCTAGAACATACCATATCCAATACTTTCTCTTTGCCTACATAATCAATATGGTTTTTTAAAAAATATACAATAATATCTTATCATCATCAATGTTAACTACATGATGAGCTATAGAATTTGTATAATCCAAATCATCATCCACATTCTTAACACCATTTTTATCAAGACATGCACAAAACAATATACACAACGATTTAGGTAACGAATCATATATACTTTTAATCATTTCTTTTTTCATGTTATTGAATATTTCATTTGCTGTATTTTCATCTTTTGTTAGATATACATGCTTAAAAACAGACCGCATTAGATTATCTTCTGCTTTTGATGACTTCATTGATGATATACAACGAACTTTATCTTCATCTGACTTTTTCATATATTCCTGTATCCAATCCTTTACTTTTTGATCAATTACTGCTTAATTCATCTATATACAAGGGCAGTATCATTGCACATTTTACATTTAAGATATACACTTGTAGTATCCATCCTTATATCTTATCCAATCACTTACCATCAGGTTAGAAATGCTTCAAGAATGCAAAAAATTACCCTACGCAATGGCTGAGCTTCTAACTGATGAGTTAGGCCAAGCATTCGAAATAGCAGATCAAGACGGCTCGTACTGTATAAAGGGGCACGAGTGCATCTCTAACAACATTTCTGTTGTAAGGGCAATTGCATCGTTCCTGTCAACATCTCTTGGTCCAACAGGGATGGACAAGATTCTTCAGAGCGAGGACGATGATATAGTTGTCACAAATGACGGCGCAACAATACTCAAAAACATGGGAATGCATGAAAACCCGGTGTCAAGGATGATCTGTCAACTAAGCGATTCTCAAGACGAGGAGGTTGGCGATGGAACAACAAGTGTTGTGATCATTGCAGCTGCGCTGCTAAAAGAAGCTCAGGCACTTCTTGCACATGGAATGCATCCAATAAAGATATCTGAGGCATTTGAGCTTGCGCTTGGTCATGCTGTGCAACACCTGACAGACATATCTGAAGAAATAAAAGATGTTAGGGAAACAATGATCAAGGCTGCAAAGACAAGCCTTGGAAGTAAGATAGTAAGTAAGTCACTCGACATGTTTGCAGAGATGTGCACAGATGCAGTAATGATGGTTGCAGACATAGACAGAAAAGACGTTGACTTTGAACTGATTAGCATTGAAGGTAAGGTTGGAAGAGATGTATCTGATAGCATGCTTGTGAAGGGTGTTGTGATCAACAAAGAATTTAGTCACCCGCAAATGGTCAAGCATGTTGAGGATGCAAAGATAGCATTATTGAGTTGCCCATTTGAGCCACCAAAGCTCAAGACAAAGCATAGTCTTGTTATATCAAGCACTGAGGAGTACAGACAGCTGGAGGAGTACGAAAAGAATAAATTTGTGGAGATGATTGAAAAAGTCAAGCACAGTGGAGCAAACCTTGTTATGTGTCAGTGGGGATTTGATGATGAAGCAAACTCAATGCTTATGGAAAGCAATCTACCAGCTGTAAGATGGGTTGGAGGACATGAACTTGAACTTCTAGCAGTTCACACAGGGGCATTCATAATTGCAAGGTTTGAGGATCTGCAGGAAGGTGATCTTGGAAGTGCAAGTGTTAGAGAAGAATGCCTAGGAACTGAAAATGACAGGATTATAGTGGTTGAGAATAATAAGTGTAATAAGGCAGTCACGGTGCTTATACGAGGTGCAAATGACCTTATTATTGAAGAGGCAAAGAGATCTGTTAGGGATGCGCTGTGTGCAGTTAGGAATGTGATTACAAACACAAGGGTGGTTTATGGAGGTGGATCCTGTGAAATGGCATGCTCGCTGTCACTCGAGAGATATGCAGAAATGCATGCAGGAGGTGATCGCCTTGGCATCCTGGGATTTGGCAGAGCTCTTGAGGAGATTCCACTATGTCTTGGAAGGAATAGCGGATACGATGCGATCAGAAGCATATTGAATCTGAGGAAGGCACAGATTGATAGTAAAAACCATAGGATTGGAGTTGACTGCCTGGGAAGTGGAGAAAGCGACATGAAGAAGCTTGGTATTTTTGATACGTTGAACAGCAAGGTAAGGCAGCTGCAAATGGCAACGCAGCTTGTCACAATGATCATGAAGATCGATAATGTGGTCTCCGAGTCACTGCTCTGATTACTTATTAACGGAGCAAACAGATTGAGAATATTAAATGGTTTTGGAAAGTGTTTGAGTGTTACTGGGTGTGTTTGCATAAACTGTCTGTTATAATGATGATATGCATGGAATGAACTCTAAGAGCACAAATGATTTGATGATTTCGCAAACCCATTAGCATGGAGAATGCAGAGGCGTATGTGAAAAGCATGCTTGAGAAACATCGTATCAAGATCGATCTGCGTGCAAAGATAGAGGAACTGAGTGTATCCAACAAGATAAATGAATTCATGCCGCTTGAGACCGTATATAATGTTGTTCTTCTAAATCTAGCCAAGGAAAGTGAAATGTACAAGTCAATTCTTAACGGAACGTATGTATTTGATATAGAAGTAGATGTTAGAGATGAAAGGCGAGTGTATAATGCTGATAAACTGAGAAAGAAAGTTGAAGACATATTTGGAGAAAGAGCGAGATACGTGTATGTATGCATTCTGGACAAGAAAACACACTTTGTCGGGATCAGGTTGGGCGACAATGCATATACACCAGTTGACTTATATGATGGCCCTGAAGAAGCTATTCCTTACTTCTTGCTGGCAAACGGTTTGAAGATGGACTTCAGCGTGAGTGATTTTCGATGGAACGAGATAGTGTTTGAGAATCCTGTAGCTGAGGATGAACATGCGAAGTATGTTGAGATCACTGAGCATGTGAAGAAGATTAGAATACCAGTTGCAATAATTGACGAGGAGGTGGGGTGTCTTGAAGAATCTGTCACAAACATGCACATATGCTACCTGCATTGTGGATCGCATGAGAACTGGCCAGAAAGCAGTGATGCACTGAGATGTGCAAAAACCGCACTGTACTGCCTGATATACAAGAAAAGCAAATACAGATGTGCAATAGGATACGACTATGTGCTTCTGAAGTACAGAGGCTCGTTCTTCAAATTCCACATTGTTATCAAGAAAGACAAAAACACAGAGTTTAGAATTAACAGACGAATAGCTGATGCAGTCAATGAACAGACATGTGTGTTTAAGAAGAACGTTGTGAGTTTAAAAAGGTTTTTGGATAGCCATGGATACTTTCCTGTGTACTTTGACGATAGGCTTGTTGAGCTTATGTGTCTGATGATTGGGAAAGAAATAATGTCATTTGGAAGGTTCTTCAATGAGTTTCTTGCATATAAGATCAAGCTTGATGGATGTACATTTGACTTGGAGACATTCAAGACTAAGGAGAATATGTCAAAAAGGTTTGAGGTTATATATAAGAACGACATGTTATCTATTGGCATTCCGCCAGAAAAGGTTGTGAAACGACTGAATGCATTGAAGAAAATAATAGCTTTGAATAAGCCAATGCTATTTGACGATGATTTCCGATTAGTTACAAAGAGTTTGTTAATGCCATCTTTCAATGATTATGACTTTGTACTGAGCTTCTTTACAAGACCTGAGTTTTGTGAGATCAAAGGTGCTGAGAAAACACCATTTGTGCTTGGAACTCCTGTTATCAGCGAGTTTCTGCATGCAAGCCTTAAAAAGAAGGCATATCTGTTCTACTCACAACGTCATTTGGTTCTGATGGTGAAGGCTATCGATGGAGTAGATCCTTTAGAGTTACTTTGTGTGTTGGTGATGAAGACTGGATTCAAGTACTGTCTGAAGAGGTTTTGAAGATATTGAGCCATGTTGAATAAATTCATAGCTTAATTGTGTGTCCCAGTGTTTAATATATGCAGATGGAATCCAGTTTATTTTCGTACAGAAATGATGACAAGATTACTTGTGCAGGGTTTTGTGCAGAACGTATTTTTGCATCGCTTCCACATACGATTGTTGAATGGAGTAGAACTGAAAGGAAAATTATCAGTGTGCATGAAATGAACGAAGAAATAAATAGCATTACATGCATGAATAATGAATGTGTTGCGCTGTTGTCTAAGAATTCTGTTTGGTTATTATTGAGGACTGAGATCAGATATGCAATGGAAAAGCCTTCTTTGTGTGGTGTAGTTGTTTATAATGGAATGCTGATGCTTATTGATCAGCAAAGCATCACAAGCATATATGTGCAGGAAAGAAACATCAAGATTAGCAGAATAAGGATGGAGAATGGAAATGGAATGTGTACATGTGGATCAGAATATGAAAACGGATTACTTCTAGCATATGAGAATGGAAATGTTATTGAGATCTGCACACAAGTGATGATTGATATAATTGATGGAAAGTTAGCAGAAGTGGATAACAAGCATATCAAAACCTTGATTTGTTTGAGAGAACCTGTTATCTCAGTTGGAGTTCTAAACAACTTGTTAGTTGTAGCGCTGTTCAACAAAAAGATGCTTACAATGAATCTAAAGTCGGGTGAAACATCTTACACAGAACTTGCATACGAAGTAAAATTTTCAACACTGTGGAACCGCATGATTGTTGTAAGCGACAGCAAAGGGAATATTATACTGATGGACAAGAATCTAAAGATTGCATATAGCAAGTGCATGAGAGATGAAGTGTGCAGTCTTGGCTCTAACGGCGTTGACCTAATTGTTGGATTTTCAACAGGCACAGTGAAAGAATGCAAGTTGAACCGCTTTGGTTTCATAAGCATTCATACTGACATGGATATGGAAGTGATCAGCATGAATGCTAACAGACAAATAGAAGTAGATAACAAACTGCAAATACTCTGCAATGTAATAAAATACATTTAGATGTCTCAGTATTTATTATATGAACGATTAGTTCAGTTAATTTACATATATCCAAAAGCGGAATATCAGTTATATAGAGACGACATAGCAATAATAATATAAAAATGCAATCAAGCCGGATAGTTTAAGTTCATGTCAATGCAGATGGATTAATTACAAACCGTGGAAATTGGAATTGCATGAATTATTCAGTTGCATAAATAAAATAAACGACACAGTTATGCATTGCCCATGGCAAATACCAATTACAGGTTGACATTAAGGTTTGCATGGCACATCATAAGATCGCGCCTGATGTCAGCACTGGGTGTCGTCATGATAGTGGTTGACCCAATCCTTGTAATCGGATCTGCATTTTATGCTTTCAATGTTGAGGCATACAACTGCCTGCGATGGGCATTCTTTGATAGAAGAAGATGGGAGGCAGGTGCTTCGGCGGCATACGATGCCAAGACCGCGCATAAAGGCTCTGAAATGATACATGGAGACAGATTTTATTACGGAAAGTATGTCTCACGGGATATTGATAGGAGGTTCTTGCAGAACGATCTTGCATTGGTTGTGACGGACATTGCAGACAGCACAGACATGTGGAACCGCCAACCTGATGCAATGTATCGAACAATTGAATTGCATGACGAAATGGCTCGGAAGCTGTGTATAGAACATGGCGGATGCGAGATCAGAAACGAGGGAGACTCGTTCTTGCTTGCATTTACAGACATCAACGATGCACTCAAGTTTTGCAAGGAGTTCCACAGGAATGTGCTTGCTGCATTTAGAAGCTGGATGCCTTTCATTAGTATAATGCGACGCAAGGTACTTCCAATCAAGGTTCGGATTGCAGTGTGCCAGGGTCCTGTTGTATTGAGCCGTGACAGCGTCTTGAATGTGCATGGAGAGACAGTGTCCAAGATATATTCTATGAAGGCGCATCCAGATAAAATATGCATACACAATGGCTGTATTCATAGCTCAATGGCTGAAATAAGAAAAATGCCACTGTTATGTGTCCATGAAACATTGTGAATAAAGTGCCTGTAATTTACTTTACCTGTGTATATTTCTGCTTCAAAATTTGTGATGTATGGTATGTACTATTATTGCAATAAACTAAGTTGTGTAGTTACTTTAAGGTATTGTTGTTACATATTGCTCAATATGAATGCATTAACTGAACAACACTGCTTATATATTACTCGATATGAATGCATTAACTGATAATGCGGCAACTATTGAAAACGCAACAATAACATACCAAACTCCACAGAATGATACAAATCCCAATGCAATCCATACATTGAGAATCTTCGCAAAATAATTGCCTACACCAAACGTAACACTTGCGAATATTGCACAAACATACGCGATGCTTACGAAAACATGATCTGCACTCGCATCTATGCCGCTGAAGCGCCTCATGATGTTCACTCCATACTTCATGTAAAGCACATGGTTTATTACAATAACTAATACAAAGGAAATAGATGCTGCAGATACCAAGAGATCAAGCAGCAAGCTGCTGTCAATTGAATACAATGCATTTTTAGATAATAAAGCAGTGAAGTATCTCCTGAGCACATTCCACGTACTGTCAGACAGCTGACGATGGAATAGAGATTTTAAATGATGTTCAACAGTCTTCGCAAAGAGTCCCTTAGCTGGGAAATAGAAAACAGACTGTTTTGGACGACCATCGGAAAACCTTGCTCTGAAGAATTCATGGTTTCTGTTGTCGCTTATGTAGAACAATCTGGAGTCGTGACTGCTATGCAATGATGCATCTGCAGACTGCAATAGCTCTTTTTTGTCGTTTGGCCCACCGCTATTATCGCCATCATTATTTGTGCAGAGATTCCTGACGCACAGCTCAGCAGATGTCTTGTAATACTTGAATCTTATAAGAGACGTTCTGGAAAAAATGTAGGAATCTCCAATCACCTGCCAGATATCATCCTCGTCTGCTTGGCTCTCGGCTTGTGCAAATCCAACAACACTCTTGAACTTATCTTCTTTGTCCTGTGATGCAACTCTCAAACACATTGCTGTGTCTGTATTGACTATCTTTACAAGATCCCCATTCTGAATGTATCTGTCTTCTTCTGTGCTTGACTCCTTGCTGCTCATCAGATGAAGCTTAATTATCGTCCATGTGGAGCTGCTGTCTTGATGTTCAGAACATGTCAGCATGCCGTCTTTCATAACAAGATACGAGCGGTGCTTCTGATTTAGAATACTCACATTGCTTCTGTCCATGAGATACTTGTCTGAAGGCGTGTTTGTACTACCGTGCAGTGATGCCTGGAACTCTATTGAAAATCCCTTCGCATGCTCTGAGTGTATGTTCTGGATTGCATATTGAGCATAGAAAGACAGCAGATATATTGACATTGGAACAGCAACGAATACTATCGCTCTTTTAAACACCATACACATCGCTGTACGTAGTGCATTTCTAGAATCGGTCACAAATGAAAACATGCTAGTCAGGTACAGCATTATCATAGGCAACATAATCAGTAAGGCAGCCCATCCAGATGATACCGAGAATCCCAGAAGAATACCAGATGCAATAATACGCTGTTTTTTGAGCTGAGCCAAACCTAGAAATGCTAAATACACCGAGAGTAAATCAGATGCAACAAATATAGATCTGTCGCGTGCCGATAGCAGTATGTGGGATAGTGCAATAATCCATGATATCTTGCTGCTGTATGCTTCTCTAGACAGTTCGTACACTTGTGCCATTGAAATTGAAAACAATACCTGGCTGGCTAACCTGTATGTGTGAACCGATGACAAATCCCATGGAATACCCACAAATGAACATATCGAATGAATTAAATACAAAATAAGACCTGGAAGAGGCAAAACACCCGATGAATCAAACCTTCTTGTTGCATATCCTATCTGGCTATTCATAAGCTCTACTTCCTTCGGCATAATTTCTCCAAATCTGTGCCTTGATGATATGACCATTGATACAGCAAATACCACAAACATCCGCATCCATCTCTTTATGATTATACTCATCGTGTGTATTGTTGAAGCATTTGAGGTCACTTCTAGATCCTTAATGTCTCTACTTGATCTGGCATTGTCCACATCCATCTATCTTCAATAAACAAACAATTCATTTTCAAATACATCAGATCTATACATAAAATCATCAGTTCAAGCATATAATACATATATAACATAAATCAAACTAGGTTTATTCAAATCATCAACATTCTTGGAAGATCAGTGCTCTTTTTTAAGCTCATCAACCTTCCTCAGCTCCTCCTGGAGTTCTGCAAAGTCGTTCCTTCTCATTGAACCACACAACTGTGCTCCATCACCAAACATATCAGAAACCTCGCTTTCGGACTCAGTTGAGCTTTCCATGCCAATATCAAAGAAAATCTCGGCATCATTCTTGTTCATCAGGGGATACAAACAAAATTGTTAGCTTAACATACTTTATTCACATTAATCTACAAAAGTACAACTTTTACATACACACATCACAGTTGATAGTGAGTAGTAAATAGTAAACTGCAAAAAAGATTTTATGCATCAACTACTAAATGTTAAGTATATAATCCATCAATCAATCACTATACACTTATCTTACATTTACTATAAATTATTCACTATCAAACATTATAAACCATCAAATATCACTCAATAATCATCATCAACCACCGTACACCATATATTACATCTACTCACTTACTCTTCTATATTATTCTTTACTGTCGAAAACATCTTCAGGATCCCAAAGTCTGCAAGAAAAGTTCCAGAAAGAACAAAGAGACAAGCCAGGTAGAACACAGGCATTGAAAATAGATTCATCGCTGCATTGTTGGCTGTAGAGTCAACCTCCTGTATATAAAACAACGTCACAAAGTTAAGAAATATGCTTAATGCAATCGCAACCCACGAATACACCACAAAGTACGAAATCTCGCGTATCTGAGTGGCAAGAACAACCCAGAATACTATGATTGAAAAGTAGTTCGTCAATAGAATGTATCCACCAACCAGCCCACCTGCTCCAATCAGGTCCTTAATATACACCACACCCATCGATAGCCCAAACACAATGCATCCCATCGCAATCGTATACACGGATCCAAACACAAATACATGCTTTCCAAAATGCTTTCTTGCATCGCCATATCGCTTTGGATTCGTCATCAGGTACTCCTCAGGCATGTCTTTATCAAAAAGACCTATCGACAGTGGAACAAGCGATGTAAACAGCACGTTGTAGTAATTCAGAAAGAAGTTGTTGTATATCGGCATTCCAGAGTATCCATTGAAGAAGTTGTACATAAACTGTATCGAAATAAAAAATATGTTCTTGAAAAATGCATTCAGAGTTATCTTAGAAAATCTAATCATGTTGTATCTTCCATGCACAAGCAGCAACCTCTTCAGAAGTCTAAATTCAGGAATCGCAAAGTCTGCAGACAGGCTTGCCTGTGTGCCTTCTTTTCCCATTATTCCAACACCTATGTGTGAGCTCTTGATCATCGGAACATCATTATTACCATCACCTATTGCCAATGTGTTCTGGCCAAAGCTTACAATGCGTTCCGCAATCTTTCCCTTCTGATGAGGTGTTGCACGATATATTACAATCGACCTGTAACTGAACACATCTTCATCAACAAACTTCTTCAAAAATTCCTCTCCTTTGATTACAAGCGATTGGGCTTCTTGCCCCTTCGGAACAATTCCACAGTCCTCTGCACAACTCATTGCTGTCTCCTTCTTGTCTCCTGTAATCATCCATATCTTGATTCCTGCATCCTTAAGTGAAACAATAGTTTCTCTGACATCTTTTTGCAGCTCATCTTCAATAAAAGTGGTGCCAAGATACTCTAATCCATCCTCAGCACAATCAAAGATCTTTTCTTGCTCTATGTGTCTTCCCTTCAATGAAATCTCGTTGTATCTGCTCTTCATTTCACTCAACATATCCTCTCCAATCTCCTTGCATCCAACAACAAGCGATCTGTACTCAGAATTCGTGTTAATCAGTGTTTTGATAAAATCAGAGTCTCCATCATCAAAGCTCATATTCTTATCTCTCAGCAGCATCTGATCGGCTCCCTTGCAAAACAACATACACTTTCCAAGTATCCTGACTATCACAGACATCCTCTGCCTGCTTGAGCTGAACTCTAGCGCCATCTCTATCTCTGCTTTGGTTCGTTTTCCATTCATCTCAAACACAACATGCTCCGTATCACGCTCAATAAGTACACATCCTTGATTTCTCAGCTCCTCAACAATGCATAATTCATCCTGTGAAACACCTTCAAATTTCCCATTAAGAGGCTCTATAGAATTACAACACAAAAGCGCTGCAACAAACATAGTGTGCCAATACTCATCATTCAAATTCCCTTCTATTCCACATGCATCCTTATTACTAAGCACATCAATGTCCAGCATGTCTCCTCCAACCTTGTCGGTAGACACAAGTCCTGGTAGTCCGTTCCAGTGACAATGCTTCAGAACCATCGAGTTCTTGGTCAACGTCCCTGTCTTATCAGTCAGTACATAATCAACAACTCCAATGTCTTCAGTGACATTTGAATTTCTACACACTGACCTGCACTCTCCAGAAGCCATTTGGCTATCATGAAACACAAACATTGAGTGGATCATCCTGGATACCTCAAGGGTCACAAAGAGAGACAGTGGAATCAGGTAACTAAACAGAATGTAATTGGTGCCCGTCTGTTTCAATGCATCCTCAGTAGGATACTCGTTAGGATACAAATACTCCATACCCTCCCTCCTCAGAAACCCAGCACCTAGCACAGACGTCAGAATCAACACAATCAAATACACAAGAAACACTCCGTATATAAAACTACTAAGACTTTTCTCAAATAATGAAATCTTCGGCTTCGCCTTGATGTGGCTCTTTCCAAGTTTTGTCTGTCTTCCAACACTCACAATCATACCAAGCACACATTCTGTGTTCTTGACTCTCGAGCCCCTCAGCAGAACATTCTTCTCGTTATACAGGACATTCCTTCCACCAATGTCAACCTGACACTCAAACTTATCAAAAAGATCTCCAGTGTCTTCAACCACAAATCCTGCAATGCTGTTTATGTAGTACATATCACACTCACAGATGTAAATTCCGTTGTTATATTCATGCTCTCTATTATCATGATGTATTGTATCCTCGCAAGTGCCGCATCCAGTACCACTCGGTACTGTTTTCTTCTTCAAGTTGGACTCTCCATCAAGATTGCTTGTCTCAACAAAACAGTGTGGTTTGCATCTTACTCCATTCCTGGTCTCAACCTTACTATTCAACAACACCACATCCCCAGGTACCTCCTGATCCTTCATAATCAGAATAAAATCTCCAGCTAACAAATCCTCAACATATATTTCCTCAACACTCACCCTATCTGAGCCTTTTCTTATCACATTCGCTGGCTTCTGGTTCATGGCTTTGTCATGCTGGTGCCTTCGGTAGTCTTCTACCCCATCCTTCACCATAGATGCCCCAACTACAATAGCAAATGCCAGCAAGTACGTAAATGGCGAAAATGGCGAGATCGATGGAATCGACAGCAGGATAAGAGTCAGCAGGAAAAACAGATTTGAAGGTCTCGAAAGCTGATGGTACATGTTCAGTGGGAAAAACGTAAATGCTGTGTACTTAGACGTCACTATTTTGTTTTCCTTACCCTTCATTTACACATATACAATCACAACTTTAATTCCCTTCAGGCAATCACATTAAACACTAGCATTACCATCTATCAACTCACAGTCAATCGTGTCAAACCCTCCAAAATAGTCATTCACAACATAACAGACTTTGCTCTTCCATTCAACATTATACACCCCAGGTGACTCAATTTTGAGAATCTCAGACTCATTAGAACCTGAAAACAGAAAGAAAATCACAAATCCAACAGGTGCATCAGGCATGTGCATCACTTCAACAACAACGTGGTCTCCAACAATCTTCGATTTGTAGAACTTATCTTGTATCATACAGATCTTCTTTGTGATCCCTTGCAATCCAAACATCACGTTGAATGCAGTTTTTAGGTACATCTTTTCCAATGAGACCTCAAGTAAGCACAAATACATTCTGTAAATAATTGGCAAGACACAATCAACATAATACTGCAGCACTTCGAGGCATTGATGTTCATTCACAAAATCATAGCATGCAAGCCCATGTGCTTTTCCCTTACTAACATCAACTCCGATACTACTCAATGTCTTGTACTCATCGTGATCCATACAGAGCATAAGCTCCTCTGCTCTGCAAACAAGCAAAAGAATGTTTTTCAATCCCATCTTGTCTTTCACATTGTCTATAAACATCCTAATCGTGTCAATACACACTCCATATTTACAGAGAATCTGTCCATACCTAGTCAGTCCTTCCTCTTCAACAAGCAAAGGCGTGCATATCATATATTTGCTAAGACTGCATCCTATCCAATAAGCGTATAATCCCAGTTCCGCTCTTCCTGATGAACGGTAATACATTGGAACCTTACCATCTTTCAAATACAACAGTGCCTTGCTTTGCTTTGTGTATATAAACACACGTGAACCAAGCATGGAATACCTATATACATCAGCCACTTTATAGTCTGTATACATTTGAGACTCATGATCATAATACACCGTTCCAATAACATGAATTTGATCTACACATGGATTCCATCCTGCACTAATCCACATATCAATGCTTCGTCGTGTAGCAAGATACACTCCTCTTCCAATACAAGCAAACTCAACTGCAATCTTTGCATTCCTGAATCTATTTATAAAATATTTGCATGAACTCTGCACAGGAACAATCACAAGACATGATGCATCATTGCTCATGTTGTTAGTATTCAACTCAAACTCATTCAAGTAATCTTGTATTTCTCCATGATATGTAAGGCTAGATGATCCATACACAGATATCTTGGTGCTTTCTTCCTTTCTGTATTGCACATGATGCTTTTCATTATATTCACTATTATTCACTTCTTCATACTGTTCAATATTACCAAGATATTCAATATCAGCACCATCAGCAAATGGAAGTCCAACAAGAATCATTCTGATACCTTGAATTATACACTGTGCTATGCATGTTTCAATAAGGTGATTCGAAAAGATATTGTGCACATCCATAATTGTGACTGACTCGCAAACAACTCGTCTTGAAACAAACTCATCATACACATATGCATCATATCCCATCATCCTCAGCCTTCGTCTTTCTCGATACTCCGACACAATCACAGCTTTAGTGCATATCAATCCATCTGATAATCCCAGTTTCACCACATTTCCGTGGCTTTTGCTCAGCGTATCAATAATGAGCTCTTTCCATACACTACTAAACATCGAGCTTCCAACACTACTTGCTTTCACAAGACTAAGAACACTCGGATCCTCAGGACACAGATAATTTGCAGAAAGCACATATATATTCAGGAATGGCGACCTTGTATTTACTGCGTAGTTCTGGCTCACATAAACACCATTTCCAAACACTATTGTGTCACAAACAACCAAATCTCTATCTCTTGAGTCTGTCATCAAAATATAATATCTGTCTTCACTGCACTTACTATCATCAAATGTCTTTTCAATCCCAATATTTATCACATAGTATCCATCATTACACATATAGACACTAGAAGAGACATAGAACCTGGGGACATACTTCAGATTGTCCATTACATCAGTGCTAATACCTATCTCTGTAAGTCCTTCCCTTCCCAACACTTCCAGCATCGAAAACGGAATCTCTTTCATCTCAAGCATCTTAAGTGCCTCATAGTCTGTACAAAAATGTCTCAATGGTGTTTGATACGGAAATATCCTATGTACAACAGTCTTGTACCACCGAATCACTCTTCTACAAACACCCAGTTTTTTCCTTACACTTGTCTCAAACAATGCCGCAAGCATCCTTGGTAGGTTCTGCGACAACACAGTTGATTCAATCCTGTTAGCAACATAGCATTGAACAAGAATACCAAAAGTAGATTCTGTTGGAATAGGAACCATATTTTCTACATCTTCAATATCAAACTCTCGTTTATGCGCGTTAATTCCTTTAAATTCATTCATCTTTGCAATCATCGAAAGCATCGACGAATCCGTCATCAAACTGCACAGGCCAGCAAACATTCTTGACGAATCTCGGTAGCTTAAGCAGTATCGAGATGCAACTGTTCCTATACATGTTGAATGCATAAACGGATCAAAGACAATCAACCCTTCTGCTTCAAGGTGCTTCAATGCACTATACACAAGTTCCCTGGCAACCTTACCTGATTCTCTATTCATCATCACAAGTCTTGCATAGTAAAAAGTATGCTTAAACCAATCCGTGGCTTCGCTAAACTTCCTCATTCCACTTGCAATCTCTGCATTCAAAAAATCACACAACCTTGGAAGCAGTCTCGATTCAATGCATCTTTCAACCAAAAACTCTGTTTGCTTACTTGACACAAGGATACCCTTGCATCTTTCATCTCCAAAACGTCCTGCTCTACCAAACATTTGCAGTATCTCAGTCTGCCTAATCGATTTCCACTCACACATATCCGTGTCATAGACATCTGCTCCTTTGATAATAACAGTCCGTCCAGGTAGATTCACACCCCAAGCAAGTGTTGAAGTACAAACCATCACATCAATGCGTCCATTCTTATACAGCTCCTCCATAGCTGTTCTTATCTTTCTGCTCAATCCTGCATGATGTATCCCAATACGGTGTCTCACTATTTCTCTAATAAATCCTTGTGCATCAACCAGCAGTTCATCATCCACATCCTTGCACTCATGCCCTTGAAGATACCTTCTCAACTCATTCGCCATCTCCACGACTTCCTTCCTTGAGTGCACAAACACAAGCACAGGTCCATCCACTTCCATACTCTCCAGAACCTTCTCAATCACAATACTCTTCTCCATCTCCCTCATACCAACATTAATCAGTTCATAGTCCATCGCACATCTTCGGAATTCATTGCCAAATAAAAACATATTTTGTTCCCTGCATTTCAGAAACCTTCCAACATCTGTATGGTTCGGAAGCGTTGCACTCAATCCAATAATCCTACATCCATTCCTTATAGACATCCGTGCAACAAGTGCCTCTATCGTTGCGCCTCGGTCTTCATCAAGCATATGGATTTCATCAATCACTAGAACCTCAAATCTAAATCCAGTATTTCTTGTCAATGCATCTAACTTTTCAGGCGTGCACACTATCACATCTGCTTTGTCCAGGTGCTTGTATCCAACATCCGTGTCAGATGTATGCTCCACAACTCTCATTCCATGTCTAGAAAACATCCGTCCAAGAGTTATTGAAATCTCTCTTGCAAGCGCCCTCATAGGCACCACATATCCAATCTTATTCTTATGCTCTGCATCAACATTCTTTCCATCATCCATCTTCCTTCGCTTCATTACAACCTTGAATATAGAGAGCGCTCCAATAATCGTCTTTCCACTCCCAGTAGGCGCACATACAAGAATATTACCTGAGTCATTAATCACCGCATCATAAACAACACTCTGCACATAGTTAAACTTAAATCCCTCTTCAAAAAATAATTTAACATCCTCAGGTACTCTATTGTCAAAATCAACATCTTTCTTACCTCCACGCACATACACAGTCTCAATTCCATCCGCATACTTCACCTCTGCATCTATTGGATAATCTCTCTTCTTCACATGCGTGCTTGCATTCGATGATGTTCTTTCAAGATCAACTATCTTACTTCCGCTCATCTGGCTCAGTGCATCGTGCTCAATGTATTTTGTAAATGCCACTACGCCTTCTGTTCTTAGCATCTCCTTGGCCTTCATACTCTGTTCAGGCTCCAACTGATACACAAGAAAGTACTCAAATGCCTTACTGTTACACAATATCCGATTCAAAAAGTACATCTTCCATCCTTTCAGCACCACATAAAGCTTGTCAAATACTTCGCTTCTAATCACCTCAAGGAGCATTCTCTTCTCTTCACCTGCAAACAATGCATCAAACAACTCAACATCCTCAAATAAAACACTGCTCCGGTCGCTTCCACAGAAGCTCTGTGTAATCTTAGCTAAGCCATCTGCAACATCAAGTGCAAGCCGCTTTTCAACTACTTCTTCAATTTTATGGCACAACTGCTCACCAGATGCATCACATGAAAGTAGAATGCCAACTATTTTCTCCAATTTGTATTCATCGCTCTCCCCAACCATATTAGCAATCATGTTCACATACTCAGCATAACTAATATACATCAACTTGAACTAATAGGGATCTACCATAGTCCTTTTAGATCACATCAATAGTTAAGTATGCATATCTCAGTTACACACATTTCAATTAAAAATTACTAAAGCATAAAATACAAAATACTCAACTAATCAATTAAACAACTACTCAACTATTGAACTAATCAACCAATCAATTACTCAATTACACATTACATTATATATGTGTTCTTTTTCCACTCAAACCTTACACCTTACTTCATAACATAAACTGTCACTTAAAATCATCTAATACTTTATTCACTATTCCATTCTTTCCAGAAAAATCACATATGTGTCGTCCTTATTCACGCCATTCACTTCAATGATCCTCTGGTCATTGCACAGGTACCATTGATCTTTCCTTACATAGCTTACATAATGCCCAGTAGCAGTAGAGTACCGTGAATCATGGTTGCACACTCCAATCGTTCTGTAGCGTATGCCTCCTATAACCATCTCCTCCGTAGAATATGCAACAGGCGTCGATATCTTCACTATTAATCCATTCACATACTCAAACCGCTTTAACTGTATAATCAAATACACAGGATGACTTACAAAGTCCATCTTCTTTGAAAACCTCTGCTTTCCTCCGCATCCCTCGCACTCAAGAAGCTCAAAGCTCCCAAACTCCTCTTTCTCAAGAAATGCATCCAGGCAATCATCAATTGTGGTAGACCCATCATTCCCACCCGTGTTAATGCAAGGAATGCTGCTTGGTCCATCAAACACTTTACATCCTCCATGGCTCTTGCTAACCACATTCAGAACAGGTATGCCTAACAGTCCTCCTTGTGCATTTGAAGGATATTCTATCTTGAGATATGACGACACCATTGAATCATCAAGCATCCATCTAATTTCCTCATCAATCACTCCAAAAAGCGCATCACACACCGCTCTATACATACATGATTCATCATCAATCTTTCCATGCGCTAATAATGAAATACCTAGTGTTTTCTCCATAAGGATTCCTCTGCTCTTCAAGCATATCCAGAAATATGATCCAATCTTCGATTCAAAGTATTCATAGCAAAACAGCTTACGATCAATGTCCTTGAGTATTCCATCCTTGAATTCATGCGCTCCTCCATTTTTATCATAAACCACACAGATAATCATGCCTCTCACTCCGTAATCATTTCTCATTATTGTCTTCATCTCCTCTATTTCGAGATGCTCATTCACACGTATACTCACTGGTCCTCTATCAGCTGACTCATAGAACAATATTACATCTCTTCTGTGCTTTAAAGGAATAGGTAGTGATAAATACATACAAGGTTCTGTGCAAATCTTCTCCTTACTACATCTCAAACATCCAAGCGTTGACTTTAGGTTAAAGAAAAACAGGTCTGTCACAATAGACTTGTTTGAGCTCCACCATCCTTCGTCCTTTTTACCCGTCCTGATTACCATCCCTTCATGAAGCGAGTCTAACAACTTGCCAACAAACTCAATGACATCTTGCTCTTCATTCTCATCATACTCAATGTATAGGTCTCCCATACACTTCTTTATCTCACTTGGTGTGATTACACGAGCCTTTTCATCATGCATTTGCTGCACAAGTTTGGAATATGCATCAACAAGCGCCACCTTCTTCGGTAGATTTTTATTCAGCACCAATTCATGCTCCTTATGCATGAAGTACTCAGAAAACTTCCAACAGTTCATCAAGCACTGTAATCCACTGTTCATAAAACAAGTGTTTCCTTGATTCCTCAGTCCACACACTACATTCCTCATCATTGCCCAGTCATCAATCGACAACACTCTTCCATCATTTGTGTGTGCAATCCGGACGATTGCAACGGTACATCCATCTTCAAGGTCTCTAAACTCAGTCAATGGATGTATCACTCTATCGTTCCACACCAATCTGCACCTCTTCATAAGCTCATCAATCTCCACTTCACAACGAAGAATACCTGGAACTACATCAATCAGCTTTGAATTGCATCCAACAGCCATGCTTACTCTTCTAGAACCTCCTCCATTCTTTTTAGCTCCTTCATCTTGCATAAGCATTCCAAACTCTTTGACACTAACAATTGAAGACAACATCGATCTCACCCATCCGACTCTGACCAATACACGGCTATTCTTTTGAACTAGTGCATCTACACTGGCAAACTCATCAATCACAAATGTCACATTAATTGTTTTGTCAGTCAATGTGTCTAAACTCTGTTGCCCTCGGTCGCTCTGCATTGTATAACCCATGTCAACACCAGCCCTGATACATCATAAATCCAATTCATCACATAGCATTTGCAATCAATAACACACAACATAATACAACACAACATCTTGCAAAATTAGCAAACAACCACACTAAAAACATTCTTTAGTGCAGCAAAACACATGACGATACTAGGACTCGAACCCAGAACCTTCGGGACTGGAATCCGACGCGCTACCATTGCGCCATATCGTCACATCAAATCACTTCACAACACACTTTCGCCCTTGATTTATACTCCCCTTCCCAGACTCAAAAACAAATAAAACAAATAAAACGAAGATCTCTTTATTCGTCTCCAGCTTTTCCAAGCTTCGCCTCAACCATCCTCTTCCTCTCCTCATACGTAAGCCTTGCCTGCTTGTACTTCTTCAGACCAGAATAATCCTTCTTCTCCCTCTTCTCCTTCACAGGATCAGCCGCTATCTTCTCAAATGCACTCTTGTAGATCCCATATATGTTTTCAGGCTCAATTCCCTTCTTAATATATTCAGAAAATTGCATTTTGTACTTCTCCGGATCAGATTCCCTCAGCTCAATCATGTACTTCGACACATTCTGTCCAAATATTCTGTCATGCAACTCCTTCACGTTGAACTGCTTTCCCTTGTTGTATCCATAAAACTTCACCTCACTGTGCGGAATGTTCAGTCCTGCATCAGATGCTCCCTTCATTGCTCCAAACACATTTGCTCCTTTGCTAGATCTAGCAAGACCAATGTCGAGATACACCTTTAGCGCCTTCCTGTCCTCATCAATGTCCTCTGTAACGCTGTATGTCCCGTCAATCTCCTTCGGAAGATACACCTTGTCCATAGAAAGTGCATTCAGTGCCCTTCGTCCAATCAAAAATCCAGTTGCATATGCTGCTGAGTAGTTCGTCAATCCAAAGTCAACCCCGTACTTCTTCAGTTCGCTTGAGTCTGCATATGCCATTACACGGTCTCCATCCATGTATGCTCCCATGATCTGGCATATCACCTTGCTATTCGTTATCCTAACAACCAGCCTGTACTTAGATACTCCGCTTTCGGTTGCATCCTGTCTGATCATGTTTGTCCTGTGCTTGTAGTCGGTCTTTCCCTCTCTCCTTCTCCTTCTCTTTACTTGAAAGTTGGTACTGTACGATCGTGTTCCCTTTGCGTTACTCTTCAAATTATCTCAGCAATTCACTTACCATTTTGCAGGGCTGCAAATTTTTCAACATATCCACGCATCACTTCTATTTGCCCATGCTGTGCCATTTTTGCAGTTACAGCTCACTCCTTTAACACCCGCCAAAGTCCCCATCATGTCAGAAACATCTCCACTTGCTTCAAGAATATCAAAGCTGCAGGAGTCTGGAATTTTCTGTACCATAGACATCGATAGACTTGGATACGGCTCATTCACAACCACCAAGACTGCTGATCTCAACCCTACAGTAAAGAATGCAAATAAACTCAGGTCAAGCATAGATTCTCTTATGGCTCAGTCAATGAATGATGGCATAAAGGCACAAATCGAAGTCATTATGCTTTATATAAAAGGATACATTGAAGAGAGTAAAACAAGAAGTGCGGTGCATACCATCAAGATGTGGAAAGGGCTTGCAAAGTATGTTTCATCAGTCATCAAAGCACTCAGCAATGATGAAATTGCTGGATTCATCAGATTTGTGCTCTTCAACATCAAGTTTCATTATATGTTTCTGGAGGCTTCGTTGATTATCAAGCAGAGTCGCAAGGGTACAAATCACGAGGGAACACTGTCATATTTTCTCAATGAATACACAAGCATGCATGAGATGCTCTCTTCGTCTGGATCGCAGCAGTTTGCTATTGTTCAGTTGTGTGATCTCGAAGAGCTGATTAAAAACAAAATAAATTCAATATAATCAGAAATTCATAAATGAATGCAAAATACATACTAAAACATCGATTGCGTAATAGTCATAAAGTGAATGTAAAAGTTCATATTCATCGATTGTATAATACTCACAAAGTTAACTTTATCTTTTACACACTGCCTATGGCTAGATCTCTCCAAGCCTTAAATACCAATATTTATGCATGAACAGCAATACCCAGGAATGGAGTATCCAGAGTTTCACAATCTTGAGGGCCTGACATTGAAGCTTCTCAGAGACTACAGAACATTCAGTTCTGATGACTTCATGTGCATACACAACATTGTGTATAATCATTGCACAGAAGTGTGCACAACGTTCCAAACAAGAGGATTGAAGATATATGAATGCCTAAAGAGCGTGTTTTCTACACATGTGGATCATCTCAGGTGTTTTACATCTCTCAAGACACTTCACCATCAGATAGACGAGTTCTCAAGTGCACTTGCAATTGTATCAAAGGCATATTCATATCTCGAGCGGTACTTCATCCGCATCAGCATTGAAAAGAGAGACGGACATATCATGGACATACGCACACTAGGGTATGTGGTGTTCTACAGGCAATACATGGAAAGAATGATGGATAGAGCGAAGGAGATTGTTTTTTTTGAAATAAATGTTTCAAGGAGTTCGAAGGATTATGTGTTTACAAAGCTTACAGAGACAGTCAGGTACCTGAGGATGCTGTACTTCTGCAACGATGAAAGCGAGAAGTACGATGAAATGGTCAAGCAGTATGTGGATATGTTCCGCAGTTCAATGATCTTTGATGCAGAGATAGGGAAGGTTTTAAAGAGGGTTTATCTTGAGATATACATTGCATCAAAGGTATTTGAGCCTGAGAACAACAGATTGTATAAGGATGTGATATTTGGATTGAAAAGCAGGTTTGCAGAGATTTTGAAGACAATGCACGAGAAGATGGAGAGACAGGAGCGACTGAAGCTGTATGTAAAGATAGTGCAGTTTATGGATTCTGAATGCATGGATGGTGTTTTTGATCAGTATAAGAGTGTGATATGTAAAAAGATGGAGACAGTAGACAGATTGGATGGGCTGATCGCACTGTATATAAATGTGCGTATGCATGTGACAGAGAATTTCATCAAGACCTATGAGTTGTGCAAGTATCTTGAGGACGAAGTAAGAAGGTGCCTTGGTAAGCTTGGCACGAATACTGAGGACGATGCATGTAGGTTTATTGAGGATCTGCTTATAAAAAAAGCAAAAATAAATGAATCATGCAACCACAATAACTGTTTATGCAGGTACATAATTGGCATGTGCAATGAATTGAAAATAGAAAGCAGCATAGAAGAAGTAATTGATACAGTGATTATGGTTGTTGGGATGATGAGCAATAGGGATATGGTGATTGGAAGGATCAATGGAGTTGTGCAAAGAATGATTCTGGGATACAGTACTGAGCCAATAGCAGTAAAGAGATTAATGCATGTAATGAAGAAGCACCTGGGAATGAATATGAGTAGGAAGATTTGTGTGATGTATGCGGATTATATAAGCAGTAGCAGGAATGATCATGATGTATATGCTCAGCATGAAGGATTTGTTGTTGAGGCGTTATTTCTAACACGAGGATTTTATGATGTGAGTGCAAGCGGAGAAAGTCTCCCAAGTCTACTAAGAGATTCAGAAAAGATGGTTGCACGACATAAACTTGCAAGCTACCCACGAGCGGTGTTTGAGGGATGCTACAGTTTGTCTCCTGTGGTGTTTGAGATGAATGGGTTCAACTTCTGTATGGGAGCAGACAAAGTGGCCATTATGATGTGGTTGGACATTGATAGAACAAAGGATGACCTGCGAGAATGTGTTGGAGGAAGAGGATTTAAGAGGAATCTTGAGTATCTTCTTTCGCATGGATTTGTTATACTTGTTGAAGAGATTGCCTCATTGAACAGGAAGTTTTCGAACAGAGAGTATGAGTATGTTAAAAGTAGATGTAAGAGGGTGTGCATGATGGGGCCTGATTATGATCTGAAGGATATTTTGGATGATAATGGATTTGATGGATACAATGAAGAGGTGTTGGATCTTTTTGAAGTTGAGGATGAGGAAGGAGTAGCGATTGATGAATATATGGAGGTTGAGTATTGTGAAGCAGTACTAGAGGCAAAGGTGATGAGGATTATGAAGAAAGAGAAGAAGACGAGTATTGATGAGATTATTGCGGTGTTATCTAGTGAGACAGGATGTGCAGAACAGGCAATAAAGGATGCGATATGTAAGCTTGAGGAGAAGGAGTATTGCAGGACTGATGGAAATGATGTGGAATATCTGCCGTAGCGTAATATGATATTGTGATAATGTCTGTGTTTGAATGGCTTTATTTGTAAGATGACTGTATGTGAGTGATATTTAATGAATGCTAGAACCTGAAGAGCATGTGAAAAGTGTATTGTTTTGATGAGTATTTTGATATAGTATTTGAGATATTAAATTTTTGTTTTTTTGTGGATCAACAAAGGCCCTTTATGTCTTATGATTATGAATATGACGAGTCTGGACTTGCATCGAGCTATCTGATGCTTTCTGTTCTTGCACCAGTTGCCTTGTTCTTGAGTTTTGGATTGGTTGGAAGGAAGAATGTAAGGAGAGTGTGGTGTAGATGTGCAGGATGCCGAGAGAAGGTGGAGAAGAGGAATGGACTTAAGAAGGTGACTGTAGTAGTGCTTTGGATAGTAGTAGCTTATCTTGCAAAGAATGTGAAGACATTGAGGATGGAGAAGAAGAATGGATTTAACCCGCTGGATGTTCTGGGGATAACTGAGGAATCAAGTGCAAGAGAGATCAAGAAAAGACTACGTGTGCTTCTGGTGAAGTACAATCCTGGAAATGCAGTGGAAGAGGTGAAGAAAGAGTATGAGGAGAAGATGAAGGATGTGAACCGAGCGTATGGACTTATGATGAACAAGAAGAAGTATGAAGCTTGGCTGAATAATGACTCGAAGATAGGAGAGATAGTGGCGATTCCTGGGATGATAGTTAGGAATGGAGTTTATACGTTTGTGTTGTATTGTATAGCACTTGGAGTGTTTGTTCCGAGATGGGCGTACAGGAAGTGGAGAGAGATGCGGGACATGAACCGACTTGGAGTGAGTTTTGTGACGATGGAGAAGTTTTTTGAAAGGATTGATGAGAAGATGAATGAGATGAAGGGTCTTGAGAGTGTTTATGCGTTGATAGGGGTGATGGGTGAATCTGAGGAGTTTGCAAGGCATGAGTGGAAGAGTGAGATAAGTGAATTAAAGACAAAGATTGAGAATGAGTATGGATTTCCTATGAAGGAGATGATGGATGATAACAAAGGATGCCTTGTACTGATTGACCATTTATTTAGGACTGGGATGGCAAGGAAAGAGGAGACTGAGTATGTACAGAGGATGTCGCTAAGGTTGATAGAGGGAATGAGAGTTATTGCGCTTGCAAAGCGATACGGGAATGTAATGAAGAATCTTGTTGTTTTAGAGGGGATGGTGGTGCAGGCAGTGTTTGATCCAAGGTTTTGGTTGCTACAGGTGCCATTTGTAAGATTCGAACTTTTATTTATTTGGGAGAAGCGAGGGAATGAGAAGAGAAGAAGCGAGGAGTATTTGCGGATGCATTTATCTGGGGAGCATTATGATTCTGCAGTGATGGTGAATAAGGAGATTCCGAGTGTTGAGGTTAGCGAGTTCAGTGCATCAGTGATTAATACAGGAAAAGAAGGAGATGGAGAGGATGTTGCACTTGAGGACTCTGATGATGTGGTTATGCGTAGGGAAAGTGTAGAGGAGAGCATGAAGAGTGTGAAGAGGGATCAGAATGTGTATGTGGTGAGTGATGGGTCTTTGGTGACGGTGATGGTGAAGCTGAGCAAGGTCTCGAGTTTCCGAGGAGGATCTGATGGAAGAAAGATGGTTGTTCATGCGCCATATATAAAAGAGCAGTTGTTCTGCAGATGGATGGTGATGCTGACGATTGATGGACGGGTTTATGGAAAAATTGAGATGGTTGATGATTTTGAAGGCAACCGAAGGGTGAAGTTTAATATTGGTACCGAAGACCTACGAAAGGTAAATGAGTGCAAGGTGTTTGTTGGATGTGGCGAGTATCTGAATAGAAATGTGGAGAAGAGTATTGTAATCAAGGTTGAATAAATTTGGTGTCTATGAATGTTATGATGGATGAAGAGTTTAAATGATTGTGGAATGTTTGTTGCCCTTAAGCTGATGAATGAGAAATACAAGTTACAGTCACTAGGAAGTGAGGAGGAGGTCAAGAGCGTGGTGTTTACGAATGAACCTGAGGTAAGCATAGGAAGTGGGATTGATGCGGATGTGCGTTTGCAGCAGCCTTCGATCAAGGAGAGGCATGTGATTGTGTATTTTGAGCACATGAAGATGCGAGTACTTGGGGAGAATGTATTTCTGAATGAGGAGGCGATTGAGAAGGGGTCGATGTGTGAGTTTAGGTTTGGGGATGTTGTACGGATATGCAGATACAGGTTTGTTTTTTCTCAGACTGAGCCTGGGGATTTTATTGACGATAGCAAAGTGATACGGAAACCAAGGATGGAGATGAGCTATTTGAGCAGTGAGATGACGAGTGGTGAGGTTGAGAGAGAGGAGCCAATAAGTGTTGTTGAGGATAAGAAGATGCAGGTTGTAGATAAGAGTGGAGAAGGAATGATGGGAGAGGCTGTGGTATCGATTGCATTGAACAAGGTATCTGGTGTTTATGTATCACTTGGTGGGGATGATCATGCAAATGTGTCATGCATAAAGCAGGTTATTGAAGAGCAAAAAGAAGTGCTTGAGAAGGAGATTGAGGAGTCTATTGAGCATGGAGCGGTAGACACGCCTGTGATTGCATCGCTTGCAAAGAAGCAGGGACGCGATCTTGGCGAGGTGATGATAGAGAAGGAGCTTTTGAGCAATGCTGAGAAGATAGTTGAGGAGAAGATGAGGAATGAGCATGATGCAGTTGAGCTGGAGCTTGATGAGTTGAAACAGAGTGTGAAGGACAGTATCAAGGAGGAGCTGCGAGAGGACCTGAGGCGGGATTTTATGAATGAGGTGAAGGAGGAGATCAGGGACGAGGTGAAGGAGGTTTTGATGTCGAGTGAGATGAAGGAGGCAATTGCTACGGATGTTATTGGACACATTGATGTGATTCAGGAGCAAATCAATGTGGATGAGGGAAGTATAGATGAGCATGTGGGAGGTGAACGTGTGAAAGATGAAGTACAAGAGAAGGAGTCTGTAGAGGAGGTCATCAGTAGAGATGCCGAAGAAGGAGTGAAAATTGGAGTAGTGGAGAAGGATGAACATGAAAATGTGGAGAATGAAAATAAAGCTGAAGATTTTGATAAGCATGTGGAAGATGAGCATGTGGAAGGCATAAAAGATGAACATGAACATGAAAATGTGGAGAAGGATAATAAAGTGGAAGGCATGAAAGAAGAACATGAGCATGTGGAGGAGATGACAGATGTGAATAGTGAGAAAATATCAAGACCTAGAAGACGTGCAAGTTCTATAGGAGTCAAAGTTGAGGGAGAGGATGGATCTGAAGCACCACCTACCAGAAAAAGCTCAATTAGAAGTAAACGACAAAGTACGGGAGATGAAGAAGGAGTGAAGAGGAAGAAGGGTGAGAAACAAGAAGGAAAGCAAGAAGCAAAGGGGAATGAAAGTAAGCCCAAGGGACGTAAGAAGTAGGAATAAAGTGTTAAATGATTTTCAAGATGTTTTATGATGCCCTATGAATAAATTGTACAAGGAGATAAGCGAAGAGTTTCTTGATGGATTAAGAGAGTATATTGATGAGAAGATTGGATATGAAGAGATTGAGAGACTTTGTGCTAGAGAGTCTTTGGCTTACAGCAAAGATAGATGGGAGAGTGTGATTGAGGAAGGAGCGAATGAGATTCTGGATCTGAAGCGAAGGATATATGAAGGGATATTGAAGATTGAGGAGAAGGTGAGAATGCTGGAGAAGCTAGGAAAAGGAGAAGAATTTGAAGTTGATGTTGAAGCTGTGGCGATGCATTCTGAAATTGTTGGAAGGTGTGCAGCGTCACCTGTAGGATATGAAAACGCAGGAGTGTATTTGCCATCATTTCCATCGATTAGCATGGTAAGGAGCCTGAATTCTGATGAAGCCACATAAAGTAGATGGAATTTAGATATGCGCATGAATCCCAAGCTAGAAATTGATTGATTTCAGATAGACACATTTAGGAATGCCCTTGATGAGACTTGCAGTGAGTTGTGCCATGAATCAGAACAGAAGCATGCAAGCACATGATCTATTGATGAAGAAGGGGATTGCAGTGAAGTCGTTTGGAACAAATTCCGTGATCAGATTGCCTGGGGAGACGGCTGATGCAGCGAATGTGTATGAATTTGGAACGACATACAAGGAGATACATGAAGATCTGTGTAGGAAGAATGAGGAGTATTATAGAGAGACGGGGATTCTGTACTTACTGGAGAGGAACATGAGAGTGAAGGAGAAGCCCGAGAATTTTTTTGAGAGAAGCAATGAGTTTGATCTTGTGATAACGTGTGAGGAGAAGGTGTTTACGAGTATATATGAGTACTATGTAGGGAAGAAAGTAGGATCTGGACGTTTTGTGATGGTGAACTTTGACATTAAGGATACGCCGTCTGATGCAGTTACAGGAGCTCTTGAGATTCTTGAGTTTGTTGAGGAGGTGAATAGATTTGAGCAGGAAGGGCTTGAATATGCAGTGCGTATGGCGCTTGAGAGGCACTTTGAAAGGAGATCAAGCATGCTTCTGTTTAGTGTAGTGAGTCTGTGATGTAATGAAATGAGGCTTTGAGGAAGTGATGGTGATGAAAATGGATACCCCTAGAGGATGAAGAGTGGCTGTAAGATATGCCATGGCGGAGAGAGTGCAGATGATGAGCTGTTTAGCCCGTGCAGATGCGCAGGAACAATAAAATATATACACAAAGGATGTTTGCTGTCATGGATGGCATTTACAAAAACAAATAGATGCAATATCTGTCATTATCAGTATAAATTTAAGGAGGTGTACAAGGAGGATGTTCCTGAGCGACTGCCTATATGGATGATTGTGAAGGGAGTAGCAGAAGCAGGATGGAGGGTGATTACGGTGTTAATATGGAGCCTGCTGCATGTTTGCAAATGGATTGGGATATTCTATGTGAATGGAGGAGTGTTTATGCTGTGTATTGGAATGTGCGTTGAGATGGATATAATGTCTATAGGACAGGTAGGAATGCTTATTGGCGCAGGGATTCCGTTGACATGGCTGGCGCAGATGAACCAGATGCTTTTTGTACAGATACGCAAGAGGGTTGATGCGGATGCTCGAAGACGAGGAATGCGTAGTGTACTGATGACTGTGAGGAATGAGGAAGCGAGTGTGGAGCCTAATGAACAAGGAAACATAAGAAGAAGGAATGTGAATGTAGGAGAGCCAGAATATATAGCGAATGAAATGAATTACATGAATGAAAGTGTGAGTGATGTATCAGTGCCATTGAATGAGAGGCAGAATGAATTGAATATGGGATTAGAAGTGAATGTGAGTACTAACATGAATGGAATAGAGATGGGAGATGGAGTGCCTGAGACATCACAAGAGTCTATAGCACTTAGCAGTCCGTACAGCCAGTGTATTAATGCATTGATGAAAGCAGTGCATGAGATTTATGGACTAACAGTGCCTGTGCTATTTCTTCCTGGGATTTATGCGATTAGTAGAATGGCTTATGTGCCTGCGATGCGTTGTTCTTTTGCAGACTTTTTGGATGATGTATGGCTGAATCAAGTGTGTAATAGAATGATGGCTTTTGGAATAGTTTTTTGGATAGTGATAGAATTTATGGAACGTATGCAGACTATGATGAAAGGAAGGTTGATGAGAGCCACAGTATTGTTTATGAAGACATATTACATAATTCTTGTGAATACGATCTGCATAAACATGATACTTGGATTGGCTATCCATTACATGTTTGTGTGCACATTGAATGGAAGAGTGAGTATTCTAGAGATTGGGGATGAGTATGGAATGGTGGTACAAGGGATAATTTCGTTTGGTTTGCATGTGTTTATTGGTCATTCATTTGGCATGGGAATGAGGAATATTCTGCTGGCATTCAAGAAGTGCTTCCGAGCAGGAGTACTTCACTTCGTTCCAGACGAGGAGGAATCTAGAATGGATGAGCTTCATGAGGCGTCTAAGATGCCAATAGGCAAGGTCCACCTGAAGATTGGAATGCTGCTTGCTTTTATTTTATTTCTCTATGGCTTTGGATTCAAGGTAATTCGGAGTGTGTGTGGAGAGATTGCCAGACCTGTGGTAATTGATGGATATTTGAAGATGTGTGTAATGTGTAAGATGTTTTCTGTGGCGATGTACTCGAGCAAGATACTTTGCGAGTATTTGGTTTATGGAGTGAACAGGATGGTTATGCTTGAGTCGAAGATCCTGAGTATGGATAATTTCCTATACAATGCGTGTATCAAGAGATATGAAAAGGAGAGATTAATTTGGTGTGCAAATAAGAACAAGATATTTAGAAGGCAGCATATACATGCTAGAGGCAGAAGAAGAGTAAATGATGAGGAGATTGAAAAGTATTTTAGAAAACAATGCAATACGGATTTTTCAATATTCTATGTACCTAGGATGTTTGCAAGCAGATGCATGTGCATTGGTGTTTCGGTGGCAATTGTTCTGTATGGTATCTGTGCAGGATATTGTAAAGTAACTAAATTGGTTATTGAATGGATAGATGTATCTGCATATGTGGGCGATGATGTGGATGTTATGTTTATAAGTGTTCTTGTGATTCTGCTGCGGATTACCTGGATGATTATTTTTGTAGTATATGAAAAGATGAATAAAGGGAGAGGAGTGGGAAGGTTGTGTATAGCATTGTGTAAATATGGAGTTGCGAATGTGTACATGAATCTTGTGTATCCAGTGTTTGGAAGCATGATGGTGATGATGTTATTGAATGATGATTATGAAAGGGATGGAGCATATTTGCTAAAGCTGTTTGTATTTTTTTTCAGCTCAACGTCTATTGTCAAAGGTATTTTTCACTCATCTCCTGAGAGTTATTCGTTTAAGGCACTCATACGTGAATTATGCAAGATTAATGCACTTTTATCGATTGTTCTTGGAGTGTGGTATATATACAATGCAACAAGAATGTTGTTTGGACTGAGTAATGTAGAGTTTGTTGCGATTTGTGTACTTGTTGGATATCTACTTTTTGTGAGCAAGAAGGTTAGACAGAGGATTAGTGGAGGCAAGGGATTCTATAGGAGGCTGGTTGAGGAGAACTACCTGATAGAGAGAAGGATCATGTCGGTGGATGAATAAAGTGTTAAATTGAGTAATGGATTATGAGCGAGTTGTATTGAGTTTTATGTTTTTATAGAGTCAATGGGGTTGGGATGCGAGGAGAGAAGATCATGCGAGTAGAGGATGAATTTAAAGAAGGGCCTGAATGTGTAAGAATTGATATAAAGGTGTATGTGAATGAGAATGGAAGGATAGTGCTTCGGCCATCTAGTAAGAGGTTGTCTGTTGAGCTAAGCAAGTTGGATGGAAGTGTGTATGATGTTGGATGCAACGAATGGACAATACATGAGGATGAGTATATGACTATTAGAAAAGTGTTGAGAAGGAGTGGGTTTGTGTTTGAAGACATTCCAAGAGGTGTTCTTGATGCAATTAGAAAGATAAATGAAAATAGTGAATTCGAGCTTATAGGAAGTGTGTATGATATATTGCTTCCATTCCAGCGAGAAGGAGTTCTACGTGTGTTGTCGATGGGAGGCCGAGCAATTATTGCGGATGACATGGGATTAGGAAAGACGATTCAGGCATTGGCAGTTTCTTATTACTACAGATCTGAGTGGCCTTTGCTGATTATTGCACCTGCATCACTGCTTGAAGACTGGGCTGATGCATGTAAAAAGTTTTTACATGTTAATGCAAAGATATTCAAGAAGACTGAAGAGAAGGAGGAAGTGTGGATAGCAAGTTATGAAACGGTTGCATCTGATGCACAAATGATGAGTGGGATCAAGGTGATTGTGGTTGATGAATGTCATTACCTGAAGGGGATGGATTCGAAACGAACGAAGGCAATAGTTCCACTGCTTCAGAAGACAAGAAGGGCATTGATGTTGTCAGGAACGCCAGCAGTTAGCAGACCATTAGAGTTGTATCCGATTTTGTCAGCACTTGATAAGACGATGTTTCCACGCTTCAATGAGTATGGAGTACGGTATTGTAATGGAAGAAAAGTTGGCAACTGGTATGATTATAAAGGATGCAGCAATGCTGAGGAGTTGAATTATGTGTTGAAGAAGTGTTTTATGATAAGAAGAACAAAGGATGAGGTACTGAGCCAATTACCTGCAAAATCCAGAAGACAAGTGTATCTACAGTGCAGTAGAGTACAGCATGAACAAGAGAAGGAACTGTTGGGTGAAGATGTCAATTCCAGTATAGTAGTGCAGTACCGAGAAGCAGTTGGCTTGAAGATGGATTCAGTAAAAGAGTATCTGGAGACGGTGGTGAGAAGTGGAGTTAAGTTTATTGTTTTCTGTCATCACATAGAGATGATGGATGGACTGAATGTGTTTTTTGAGTCTCTGGGTGTTTCTATGATTAGGATTGATGGATCAACTCCAAGCAATAGTAGGCATCTGTTGGTGAAGAAGTATCAAGATGATAATGAAGTGCGTTTGGCGCTTCTTAGCATTACTGCATGCAGTACAGGACTTACGCTTACTGCAGGAAAGCTTGTTGTGTTTGCAGAGCTTTACTGGAATCCCGGTGTTCTTCTGCAGGCTGAGGATAGAATACATAGGATTGGACAGAAGAGCAATGTTGATGTTGTTTATCTTGTTGCGAAAGGAACGGTTGATGAGTATGTGTGGCCAAAGTTATTGTCTAAGCTGAATGTTCTTGAGTCGTTAGGGATAGGAAAGAATCAGTTTAGGAGTATTGGAGTGTCTAAGAAGATTGCAGGGCAAACGAGCCTATATCAGTTTGACATTAAAAAGGCAAGATAATTGTAAGTGTGTAACTCTAGTGATGTTCTATCAATGCATTTACCCATATTTAAAGATATTGGAATGGCGTTTCATGGGATGATGGATGATGTAGCAGACATGAGATTCAAAGCAGAGGTGATGATTCTTGAGAGAGTTGTGTATAAGTCTAGGAATGGGCACAAAGGATCAAGGCTTTTCAAAAAGCTTGTGCATGTGCTGAGATTATGTAGAATGTTCTTGGCAGCCAGAGTACAAAGCAAGGTGTATTTAGTACGCAAAGCATGCGAAGATTTGTATATACTGGGGACTTCAAATATTCCGGACGGATATTTCATTGGATACACATTAGTGGTGCTTGGAATAAGCTCTAGGATACATTATCTAATAGCAAAGCTCAAATGCAAGGAAGACCAAGTAGATGACATAGATGACATGTTTGCTGGGATTAGTGATGTTTATGCTGATCAGTGATCAGTAGCTTAATAGAGCCGTTATTAAAATGCGTATAAATAATCTAAATGTTTAATAGGAATGCATCAGTCTTCGTCAAACAGACTTAGCCGCTTTTCTGTTGGCAAATGCATCGTAAATTTTTTTAGCTAAATTGCCTGTTGGATCTTTACCAAATATCTCTTTTGACTTCAAGATAATAGCCAGTGTGCCACACACAAGAGCCATAATGCATAGAATATTGAGTATTTGGAACTGTTGATCTGTAGTTTCTTCAAAAAGTGCATCTACTTCGCATATGAAATTTTGGAGCAGTGGAATTGCAAGTAATGCGAATATTGTAAACATGTGAATTGCCTTGCAAATATTATAAATGCTTTTGACCTTATTATTGACTTCATATGTATAATAATGGCCTGCAGCTATATTTACTATCATGAAAATATAATCAATAGTTATAAGTATGGCTCCAGCTATAATAAAATAGTCTACATAATTTCTGTCCTTTTTCTTCCTAAATTCTACAAATTCGTTTGAAACAACCATGCTGAGAAATGTCATAACTGATATGCCTATAGGTATTGTTTTCTGGGAAAGTTCGAGCTTTCCTGATAATATTAGCAATAGCAACACCAGCAATGTCAAAAAGTATGATGACATCACAATGAACTTTCCTGTGTATGCCTGTTTGAATCCAAATGCCCTCAGATGTTTTTGCATCAGGTATATGATTTTCAGTACCATAAGTATGATTGGAGTGCATATCAATACCTTTACAACTTTGTCAGTGCCTAGTATTGCTAGAGTATTATTTTGCTCCATAAGCTTAGTGAATAATAATATGCCTGTGTATGATACGCCTATTATAAAGAATATAAGATAGAAAATACCATCTACTCTTGTGAATGCATGCTTGAGGAATTTTGTTGCAAAGTTTTTACCTTGAGTCTCTTCGTTGTTTTCCGCATCTATTTGCAAGTCTCCAACTGTGAGTGAATCTGGCATTGTGGTACTGCTTGATGAAAAACTGTATTTATACATTGAACTCCTTTTACAGTACCTTATCAGGTCGCAGTGATTGTAATAGTAAATAATTTGTGTGAAATTGTACAAGCAATTATGTATGGTTAATTGGATGTACAATCAGAATAATTGGTTAGTCAGAAGGTACAGAAAGGTACAAAGAGATGTTTATGCACCAATGATAATGTTAGTGGATATGATATAGCTAGTCATGTTACTAGCTTGTATTATCATGGAAAGAACTTTATACAAGGCATGCATTGATGGTTCAATGTTAAATTGGATCATGTTTATGCAAAATGGAACCCTGTATGGAAGAAAAGATCTCTGGAATGTCAATAAACAGTAGGGATGAATGCAGAAGAGTTGTTGAAATCAAAGAGCTGAACGAGAGCTTTAATGGAAGAACCGTTACTGTGAGAGGATTTGTACTCAAGTGCTCATGTACTGGAAAGTACGTTTTTGTTGTTCTTAGAGATGATGGATGTACTCTTCAATGCATGGCTGAAAAACCAGCAGAAGGAGCAGATGAAAAGTTGCTTAATGAGTTTAAGAGCCTGAAAAAGGTAACTCATGAGTCTTATGTCGAGATTGGAGGAGTTATTGTCAAACAGGAAGTGGAGATATCTGGATGTAGTAAGAAGAATATTGAGCTTCGTATTGTTAGTGTATGTGTTCTTAGTGCAGCAGACAAAAGCTTACCGTTCAGTATGAAGGATGTGCAAGCAACGATTGAAGAGCGAGAAAGGAATCCAGCACTGCCTACTGTTGCATATCATATACGACTGGACAACAGGGCAATGGATCTCAGAGTAATGCAAACAAGGGCAGTATTCCGTGTGATTGATGGGATTATGTTTTTTTTCAGGATGCACCTGCGCAAGAATGGATTTATTGAGATCAAGACACCAAAACTGATAGAGAGCTCTAGTGAGGGTGGAGCCAATCTGTTCAATGTTGATTACTTCAAAAGAAAGGCATACATGGCGCAGAGCCCACAGTTGTACAAACAGATGGCAATTATTGGGGGAATGAAGAAGGTTTATGAGATAGGACATGTTTACAGGGCGGAGGAGTCTAATATCAACAGGTATCTGAGCGAGTTTGTAGGACTTGATATGGAGATGGAGATATCTACCGATTACAATGATGTGATTAAGCTGATATATTCAATGTTTGTTGAGATATTTGATGGACTGAGAAGTGATTATGGAGATGAACTCGAGACTATTAGAATGTTCCATGAATATGAAGACATTAAGTATGGGCGAGAGCCTGTAGTGCTTACTCATAAGGAATGCACTGATCTTTTGGTGGCCGAAGGAGTGGATATTAAGTATGGAGAAGACTTCAACAATGAGAATGAAAAGAGGCTTGGAGGAATAATCAAGAGATTACACGGAGTGGATATTTTTGTGATAAAGGATTATCCGGTGCCCATAAGGCCTTTCTATACGTATCGTAACAAAGAGGAAGGAACGACAAGATCATATGATTTTATTCTGCGTGGCGAGGAGATTCTTTCAGGTGCACAGAGAGTTGATTGCTATAATGATCTGCTTGGATATGTCAAAGAGCATGGGATTGCGCCTGAGTCACTTGGTGGGTATCTTGAGTCATTCAAGTACGGAGCACCACCGCATGGAGGATGTGGGATTGGACTGGAAAGGCTTGCAAAAGCATATTTTGGAATGACGGATATAAGATGTTTTTCTCTGTTTCCTAGGGATCCTAACAGACTTTATCCTTGAATTAAATTGATGAGGGGAAGTGTTTTATTCCAGTGTTTGAATCTCGGTATTTTTATGTGTGGATATTTATGGAATGCCTGAGTGGGGCTTGGTTGATGGATAGCATTAGACGGTATTTGGTTGAAGGATGGAGTGAGGAGGGCTTGACGGTATTGCTTTTCTACATGAAGAGCATGGATGCAGTGGAGATGATGTACTTTTTGAACATGGTTACAAGGATGCTTGACAGGAACACAGCCGTTGTTATGCTTGCGTATCTTTCACAAGCTCAAGCAAAAGGATTGAAGTGCCCGAAATATGCGCAGAGAGCATTGAGCTACCACATACACGTACTGAGCAAGAAGATATCGAAAAATGTGCCAGAGATGCTTAGCCAATATGTGTTGGGTGTGAAAGTTATTAGTATGAACGAAGGGAATGTGAAGGGTCGAATAGAGCGGAACACGAAGGAATTTGAGCCAATGGATTTTCTTATTGACTTAGTATTTGAGACACTTGTGAAGGCAAGTAATGCAGAGATAGAAAATAGCATACAAGCGCATTTTAATGATGAACATAATAGGGTGGAGATTAATGCAGTCAGAGAGTCTCTTGAGATTCTATGCAAGATCAAGGAAGCAGAAGCTGTGGATGCAAGTATTGCAAGAATAGTTAAGATGATAGGGCCTGAAGATAGTGCAGAGGTTGTGAGATTTATTGGAAGTAATGAGAGATATGCGCATACGTTTTTTCTTTATGCGTATTTGATGAATGCCGAGGCATATGAGTCTATGGCAGAAATAATTCTTGAGAGTGTAGAATACTTCAGACCTGAGATTGTTGGTGGCCTTGTTAGCATTGATTTGGAACGAGTTATTCGGAAGGTGAATGATGGGTCTGTGAAAATTTTGGACGACATTATAAGGAACAGACAAGTATGTGTTGAGAAGATAGCGGAACTGGCATCAAGAGGGCTTGTGAACATTGGAAGAGAAAGTGTTATTAGCGTGTTTAAAAACAACTATGGAGTGCTTGAGAAGTATGCAGCGCAGTTTGAACTGAATGTAAACGAGATGATTGAAATATCCAAGGCAAATGATGCAGCGCTTGGGCCTACTTTTATAATGATTGAGACCGCAGAAGAGATGAATATATTTGTTGATTTATTGAAGGATAAAGGTGATGCAGTTGTGATAGATGCAATTGAAGGAGTTAGCGATGAAGCAAAGAAAGAGCAGTTTATAAACACGATTATCAAGAAAAGAATGATGAAGAGTCAGTTAAGAGCATATTTGGTGAGAAGTTATCTGGATGATAGTAGATTTGTATATAGACTTCTTCCATATCTTGAGAAAGCAGATGTGTATCGGCACATTTCTAACTATGTGGTTGATGAAGAAAGCTTGAATGTGTTTCTAAAGGTTATTGAGTGTTCTGAATTGCTTATTTTTGCACATAAAATCAGTGATGTGAAGAAAGCAAGTAGAATACTTGATCTGTGCTTTAGGTCACCGAAGTTTGTTGAGAGTGACTTTCTGTTTACGTTAAAGACTCTTGAGAACGAGCCATCGCCACTTGTTATACAAACATTGATACAGGCACTGACGATGCATCCAGGATTGAAGAATTTTGTGATTTCGTTTCTATCGAGATTGTGTAGAAGAGATATCTGGAAAAATGAAGAGCTAGTTGCAGAGATAATGAAGTGCCTGAAAATGCTTGACACAGTGTGTGTTGATATAATCATGTGCATGAACGAAGAAGCGATGTACAAAGTGCTGAGCAGAAGTAATAAGCTTAAGACATATTGCACAGACTATCTTGCGATGCAGCGTACAGGCAAGTCTAGTAGGCATATGCAGCAATATTCAATGCTGAAAGCAGCCTTGAAAAGAGCATCTGATAAATGATTAGTATAAATAGTTTTTGTATATCAAACCCCCGAAGGATGATGATGTTTGCCGCCCCAGACTGAGTGTTTGATGAAACAGCAAATTCTGACTTCGCATGCTCAACGATGGTTCTGCACCTCCACGTGGTGTTGAGTGGAAGGATGCCTGGAAGGGTATCACTAAGACAGAGCCTTTAATGATTGATTATGAAAGCGTTATTTATTTTGTTTGTGAGATTGCATGTAGCACCCGTTTTGTACTTTTTATGACGAGTTGATTGGCAGAATGTGATGCATATGCAGCCGAGCCAAGAATAGAGAATGCAAATAAGCCGTTGCCTACCTGGAATGAATTTTTTTTGTTAGTTAGTAAATGTAAATGTTTAGCGTTGTGTGCTTGTATTGTAATTGAATCTCGTTGCACGGCGAAGCCTTTTGCAAAGTCTTCATTGGTGCAGCTCAATGGCTTCATAAAAAGACTCAAATCAAGAAACACATCATAAATTGATTTTCCTATTGTGAGCCTGAAATTTGAATTGATGGCTGATGAGTCTATTTTCATAAGAGGATAAGTACCTTCTTGTGCAATTCGTTTTCTGCTTGGCCATCCTCTGCACTCGTAATAAATGGATATTTTTGATTCAAGAATGTCTACTTGTAGAGATATTTCGTTGTTGTTAATGCAAAGCGCACCCTTTAGCCCATTTGTGTCAATTAACCTGATTATGTTGTTGTCTGCAGAGCAGGTTTGCTGAACACCTGGAAGATTTACACATGGTTGTGATTCTGCAAACCTAGCCCAAGCATTCTCTTCATCATGTTTTCCAGATAATAACGGGGATATCCTTTTTAAACAAGTATTTTGTGATTCTGCTGCATTCTGATAGATAATAGAAGATCTATTATTTGATTTTATATTTGCATTAGAGTTGCAAACATTTATACTTGAATCCGCATGAATCTTCTCTGGTTCATAGATTATATTAGAGTTGTTTAAATGCATATTTGAGCCTTTATGAAACTTCTCTTGTTCATAACATACATCCTCTCTATTCACAGGTTCACTTTCAATAAAGCTTTCGCCACGAACCAAACACTTTCTAATGTTCATTTGCTTTTCACAATCATCATGAGGTTTATCTATGCTTGGATCATCATATCCATAGTAAGGTTTAACATCAAGGATCGACTTTGTAATACGAGGTAAAAATTCTGAGTATTTTGATTCATATATGTTGTCGTTTCTCTTCAAATGACAGAACATTCCAAGTCCTGCCAATCCTTGTGTTTTCAATGTAGATATAACCATGCTTATTTTCTCTTTACTTATACAGTGTTTCTGGATGTCAATCAAATTCTCAATCGTTGTGGTTATGCTATATATACCTCGTCTATACATGTTAAGATAGAACCTGATAAACTCATCTGTAAGATGCACACTGCTCTGGCGTTGAATCGAGAGGATTTCTGCAGGAACATCCTGGCAATATATTCCACACAAGTAGATGTATTTCTGCTTCTCATTGATGCCAGATACACTTCTCAGAAACTGATTGATCAAAAAGCTCCATTTTGCAGACAAAACATCCGCTTTGTACAATATACCAATCACTTCATCTGTATTGTCTGTGTTTTTGAAGACATCCTCAATTGGATAATCAGCACGAATCGACTCTGCTAAAACAGTACTAGCTAATCTCGAGATATTACACATCCTCTTTACTTCTGCAATCGAAATATTATCCAGTCTGTTGAACAACAACCTGATTTTTTTGATCTTATTGTGAATGCTGTCGCTATCAAATATTGCAAAGCACGAATTTTCATACTGCACATGTTCAACAAGCGACTCTGCGTACTCAAGCACAAAGTACAGCTCATCATCACTGGCCAAAAGGAATCCTTGGAGATGATCAAAAACTGACTGCCTGAACGAAGAATCAATCATAATCGCTAACGACGATCCTAAGTAAAATGTTCTGAAGTCACATGATATCATGCAGTAATTCAACAACGCAGCATCTCTAAACTCATCAGCTCTGTTCTTAATCACCTCCAAAAGGCATCCAAGCACATCCTTGCTTCTACATCTAGAATACTTCTCTAAAAGCTTGTTGATGTCTTCAACAGATAGAATCTTAGCATGATCGTTTGCAGCATGAATATCCTCTACAACACGAATAGTATTGATTGCACATGCACTCACCGCATGATTATCATCAAAAGCCAAACGTCTTAGTAAATCACATAGCCCCTCATCACGAAACAACTTAGGATCTCTTATAAAGTAGTTCTTCAGTGAGCATGCTACCTTCTGCCTTGTATCAACACATTTACTTGATGCATGCGCCCTCAGTGGGTTGATGTAGTTTTTTATGACTGTCCAGTCACCAAGAAGTCCACTGTATTCAATTGCACTGTGCCTTATATCTTGATCCTCATCCCCAAAGTCCTTGAGCAAAGTGTTAATGCACATCAGCTGCTTTGCAGGCCATTCCTGAGTGTACTTCACAAGGTATTGGTTCAATAAAATCTTAAACTCAACATTGCGTGTGTCAATTACTCTCATGACATCATTACATAACACTGACATATCTTCTCCACGTTGCATCCTGCATATCAAGCTACGCATTCCTTCAATCTGCTTCTTCTTGTCCATTGAGGAAATAAATTCTGTAATCTCCACCTTCTCCAAAGGTTCAGAAACAAAAGAGCAGTTCTCAAACAACCTACTTATGTCCTTCATCTCAAATGCATCCTTAACTCCCATTGTTTGTTTATCTCTGCTTAGAGTTATCATTCTCATGAAACCATCCATAAACTCAAATACAAAGAAACTGCATAAGCAAATACTTTATTAATACTTCAATAATCCTTGACAAAGACATCTGATGGCAGCCTTGTTGCAATAAGCTTTTCAACCTCAAATACTTCATTCTTCAGCCCCTTCATTCCCAATCTTATCATTGCATCTAAATCTCCCAGCAGCAAATACTCTCCTTTATATCCATTCAAAAACTCCACAAATCTTCTTATTTCTCCAAATGCCTCAATCGCTTCATTATATCTAGTCTTTAGCATCTGGATCTTGTATACATACATAATCCTAGACACAAGTATCTCAATAAAGTTATAGGATCGGATCCTTCTCACAAAATGCACTTTTTTCTGCGTAACAAGCACCTTTGGCTTATTATTGTTCAAATTCATCTGTGGTACATTCATCCATCTTTTTGCCTCCATCATTCCTCTTTCTTTCCTCATCAGAGCTGTACACTCTAGTATCTCTCTTCTTTCCCTTTGAATGTACTCACCAACAGAAACAACACTTTTGTGACATCTGGCCATTCTCCTTAGTATAGCCAGATATTTCATTGCCAGTCCAGATATCTGGAAAAACTTAAACCTTGCCGTTTCAATATCATCGCTCTCCTCATATCCATATTCGCAAAGTTTCAGGTTCAATAGCGACATGTTATAAATATACACTCTATCAACAATCCTCATGATAAATAAATACCCAATCACCGACACACTCACTGAAAAAAACTCTTTTGGCATTCTCCATGGTGCCACATTTGCTATATCAATCAATATGTGCAATCTTATCATCAAAGCCAATATTCTTAATCCTATGCTTCCAATTATTGCTGTACCAACCACAAGAATTATACTGCCTGCATATATTCGCATCACTTCACCAGCCACTGATCCAACCGATAGCCACATGTAAATAATCAATCCACGAACACGCGTGTGCTTCCTTTCTATCATCAAAATATCTGCTCCAAACGTCTGTAGCAATGATGAAAATATCAAAAAGAACACATAGAATAGTGAAAGTATTCCAGTCATGCTAGACTCGGTTCTCAAGTAGCTTCCAACAAAATACCTTACAAAAACCAGTTGTGAGATAACTGCATGCAAAAAAGCAACTAATCTAGGCATTCTTTTGCCAGTGTATGATGCTCTACATGAAAGATGTAAATGCATTGCAATCCATAGCATTATTGTCCTAATAGAACTCATGCTGGATGCTAAACAACCAAGCGGATCAATAATAATCCTCAATGGATCTCCAACAAACTGTGCAGCTATTGCAACCACAAACATGCCTTCAATTCCACTAAGCATCCATGCAAACATCCTGTGCCGACTCACTTCTTTTTCAATGGATGCCATCTATCAAACACTCTAAGGGGTTGCCAACTAAACACACAATCCAGCCTAACATTACAGAATAAAATTTTCGTTGATCACATGCATATAAACCACTCAGAACATGCCCATCTTCCTTACAGTTGTTCTTGTCATCCAAGATACAGATTCCAGGGAAGTACAGCAGCCAAATACAGGGTGAGTTCCAGGTAATCCTTGAACTCAAATGGATTTGAACATTTTTACATAATGTCTTCTTGTATTTGCATCTGTCCACTCAATCAGCATGCTGCCATTAATGTATATAATACACATGCATTGTTAACTTATTGATTCATGCAAAGAATACACATCGCATTAAATCAATCAACCTCATTAATATGCTGACACTCACTGTTTACTTAAAGTACTTTCCATTTGGAATATATTGCTCTAGTAATGCTGATATACAAGCTCATGCATTCCCTCCAAAAAAAAATATATAAACATCACGAAATCTTCCTCATGTATGGAGACAGATGCAGAAATAAAGCAAATGATTAATGAGGTTGATAAGGTTGAAATGTTACTTGATCCAGAAGAAGAGCGCTTTGTGCTATTTCCCATCAGGTACCACGATGTCTGGGAAATGTACAAGAAAGCAGTAAGCTCATTCTGGACAGTTGAGGAGGTAGACCTTACTGGAGATATCAAGGACTGGAATAATCTAAGTGCAAACGAAAGACATTTTATATCACACATCATTGCGTTTTTTGCAGCATCAGATGGAATAGTGAACCTCAATCTTGTGGAAAGGTTTTCTAATGAGGTGAAAATGCTTGAAGCAAGACTTTTCTATGGATTCCAGGTGGCAATAGAAAACATTCACAGCGAGATGTACAGTTTATTGATTGACACTTACATTAGCGATCCAGCTGAAAAGGAATTCCTGTTTGATGCAATAAAGACAATTCCAGCGATCCAGTTGAAAGCAGAATGGGCAATGAAGTGGATATCTGACAAAGACTCCACATTTGCAACCAGGCTTGTTGCATTTGCATGTGTTGAAGGAATCTTCTTTTCTGGAGCATTTGCATCGATATTCTGGCTGAAGAAGAAAGGATTGATGCCTGGCCTGACATTTTCTAACGAGCTGATCAGTAGAGACGAAGGACTGCACTGTGACTTTGCATGCATGTTACACACATATCTCAACTCTAAGTGTGAGTGTATTGTTGAGATTGTGAAGGAAGCAGTGGACATAGAAAAGACGTTTTTGGGGAGTTGTCTACCCGTGAGCCTGATAGGGATGAACTGCAACTTAATGTGTGAGTATATAGAGTTTGTGGCTGACAGACTTCTTGTTAATCTTGGAGAGCCAAAAATATACAACACAACAAATCCGTTTGATTTCATGGAAAATATCTCACTTGTTGGAAAGACAAACTTCTTTGATAAGCGCGAGTCACAGTATCAAAAGGCATTTGTTGGGATACGAAATGGAAATGATTCATTTAGTATTCATTCAGATTTTTAGTTTAATAAAGTGTTTCCTGAGAGTGTCTCTTGCTCTGTAGACAAGCGCCATAAATAAAGTGTTGTGTTACGACATCTCTTCGTAGCACATGATCATCATACATCTTGATCATTCCTCTATTGATGACTGCCAAGTCCTTTCCTGTGATGCTTTTGAGGATCTGTGATGCACCTCCAAGCTTATTTGCCACTGCTTCGTAATAACATCTTGTACTATTAAGCATATCAGGTTCATTAGACTTGATTTTTTGGCAGACAAGCTCAGAAGACCCAAATAGAAATGGAAGAAACTGATAGTCATCAAGTCCCCACACGCCATGGCTACCTGCAGGCTCTAGGTTGAATTTCTTCACAAACTCTCGAATGACCTCAAAGTACTTGATCAGCGTAGTGAATATGCACTCAATATCTATCTCCTTGTAAAAGTACTTTGTGTACAAGTAGCAAAGATAGTTCAACTCATGCCCTGTTCCATAGTCGAGTCTTGTGGAGTTTCCAAATGAATTCTGTAAATACTTATCCTCGTACTTCTTACATATTGTATCGAATACTGTCTTTGCTGCCAGGTTCGCATATCTATGAGGTGTAAGACTCTTTTCTGTATCGTTTATTATCGCAGATATGTCTATGAGTATTTGCATCTGTGTTTCATCTATTTTCTGAGTGGATGTTTTAATGCATTCATCTATTGACAGGATGAACTCATAGATTCTTGCATATGCATCTGTTTCTGGAAACATTATATCATCCATTTACAGGGTTTATAATTAGATTTATTCGATACTATCGTACAATCTTGTGGTTTGCGGTATCTATTATTCATTCAATACATAATTTAATGATCCACTTAGATGTGGTTGTGTTTATAGATTAGTTATCAAATATTTTGTAAAATATGAATGTTTTTAAACAGGCCGTCAGAGCTTTACCAATACTTCGTGACTTCACTGGTTGAGAATTAAACCTTTTAAATTGATCCAGAATGTGCTGTGTCTATCAAACATTGCTCTGATGTGGCCGAAGTGTGAATAGAATGTGTCTCTGGATATCATCCAGATAAAAAGAAACGTCAGTTCGTCACAAATCTTGTTATCAATAAGAAACATGAGTATTGATGTCTTGTTGCGTCTTATATGGCATACATGAGGTACTTTTATAGTCTGACTCTGATGGTTAACGCCATGCATTGTCTGTAAGATGTCAATTGCAGACCAGTCTCCATTACATCGTCCGATCAGATACGGTGCAATAAGTCTCGGATGTGCTTCTATGCAATATCTTAGAAATAGTATGTGCTCGTTTGTATTCTGTATGTTTTTGATGATTGAATCAATTATTTGTGCCTTAATGCTTGATGATCCTGTATTTTGTAGAATCTCGATGTACGTGTTGATTGAGTGAATGTATGGGAACTTAAGCAAGTGAAGGACATCGCATGGCTGTAGCAATCCTTCTTTTTGCACAAGTGTATGAAGTATTGGGCTTGTTGCAGGATTATGACATGTGTATTTTGGATTAAATACCTGAATACCAGATCCTATATTTGATGCTCTATTTATTCGATTGTATATGTCTATCTCCTTCTTAGAGTAGTATGAAATAAACTGTAGAAGCGATACATATAACGGGATGCATTCATCAAAGCAATCACTGGTGTATATTTCATTTGTTTTTGAAATAACGGTTTCTATGAAGTGCATTGATCTGAGTAATTCGTATGCATCTTTGCAGGAGATCATGTATACGATGCATGCTCTAGCGTGTTCACCTGATATGCCATTATTGAAAAAGAACCTGAGAATGTAATTGATTAGCAAATGTCTTGGCTTGAGTCCAAAAACGACTGCTCGTTCACAATAAACCAATGCCAGTGCCAGCTCATCAGATGATATGGATGTGAAAAGCATGTCGAAGAATTTTTGTAGCCTCATAAATTTATCATACGAAATGAAAGACATGATCTTTGCCAGAAAGTCGATTGCCACGTGCTTGTGCTCAACACATCCGAGTTTATATACAAAATAGAGCACGTTGTTGTCTATCATGTATTCAAGACATCTGTGGTGTTTGTTTTTAATTTGCTCGTTTTTGAGGCATTCTTGTATTGTTGTAATGCTATTATGTATGTTACGACCTTCTTTCAACTCAAACCATGCTTCTACAAAGATGTCATACACTGTGTCTTGCTTGCCAACAAATGAGGATATGAATTCAACCAGAGGCATGATATGTGTACGCATTGTATGCGTTTCTATGTATTTATGCATGTTTCAGAAGTGAAGTGATGTGTGGAGTGATAAGTAGGTGAATGAATGATAAATATTCATTATGAATTGCATAGTGCCCAGTGATACTTACTAATGCTCAGTAATGCCTAGTAAACATCAATTATAGATCATAAAATGTTCATGCACTTTTTGATTTAGTCTTGCATACTGTAATTCAATGCATTGCTTGGTGCACTAGATTTGCTGCTAATTTCTTGTTTAACTGATTTTTGAATCCCAGATTAGATGGATACTTATGAAGTGCTATTGGGATTATCAAAAAACCCAATGAATTATACAGAGGAGTATGGCAGGCAGTTAGACAAGTTTGTTTCGCTTGTGAATCTTCCAAATCAACCTGAAAAGCCAATCAGACAAGTTCTCTCGCTTCTGTTAACACATGTGAAGATTGACAGCAGACTTCCAAATGCACTTATCAACAGCATAAGAACAATCAAATGCCACAAGATAAGACACGTAGTGATTGAGAGTTTGTTTTTACTAAAAAGAAACAAGTTGATAGATGCAGATCAGCTGTTGAGGAATCTTCTTGAATATCATTCGGATCTGAAGTCGATATTGAACCGAACAAGGCGAGAGGTGAGTGTAGATACTATTCCATGCTTACTTGAATATTATACAAAGGGAAACGATAAACAAAAGTGTTTCTGCTACTACATGATTGTGTATCTATTTTCTTGTGGACACACAAAACTTGAGAAGGATGTATGCGAGGGAATGTTTGTGGATGGAAAGGTTGGAAAACTGTGCATGTTATATTTTTTAGACCAGATAGACTTTGAAGATGAAGGAAGTAAGGCAATGGATCTGTTGAGCTATGAGGGAGCAAGTACAGGGAAGAAGCTGTTCAAGAGTATCCAAAGAGAAGCAGTAGACAGAGAAGTGAAGATAATGAAGATGAAAGTGTATTCGCTGTTTAAAAGCAGATATGGACTGAAAGCGTCGATAGTGCCTCTTGCATTAGATATGCTAAATCCTGATAAGAGCGATATCAAGGATGTGATGAGGTTGATAATTGGTGGAACAACAGAGAATGATGTAATGAAAGTGATTGGAGTTGTTAGTGAGATGCTGTGCTCGGAGTTCCGTGACGATGATTACATTGCATATGGATTGAATGTGCTAAGAGAATTGTACTGCAAGTTTGACTCTGAGGCAAGTAAGCTTAAGCAAAAAGGCATAGATATGGACATGGAGGATGCTTGCGATAGCGATGATGAATTTGCAAGCGAAGATGCGTCAATATTCACGAATGAAGAACACATTGAAAGTGAAGATAAAGAAAACGACCTGCGCATTAAGGAGTTTATTGATGGCATGAAAGATAAGATTACAAATGCAGTGTCATGCTTCAAGGACTCAAAATCCAAGTGTGTATATTATGCATACATGTCTGTTGTGAATGTGATGAATCACAGGAAGTATTCTGGAAAGCGCCCTGAGTATGTGAAGAAGAAAGCAAGCAAGGAGGAGCGAATTGCAGTTAAAAGAGCTGGTCTAAGGGACAAGAAAGAGATGATGAAGGAAAGGAAAAAGAGTGGAGGAAAGCATTCTAAGAAAAGAAGAATAAGCAACAAGAAAAAGACTGTGAAATAAATTTGTCTGATCTTCATATTTGTTATCGTATATGAGTGAGAGTAAAAAATTGCATGAGTGATCCCTGGAGCACAAGTGATGAAGATGCCCAGGAAGAAGATCACATTTAAGACACCTAGGAAAGGAACAAAGACACCTACAAAACAGGTAATATCTGAGGAATTGCAAGAAAACACGGAATTAGCAGAGCAGAAGTCAAGCGAAGGGATAAAAAACACAGAAACTCAAAGGTCACATAGTACAGCATTACGATACAAACAGATTCTTGAAGAGATGAAGGTGAAGGAAGAGGAGCTTATAGGAAGTTATAAAAAGGAGAATGAGTATTTAAGGTCGCTCAAGACCGATGCTCTTCTCTACAAGAGGTTTGTTGGATTTGACATTGTTGAATCTGATGGGTCGTATGAAGTGACGCATGAGGTTGTATCAAACAATATTACAAAGTCAATCAGATTTGTTCTGCTTCCTGAGGATGGTGCATATGTGTACAAGCTCGTGGAGTCAAGAAACATCGAATTGCCCGACTTTCTTAGTGAAGAGATAACATTCGACGAGTGTCAAGTAAAAACATTCTTCTTCAAGGTCATGGAGGCCGTCATCACGAAGAAAAGCTGAGCTAACATGCATACAAGATGCTTCATAGATTTTGTAATAAAAATCATCTTTTTAATTCAAAAGGGTTTTTGCAGCCACTTCTGGGATGCCTTTTATATCTGGCTGTGCAGCGTTTATTTCCTTGAGCTACGGATATTGCCATTCCTTGAGACTTCATTCTTTGACTTCTCGGAAACTTCTGCAATCCTACGCACCCAATATTCCTTGACATTCTTTTCATCAAATGATAGGATAAACGAATCTGTGTTAACTGTTATCACAAGCCTGTACGGATGACGGTCATCAGATGCAAGGTCATAGTGTCTGATTTCCTTTGTCTCCTTGATGTCCCAATTTCCCTTTGCATTCTTCATCCCATCAACCTTGTAGTACTTAAGTATCCCATCCTTTGTGAGAACAAAGTACTTTTGATGCCAAAAGCAGCTGAAGAACTGCCTTTTCTTCCAGATCCATCCTTCTGCCACAACTTCTCCATCTTCTCTTTGCTTGAATATCTCAGAATTGATGTTGGCATCATTCAAAAGCAGTACTGGAGGCACAAATATTTCTTCTCTTTTGCTTGATTCGTCACCTTCTTTCACTGCGTTCTTTCCTACATACTTTGTCTTTCCATCCGATGGCATTTCTGGACCCAAATGATCTGATCTTTCGCCATCTTTCGGAACAGTATACTCCTTGTTATGCTGTTCATTAATCACCGCCTTCTTACCGATGCTTTCACTTTTACTTTCACCATCTTTCTCATGCTGCTTATCGCTATTCATCAGCTTACTTTCTTCTGTGATTTTCTTACTTGCTTCCTCTTTACCACTCCTTATTGCACTAGCATTCTTCTGATCATCGGCTCCATTCCTTGCATTATTCATTATTTCATTTTCCTTGCCACTCGCAAGACCATCTTTCGCATCGCTTACTGCGTTACTTGCTCCTCCACTCACTGCATTTACATTCTCAACTCCTTCAACATCTCTTGGCTTCTTCTCAATATTCACAGCTTCTCCCTTTTCGTTTATCACCATAATGCTTCTCTTCCTTCTGACTTTCTTTTCACTCATTGCTATCCACTCACATTCTCTATTTAAATTACAGGTTCTCCTTTTTTCATTCAACAAATAAAATCACTCACTCATTAATCATATGCACCACTCAGCTTCTCCCTTACGCATCATCCCAATCACTAGACTAATCAAATCAAATCACAGAAAACACTCATTCACCATCATCATTACCTTCTGATAGTCTTCTTTCGGTATATCCTTGGCATTATCCACAATGCATTCATACAAATACAGTCGGTATCTGTTACGCACATTCTCTTCAACGCCTACTACCTTACCAAGCATTCTACATATCTCTCTCCTGAGTGTATCTCCATCTTTAAATGCTTTTCTTATTCTCATCATATCATAAAATCTCATCAGAACCTTCCTCTCCTCCTCACAATATACAGAATTCGCCTCCAATCCTGCAATCTCAAGAAAACTCAAATGTCTTTCATAAACATTTCTGCATAAAACAAGTTGTTTAAGTCCACTATTTACATTGCAAGATATCTTTCCAAGACGATACCGACATTCATCCTCAATCACACAATGCACTTCACTACTAAACACATCCTTATGTATTGCAGACTCCAATCCATCAAATCTTACATATAATCTGCTCATCCTCTCAAATATCCCTTCAATATCTCCCTTTCCATTCCTCATGTATCTTCTCAGGTTCTTTCCAAACACTGTTGCCACATGTACTGCACACTCAACTAACGCCTTGTCAAGAACAGATATCCTCACAGGAATCATCTTGCATATGTCATGCAGAATCGTACATAATGGGACAACTTCATTGCTTCTTGGCTTTTCATTTCCAATAATGCATGAAATCATTTTACCAACCTTCTCATCACTCACACATCCAATCAATCCCCTTGTGTATATTCGCCTGAGTCCTGCATATATTGATGACAGTTTGTTAAACATCAACGATCGTCTATGCCCATGAGTTGTTTCTGCTTTTAATAGGTAATCAGTTAGGTACTTTCCAATCGAATTATGCATAATAAGTCTGCTTTCTATTTCTACTGATTTACATTTCATGCTCCATCCATCATCGAACACTCGAATAAACTTGCATGCTCCAGAGTCCTTCATATATGCAGAAGCAACATAGAAGCCTTTTTGACTGTTATCAACCACCCATCTACATAGTTCATCCCTGCTCACGTTGTCACACAATCCATCAAGCCGTATCACACTCGACATTCGCCTTCCAAACCTAGATTCCATCGCTATAGCTCGGTTCACAAAGATGCATGTATCATGCAAAAACAGCAGTCCTTCCGCATGCCTTTGACACACACCCAGCGTCCCAATCACTTCCTCTATGTATTCTATCATCTTATTCACTATCACTGAAAGCGCTTCTCCTCCAAACTTCCTTAAATAAAATAACACAGAACGCCCTATCACACCCAGAGATACATCAGTTTCACCAAAGAGTAAACTTGCCTTGGACTCCACAAATATCAAACAATTCTTATCAAGATCAATGCGCCCAGATACACATGCAATCTCATCAAACATCTCATCTAATGATACATTCTTATTCTCGATGTACCACTCCATCATATCTTCTCTCCCTCCTACAGTCAGAATTCTATGGTACTCAAACCTTACATCAAAATTATCTCTACGGTACATCGACTCGAGCCTTACATTCTGTACTTGCATCCCAGATCCATTCAATCCACTCAGGCATATAGAAAACGATCCATTCACACCACTTTGAATCTCTCCGCTAGAGAGCCCAATATTAATATCTTTAGTCGGTATGTGAAGAGTCATGCTTGATGTATCAATCATCACCACTCCAGTAAATCCACTGCTACAAACCTCGTCAGACATCATCTTAAGTACATATCTGTACCTGTATAACATCATACATTCCTTTCTCATAAGCATAGCGTCTATTTGATCTGACTCATACATCCAGTTATCGTCTCTACTTCCTGTTACATATGCGCCTCTACCAACACATTCATAAAAATACCTGTCAGAAAATACACTTCTCGTCTCCCATTCCTTAATATGCATTCTGTGCTTTATATCATCTGTATTGATTTTATTCATTTCAACATTATCTTCATCAGGAGTCACATCACAAAACTCTTCAATCATCCGAAGTCCAAGTATCATATTAAGCCTCTTACATACAAGAAACTTCAAAACCTTGGCATCACTTAAATAAATAGTATCTGTATGCTTAATACATTGATCAGATTCCATCTCTATATCAATCCTTCCTTCAGAAAGTATACTACAATTAGATGACTTTGCACACAATCCATTGCATGCTACACACTTTGCATTTGCATCAATCCAATTACTTCTGTGATCCAATGCAAGAATTCTATCGATATATCTCATAAACTTCATGTCATCATCAGCACCATCAAACACATTATTCATCCCTCTATACTCAAAGTGGGTTCTATTCATCTTTGTTTTCCTCCTTAAAAAAAGGATCATACATAAACTCTCACATCGCACAACATCAAACAGTTTAATTCATCCGTTCAATCATCTTACACACTTCAGAGAAGACCGTGCTACATTCCATACTCCCATCAATCTCAACTAGCTTTCCCATAGCCCTGTAATACTCAACAATTGGTTCTGTCTCTTTCCTATAAACATCATATCGCTTCCTTGCTATATCCTCGTTGTCGTCTTTCCTTCCCTCATTTCTCCTACATATCCGCTGAATGCATGTTTCTTGATCAACATTGATAAACACTGCCATGTCGATCTCCCCTAGCATCTCAGCCTGCTCGATCTTCCTGGGATACCCATCAAGAATGAATCCTTCCATGCTTCTAATCCTGTCAAGAACGATCTCGTTCATAACACGTTCAGGAACAAGACCTCCTGCATTTATCACGTTTCTGATCTCTTCGGCTATCGCCGTGTCTAAAATTATTTGCTACCACTTACCTTTCTTTGCCTCATCTCTCAGAATATCTCCAGAGCTGACATGTGGAATCACATACTTCTCAGAAATAAGCTTTGACTGCGTTCCCTTACCACATCCAGGTGGACCAAGCATCACCAGCTTCAGAATGTTCATCTAGGGCAATTGCCTGACACATCAAATAATTCTGTTATCATTAACCTTAATAACCAATCAATACAAATATATAGAAAGATAATTTATTCCTTCAAATAATACAGAAATAATACAGCATCACACCATTCACTGCATTATTGCATTAATGAATAAACATAATGCAATAAAATAAAGCCGGAATAGCATCAAATGCAATTGCTTAGACTTCATTTATTTTCATCTTCATCTGAGAATCCAAAAAGTCCCGCTTTATTGTCGGTGTTTGGATTGGAATCATCCCCGGTTAAAAAGTTGGCTGTATTGTCATCATCCTCACTTTGATCACTATCAGTAGCCTTTGCTGCATCATCTTGTTCATTTGAAAAAAACTTTGATGCTGTATCATCTTGTTCACTTGAAAAAAACCAACACCTAGCAATACCAGATAATGACAATAGAACACCAAATATTGCTGTTGAAAACTTCATAAACTCATCACTTCGCGCAATATTTATAGGTTTGTTCACCAATAATAACATTCAAACCATCCCAGTAATACTCATTCACCAATGCTCCAACATTTCCACCCATCCACCATATTCTTACTTTAATTGGTTACTTCTTTGCTTACTGGCAAATCTCCCATACTCATACCCCCTTATGCATTATTGACTGGTAAATCACAATGAAGCTTGTGAATGAGAGACAAAATTCCAATAGAAGCTTGCTTCTTATTAAGGATTTTATTGGACTCGTCGTCATCAACATTCAGTAGTTTCTTAACTGATTTGTTATATCGCCAGTACACATTCTTGTTATCAATCACATTGCTTATTTCAACATCAATGCTTCTGTTTATGAAATATGGCCGTGTGTTATCCATATACACACCCACTCTATTCTTGTATTGCAGCATCTTCTCAATCTTAGACAACACATCAATATAGAAGCTTGCGCCCCTTTGCATTCTAGACACACATCTTCCATATGATACGGACTCACACAGAAAAAGCTTGTCAACTATCCCTTTAAATCCACTACCTATGACTATCCTTCTTATCCCACTGATCTTTACATTATGCATCTTATCATCAAATCCAAACACAAGCTTCGATGACTTGTACCATGACCTGAAAATCATATTGATTTTTGGCTTATTGCTCTCTCCAAGTAGACTCTGCTCACTGGCTCCTGCCGTACACTTCCTCAAAAATAGTTTTCCGTTCGTTCTTCCTATTGACACCTTTGCATCTCTGCCTTCAAATTGCACAAATACCTGCTCTCCATCCTCTTCATATTGCAAGAGTGAAATCTCAAACCCAAATCTATCGAAAGGCATCTCTAATGAAATGAAGGATTCTTTGCAGAATACCATTCCCTCACAAACTCTCTCTGACATCTCCAATCGTTGTATCAATGCATCCATCACCTCCACACGCTTCTTACCTTCAATCTCTGCTGCAAGACATTTCAGTCTTATCATGTCATCTATAATATTCAAGTACTCAAGAAGATTGCTACATTCAAGTTCATGAGCATCAACACTTAAAAGATTTTCACAGTTGAAGTTTGATTCTGAATGAATTAGACTATTTCTAAGTGAATACAGTCTGCTATTCTTATTATTGATTGCATTTGCTCCACTATTAAAATTTTTAGCTGCATTCCAAAGCCTCCTAAGGTTCAGTGCCTTTACAACACATATCTCCCAGTATCCAGTCATTTTAAATAAATCCATCTGAATTATGTCACTCATAATACTATCAAATCGCCCAGAACCATCTCTCAGCACAATATTCATGCATTTGATGAAAAAACAGTCGTACCTGACTTCCTGAACAACTTTTCTACCAAATATCTCGGCATCAATCAACGAAAGTGTATACAATGTCTTCGTTGGAATATAACTGTACCTCAGAATATCAAGGATACTGTATATAATTACCAGCATCTGTTTTTGAATAATTTTATCCATGTGGTAGTTAAGGTTATCCGTAGAATGCAATGTAAGTTTCTGTATCTTTTTTCCAATGCACTGCACACATTTATTCATGTGTCTATGCATGCTCTTTATCACAGATACAATCACTTCAAGCACCTTCGCTCTTTTGTCAGGAGCATGTTGTGAAACAAATAGAACCTTTTTCAGGTTATCGAGAGACACTGGCACATTACTGTTTAGGAATTCGTACTGCTTGTTGAGGCAAATCTGCCTGCTCATCAGTAGCTTCATTAAAATAGCAAAGCTTTCATACTCATGAGTAATGTATGGCCAATATTGTGAGTCCACAAGTTTCTGAGCACATTCATTGCTAATCAAATCCACACTCTGAATGCATACAACAAGAGCTTCAACATAATCTCCATCCACATCACTGCAACGTTCGTAAAATAAATCACTGAATATGGTTGTCTTTGTCTTTTTTATGAATCCTTTGAGTAACCTTTCCCCATCGCTTCTACTCTCAAAAAAAGCCTTATTGAATATCCGAGATGTGTACTCGGCATTTGACTCACTATAGCTCTCAACCAGGATGTCTAATAGCTCATACATTGGAAACATCATTCCCATCTTTACAAAAAGAAATTCGTATAATCTGTGTGACTTTTGTTGAACTATTATCTCACGCAAAATCATTGGATTGCTTATGTACCTCAGCTCTGTATATAGGAAGTCTGGATAGTTTTCAATGTACAGCAACGCCCAATCGTTCATCATCCTTGCATTATTTGCCCACCTGAGTAGAATCCTTGGATCACACCTGAAGATATATTCAATCAGATAAAATATATCATCTGGGCCTTCATATGATTGTTGTGGGACACTCATCATTTCAAGCACACAAAATCCAAGAATATCCACTTTGGTGTAAACAAGTTGCCTATTAATCATAAACTGCACGCATATACTGAGCGATTCTCTCATGATGTTTGGAGGCAATTCATTATGACGATTACTGTGCATTCTGAACCTGTGTTTTTCATGAATTCTCAATGCCATCAGTTTGCTTCTCCATTTGTTGCTAAAGTCATATGCCTTGAGTATTAGTTCAAACATACGCTGGTAAAACCACTCTTCATGGTGTTTTTCATGGGCTTTACTAAGGAGATGATCGATTCTGAGCATCTGATCGATATTGTACTGTCCAGAGACACATAACATGTTATCCATGTGTATGCACAGATCTTGTCCACTGAGGATCTCCATTCCGTCGATCAGTGCATTTAATGAACTGTGATTCTCGATCACTGGCGCAGGAACAATGTATTTTCTATCCAGCATAGCATGTGTATTGTACAGCCATTTATAAGAGCATGAAACAATCATGCAACCACAAGAATCATACGCATGAAAACAAGATTGTAAAACAGAGATGAAACCTGCCCCAGAATGCCAGGATTGAAGACACCAAAGGGAACCACCGATGAACTCCCAAAAGAAGCATTCTTGTATGAGGAGATCATTGAGAAGATCAGAAAAGTATTCGTTGTGCATGGTGCAACACCAATATCAACACCTACGTTTGAGATGAGAAGTATCCTTGTTAACAAGTATGGCGATGATTCAAAGCTCATATACAACCTTTCAGATCAAGGAGGTGAGATATGCTCGTTGAGATACGATCTTACAGTTCCATTTGCAAGATATTTGGCATCAAAGAAGATTAAGAGGATGAAGAGATACCAGATAGGAAAAGTATACCGAAGAGACCAGCCATCTGTTGCTAAGGGGAGATTGAGAGAGTTTGTCCAGGCAGACTTTGACATTGCTGGCGAATGCATTGCCATGATGGCGGATGCAGAGGTGATTAGTTGTATTGATAAGATATTGCGGGTGTTTGAAATAGGTGATTTTACAATCAAGGTGAATGACCGAAGAATTCTTACATCGATTCTTGAGATTATTGGCGTTGCAGAAAAAGATTATGGAAACATTTGCTCCACAATTGATAAACTCGATAAGATGAGTGTGGATGAGCTTAGGAAGGAGTTTATACAGAAAGGCCTGACAGAGTCTCAGGTTTTGAAGATTGAAGAATACATGAGGCAGGCTGGGAATAAGAATGTTCTTGAGTATTTAGAGAATGACGCAATTGGGAGTATTGAAAGGTGTAAGGAAGCGATATGCAGTATGAAGGAATTGTTTAGGCTCTGTAAGATTCTTGGATGTGATGGATGCCTTACAGTGGATGTTTCACTTGCTAGAGGGCTTGATTACTATACAGGAATGATTATTGAGGCGGGATACATTGGAAAGCAGGTTGGATCTGTTATTGGAGGAGGGCGTTATGACAACCTTACGGAAAACCTAGGCGTAAAGGGGGTGGCAATTGCCTGTGTAGGATTTTCAGTGGGTGTGTCCAGGATTTTTTCGATATTATGTGAACAATACTGCAAGGAGTCTGCAACTGTAGTGTATGTGGGCGCATCTGGAGGATTGTTTCTTGATGAAAGGCTTAGCATTATCAAGATCTTATGGGGTGCAGGGATTGCAGCAGAGACTTTCTATACGAAGCGATCGTCATTTGATGATCAGATTGCATATGCAAGGAAGAAAGGAATACCTGTGATTATAGTAGTAGGGGAGTCTGAATTTGTATTGAAATCTGTTCAGGTGATTGATCTTACCACAAATGAAAAGAAGATTGTTCTAATTGAAGACATTGTTAAATGCATTAAGGAACTTGCATGAAGTATGTAAGCATGATCAGTTGATATTTATATAAGACTGGCTGATGCTTCTAAATGCTATTTGCATTCTGTAATGGAAGCATCTGGTATGGTCCAATATCTATTTTATTGGAATCCTAAATGAATAAAATCGGTGTTTATTGATATGTGAACTGAAATGAGATCTTTAATTCAATAAAACAGTGCTATTTAAGAGTTTCTGTGCATGAACCTGACTGCTGTTCAATATTCCCTTTATTATGTATATTGTTTCTCCCATTATCTTTCTTATCTTGATGACTTTGCTTTGGTATCCTCTGGCTTCCATTGACGAAATGATTTCCTGTGGTTTGTTTGCTTTTATTACAAGCAAGTAGACTGTTGGAATACGAACGGTGTCTATGAATCTGTCGATCACAGATCTTCCAAATGCCTCGCCGCCAATCACAGGATCATCAGAGTCCAGAACATATGGAGGATTGAACGCAACAGCATCAAAAGCATTCTGATTGATGCAGGATAATAGATCAGCCCTTACCAAATTACCTCCGCTGTGGTTTAGAAGTGCCTTGATGTTCATGTCTGATGATATTACGGTGTTTTGCTTTTTCAACAGTTGAGTAATTACACCTGTGGATGTTCCTAGATCAAGCACTACCATGCCACGCAAAGCCTCAGCTTCAATAGCGTCAATAAGTGTGTATGTGTCTTCTCCAGGCTCATACCAATCCATATGGAAATGGGTTCTAGGAACATTGAAGGTGTCATATGAAATATGTGTGCATGATCAACAATTATTAAGAGCATATTATGCATGATCATCAATCACGAAGAATACATTATGCATAACCAGCAAGTACCAGGAATGCCATGGATTTATATTGGCTTTACATTTAACAACATATCATGCAAATTACAGCAGCTCTAAACTAATGGATAATTAGAAATGAGAATCAAATTCCAAGGCCCTAGATGATATTATCTGTTGAGGAGTCTACACCAGAATATATACAATTTACACTACGGAACACAACTGTGTCATATGCAAATGCATTAAGAAGGATCCTGATATCTGAGGTACCCACTGTTGCAATAGATCTGGTTGAAATAGAAAGAAATAACACAGTGCTTCCAGATGAGGTTCTAGCACACAGACTAGGATTGATACCAATATATTCAAAGCGAGAGCTTAAGTACAAGAGCGAGTGTGATTGCTCAGGATTCTGCGATCAGTGTTCAATTACATTTGAAATAGATGTTGTGCATCTTGAAGACACGTTCATGACTGTAAGTACAAGAGACATTATTTGTACCTCAGACGATGTAAACATCCGAAGTGGACCTGTTATTGCAAAGCTCGCAAAGGATCAAGGACTGAAGATTAAATGCATTGCACGTAAGGGCATAGGCAAGACACATGCAAAGTGGTCTCCGGTCTCTGCAGTTGGATTTGAGTATGATAAGAACAATGCCCGAAGAGAAACAAATTATTGGTTTGAGGAAGATGTGGAGGAAGAATGGCCTGGTGTAAAGCAAGATGAAGCGAATCTGATGCAGAAGATCGATGAAGTCCATATGCGAGTTGAGGTTGTTGAAGGGGGATTAAGCCCTGTGGCAATTGTAATCAAGGCACTGGAGATCCTCAGGGAAAAGGTAATGAGAGTGGTATCATCCATAGAAGCAATAAATTGAAGTATTTTATTAATTGTGTTAATAATTAGTTGACTGTATGTTTATCTAATGTAATAGATAAAGATTCATTTGCTTCACTGCATATTATGCTACTTTTGCATCAGGTAAAGATGTCTTTGCTTCACTGTTTGCTTTTATTTATTGCATTAGATAAACAGTTATTATTTCGATTACATTAGGAATTGATTTGCACTATTATTAAACTGAATAAACAGGATACTCGAGTAAATATTGAATTACAGATGCGATGATTTTATGCAATAAGATATTCTTTTGTGTTATATCAGACACGCATTGTATTCAACACAGTTATTCATGTTCCTTAATTCATACTTTCTCATATCAGATACGAATGCTTAGCACTGATCTTTCTTAACTTTATTAACATACTCCTTGGCCCTAAGTTTAACTTCCTCAACATTTCCATCGTTTTCTTTCTCATACTCGAGCCACATCTTGTAAAACTCTTTCATATCGTTTACTTTCCACTTCTTATCTACTACTCTTCTGTAAAGGCTCCTTAGATACACTCCAGACTCATTTTTGATGTATGCAATCCATGCATCCTTCTTATCCGTAATAAGTCTCTCCACAATCATCCTTGGATTATTGCAGTATTTGTATACCAGATCAATCGATGTTGACAGGAATTCCAAATGACTTTCTACAAATGCAATTGCATTATTCTCGTTCTCCTTAAATAGCTTCTCCAAGTACATTCCAAATGACTTTCTACTCGCATCTGTGTCAAAATAAAGCTTCAGAACATCCTCATCATCTGTATTCAATGACACAACCTCCAGAAACTTCGGGTTGCATATCTTAGAAAGCCTACGAACAGTCTTTATCCATTCATCATCATTAACAAACACAAGGTAATTCACATAAGCAATGCACAGCTTATCCTTTTCATCTCCCTCCATCCTTGCAACATGTTTTTCAAATATCTGTCTTGGCGCATCATGCTCCTCAATCTCAATCTTATACTGCATGTACTTAATAACAGGCATCGCTGAGCCTGGATGCGCTTTGATCTCCATCACAATATCATCTTCATTGATCACACTCTTTCTCTTCCTTTCTGCCTCCAGTGTCTTTGAATCCCCAATCACTTTCTTTTCAACATCCTGTTCCATTTCATCTTCAATATCAAACGGAACCGATAAATCAACTCTTGTTATATTAGTTCTATCTTTATCTCTCCTCTCTTGTTTTTTCTGTTTTTTATGATTCTCAATAATTTTGTCATTACTATCATACTTATTGCTATGCTTATCTCTAATCATTGTGTCATCTTTGATATCAATCTTCATGACAAACATCTTGTTTTTTAAATCGCAGATTATTCCACTAATCACTTCTCCATATCTCTTTGGATTTCCCTCTTTAACAGCTATATATCCCTCATTCCCCTTATACTCAACACATATCTTCTTCTTTCCATACCGTTTGACTTTCGCTTCAATCTGGTCGCCAATTTTTAGCTCAATATACTCCTCAAACAAATAATTTCCTAAATTAACATCTTTGACTACGCACCTCACCACATCTCCAACTGCATGCTTGAAATTGCCTATCATCAGTCCCTTGACATTCTGATCTTTCACCAGATATTTTCCAGTGCACAGCTCTCCACTTACAGTCATGCTTATTATTCCACTCACCGGATCTCCAACCTGCACAAAATGAAGATGGCGATCCTTTTTGAATAGCACAACTTCTACATTCCTATTTCCACTGTTATTCTGTAGTACCAAGAATCCCTCTCCGTACTTCGTGTCCACAAAGCATCTCATCTTTCCATTCTCATCATTCTTCCATTTCACTTCGCCCTGTGTCCTGAATCCGGGATGCAATGCATTAAACTTGTATATCTCTGCTTCTCTCAAATCATCTGTTTCTTTCAGGATTTTGAACGTGTAAAGCACGCCTTCTGAAACATCATCTCGCGTTATCGTTACCTTCCCGTCTACAGAAAATAGAACACATACACTCTCTTCTTTTGAAACCAAATAACTGTTGAATATCGGTTCAACATAGAATATCTCAACTCTGTTTCTGTATCGCACCGGATGCATCCCTGCACTCACAGTCAGCTTCTCAATCTTGTATGTTTCCATAGGCGTGATAAACTTGCTTCCATGTATCTTTCCATACAAATACGTCGATTTATGTCCAAACAGCTTCATCGCAAGGGAAGCCGCTTGCAAAATAAATCTCAATCTGTTCGCACAGCAATTGCATATACAGCCCTTCTCACAAACTGCGCTACAAGTCCACACAAGCACATCCTGTTTGCAACAAACTGCCCATAGTTCCGCTTGCTGAATGCAATTGCACCAAACATGGCTCCTGCTGCATATCCAGAGACAAAAAACAGACCTGCTGTTCTAAGAATGCCTTTACTAAAGGATGGCTTGTATAAACATTCTATCTTTGGTGTAAGCATTGGCATGGGCAAGTGGAACATCCAGCTCATTATTAGATTAGTAACCTAACAATGTAAATATGCACATTATGATACAATACAATACAACACGTAAAATGTTTAACAGAATGCAGATTTATTATGCTATTTACAACTGGTAATTTGTAAGTTGTTTTTATGCAGATGCACAAGCATGCTGTCTGTCATGAATTATGCCTGAGTTCATTGCTCATATCATGTGTTATTCCTTGGATTCTTGCTGCTGCTGGCCTTCATCATCCTGATCATCGTCGTTATCTCTAAACCTCAACAGGTAGCTTTCAATAAAGATAACGGCAAAGATTATAACAAATGCAGATCCACCAACAAACACACCTAGAACTGCATTATCGCTGGAACTCACGCCGTGCCATCCCTCAAACATGTTGAGCGAGCTCCATATACTCATGAGTACGCACACAGAAATACTGTACACCTCAGCCCTTGATATTGATTTCAACAGCCTGCTGTTGTTTCTATGCCCAAGAAGCAGAAAGACGGCAAAGAAGGCAAATAGTAACATCCATGCAGTCCACATGTATACGTAACTGACCCTTGTGATAAGAATTGTAAGGTAACTTGCACCGTACGCACATATTAATGCAAGACATACGTCTCTGAATATCCTAATGTAAGACATAAATGCAGCAATTCCACTGATTGCAATCATAGACAGATCGAGATACCACTGCACATTGATATTTGACAGCATCAAATGAGTAAGTGTGAAGTATGAACCCAAGAAAACAACAGTGCACATCTGTAGCCTCTGAAGTGCCTTTCCAGGGATGCTAATGAATACAACGGCAGCTAGCAGCACCAGTGAGTACATTGTGTTCCATACTGGATCCTCAGATGGCAATGAATAGTATGGCGTTGGATATGCCAAATCACCTGCAGAGTTTGGATCTGTCACTTCCTGAGTATTTGTTGACTGGCCCAATGCAAAAGACGCAAGTGAAATCAGAAGAGCAGAGTTCATCTGAGAAGCAAGAAATGTAATATTTATACTTTTTTGTAACGAAAGTATGAGTCTGAAACGTCAGGTAACGAATAAAATTGGAAAGTAACTAGTTTCATGTGTAACTGAAATGTGCCAATACATTGTAAGAAAGAGTTTGATTCAACATTTAATTACACACAGTGTTTGACTGTTTCATTACGAATACATACTGCTGTAAGTTTTAGTGCTAGTATATGTATGGAAAACCATTGGAGTTCGCATATACATTACTGGTACTGCCATATGGGTTAAGCACATGGGTGCTTGATGCGAGCGTATCTGGCTCTTGGTTGAATTTAGCCTCAGGTCCTATTGAATAATAGGAATCTGAGTAACTTGACGAATAACTTGGCAGAGAAGATGATGAGTAATAACTACCAGGCACTGATGTTGATGAATTTGATGAACTTGTACTGACTCCGTTGCTTGTACTGGTAGTGGATGTTGATCTGATTGCAGCTAATGCCAAAATTATTCCAAAAGTTATGTTCATTAGCATGTGTGAATGTATCCAAATTAAATATCTTTATTAAAACGATTGTTTCGATGATTTCCAATCATCCAATATAGAATTTTTCATTCAGTTATAGATTCGTTATGTAGATGCAGCCGATGTATCAGTGATATAGGCGAATATATATTGATAAGTAGATCAGAGGTCATTGCATATAAGTGAATCTCTGCTGATAGATAGATCATTGCATGTAGATTGTGACACACCAGATACCGTGCAATCTGATAGCCCTTGTAGTACAGAAATGCACACAAACAAAAGTCAGGTATTTGCACAAATGCTTGGAATATACGGAACTGATTTTAGACGAATGATAGAGGCTGAAGGACTTGAGGATGCTACAATAGATGAGCTTCGAGATATGTACTTAGATGTTATAGACATGTGCTATGCGAAAAATACAGCATCTAACAACAAGAAAATAGACTGGATACAGATCAAGAATGTGCATGAGCTTGGCAACAAGTACTGCTTTGATGTGCTTGTAACAGGGAGTGTAAATAACGTGTGTAGAAGGGATTTTGAAGAGGGAGAAGAGCTTGGAATGCTTCTGAAGGATTATGAATTCAGGCTACTGGAAAAGCTAAGCATAATTAGAAAGGTATATAAAAAGATGCATGATCAAGGATTGACATTTGAAGATCTTAGTACAAGTACAATAGCTCCTGATGGATACGAATCTGTGAATAACATGACAGATGCATCTATGATCAGCACAAGAACCTCAGTAGATGAAGTGGCCGAAGAAGAATGTTCTAATAACGAGGAAAATATTAATAAAACTCGAGGAATAGCGATAATTGTTAAGAATGTGCAGCATGGTAAGTCTGCAAAGCCAACAACTGATGAGAAGAACAATGAAGAGCATCATATTGTCGATATGAATTCCGAGTCAGTGTCTGATAAACCAATGGATAGTTTAACAAAGCATTCTGATACACATAAAACCAAAAGTAAAACGAAAGATTGGGTAGAAGGAGACTATTCTAGTATACTCAGGCTTTCAAGGCGCTATCAAGTATGAAAGATTATTAATGCAAAAAAATTCAACGAGACAATCTGTAAGGCATATATTAAAATTTCCAGTTTACCCCTGGAAAATCTTAAGTGGAAGTCTATGCGGACCAACATGAGTCAATTTTCCTACAATTACTGAGATGGTAAGAGCGCTTTGCCTAATTGGATATGCGTGTCAGACATCTTTGAAATTTTATTGTAACGTGTTTTGTTGAAATTTTGTGCTGTTTATGGGTTTATCCATAGTGGCCGAAGATTGTTTTTATGTCTGGAAGACCCCATGACAAGCCCAATAGTGAATGGATGAACGATTTCACAAGGAGGATCCGTTTGGAGTCAAGAAGGATTCACAGAGTCATGCAAGCTCGATTCCAACAGGTTACCGGGAAGAACACAAAAGAGTTGTGTGCATGCCACATCCAACAATTCCAGGAAAAACCATAAGGTATCGGCTGTGTTACACAAAGAATGGAGACATTGCAGAGGCAGATGTTTTAAGAATTGAAGTATCTTATGGGCTTGAGAGCCTGGCAAGCTGGATCAGAAAGATCCTCGAATTCCACAAATTCAAAAGATTATTAGTCTATGTGAAGTACGGAGAGCTTCTGAAGCTCAATGATGAAGTAGAAAGGATCGGCAAAGACCTATTCACATACAATTACAAATTCAAGTTTGGATTTATTCCCGATAGTTATGAGGAATCAGAGTATGTACTGTTATACGATATAGAAGGGATAAAAAAAGGTGAGCATTACGGATGAGTGTGTAACATAGGAATTTGGTGAGAAGATGAAGATGCTTGTAAGCTTTGATGGTTTAGACAAACACAACCGATGTTGAACGATTTAGCAATATATTTTAATTAGTAAATCTATTATGTTGTGAAATACAGCTATATTTACCTTTGTAGAAGCTCATGGCTAGAAAAGTACATTATTTGGTTGAGGACCAGCAGAAACACCCACAGCACTTTGGCTCTTTTGATCCCCGGTTTTGGATGTCTATTTGGTGCTGAAGCATGTTGATTTTTGACTTTGCCTGTGTGTTTCCAAACTCATAAGATACTGTGTACCACCAGATTGCAAGGAGAGTATTGCCTGTTCCGTTATTTTCTGCCTCTGCAAACTCTGCAACTGAATAAGCTGCTTGTGGATGTCCTTTGATGGCGGCCTTGAGTGCCCAAAAGAGCGACTCATTCAGGTCTGATTGGACTATTCCATCAATTCCAGTGAACAGGATCCGAGAATAGGACATCTGTGCGTCTATTTGACCAAGTTCTGATGCTTTCTTATACCAATTATATGCAAGGGCAAGATTTCGCTCCTGCATTAGCTCGCCTGTTTCATAGCACTTTGCCACTCTGTACTGGCAATTTGGACAGGAAAGCTCTGCGCCTTTGAGATACATGCGGAATGCATATTCTTCATCAGTCTGTATCTCGCCAGATGTCATGTTTGATTCGTAGATCTGTGCTAGATCATAGTAAGGATATGGATATTCGTGGGTTGCCTTTCTAACGGCAAGCTTTAAGTAGAATAACCCACTCTGTATATCTTTCTTGCTGCCCATGTCGCCATGAATAAGAACAGATCCATATGTGTGCATTCCAGCAATGTATCCGAGTTTTGCAGAGCATCTATAGAAATCAAGTGCATGCTTCCAATTTTTTGGCTTTCCTATGCCCTTTTCAAGACATTGTCCCATCCTGAATGTTCCAATCGGATGGTTCTGTCTGGCAGCTGACGAGTAGTATCCTACTGCTTTAATATCGTCTTTGCTGAGTCCAAACAACCCGAACTCGTATCCTAGACCCATGAATGTCTGTGCCTCAGAGAGTGTGGAATCATATGGATGCAGACTATCGCTGTTGTTCACTGTTTTTATCAGGAACGAAAGACATTTAGTATTAAACTTTTCCATAGACTTTTGCGTATCCTTGAGTTCATCTAGGGGATTTTGTCCAATGACAAACAGGTATTTATATGACTCATTTTCATCTTCTATGAATTTCATGTACTCTCGCAGTAGATTGAAGATTTCTTCGTTTGACTCCGATTGGATTGCCTTTTCGAAGTCGTGCTTGAGCGTTTTGTTAAGTCTTCCAAAAAACGACTTCATTCACAGGGAATGCTCTAAAGGAGAATCTTAACACATGTGTTGCACTAATCGCGTCTCTCCAGATCCTCTTTTACTAATCTGTCACATGCACAGCCAATTGACTCTGATTATGCAGCATAATTGAGTTTGAGATAAATGCTAGCCGATTATGCAATGTGCATTAGCAAAAACAAGCAAAACGGTATTTAATTACGTACCAGTTATTCATTTGTAAACTATATGCATTTGTAGCATGTGCGTTTGTATGCTCTAGAAAACGGTTGGATCAATGTTTTCAAATGCCATTGGTTTGCAGATGCTGAAACGATGGATGAAGGGAAATATAATAGCACATGCCTATGTGCAGTCATGGAGGGTAATACTGAAGTGACACCTCCTCCTGTATATGAGTTTTCATACTCTCCAGAGCTAGGCCTATTGATGGATCACTTAGATGAAGTTGCTTTTGAATGCGATGGCAAGGACCTACTTGCCCTTGCATCTAATAAGATACAACAAGAGCGAAGAAACGCTGTGTTTAATCCTTATCCTGTTGGCAAGGTGTCGAGAGGAAAGCTTGATGTGAATTATGGATTTCTGAATGAGTACCTGTATGAGAGCCAAGATTATGCACCTCACAAGTTACTGAAGGCACGCAGAACGATTTGTGGGTTTGAAATATACTCGCTTGATCAAGATGCAGAAGAATATGTGGGATGCCTCAGATCAAATATTCTGGGTACCAAATATAGCCTAGAACAAAATGATCAAAAAGTAGTAGAGATCAGGTATCTAACATCAGTATTCAAGCGTAGAGGTCCAAGGGAGTTTTCAGTGCTGTTTATGGGGATGGCTGAATCAACTGGCAAACCAATAGTGATGAGAAACAAAGAACCGTACTACAATGTAGAGACCAACAGCTATTCTTTGAATTTCAATGGACGGGTGACAACTCCGTCTGTAAAGAATTTTCAGCTGGTACATCCACTGGATCCTACGTATGTAACATTAACTTTTGGTAAAGTTTCTCGATATAAATACATTCTTGACTATGCATATCCGTGGACAGGCGTACAAGCATTTGCGATAGCACTTACTGCACTAGATTACAAAATTGGATGCGATTGATGTGCAGAATGAAAATAAGTTCTGCATCCTACTTGATAAAATACAATATGCTAGCATAGCCTATGTAAAGATAGATTTTTGTTGATTAAAATATTTTGAGATAATGCCTGGATAATTGTGGAGGATGCAAAAGATTGATATTGATGAGATAGCAAGGAAGGCTAGTTTTTTTGTTAAGGAGCGTAGTGTTGCGCATGGAATGCAAATGCCAAAGGAGTTCTCAAGGATTTGCAGTGTAAATGGGCATCTTGCAATAGTTTATGGAACCACATTGTTTATAGATGGCGTAAAGGTAGAGGAGGATGTTGTGTACTTGAGCAAAGATGGCGAGAAGGTTGTTGCCACCAAGAAGAATGGAGTGATTGTGTATGACTTTTTGAATAAAGAAGTGTTGAGGATAAGCACAGTAGATGAGTTGAGAAGATGTGAAATATGGAACGAATGGATTGGGCTGCTAACTGAAGACGGAATTCTTTATGTGTACAATAATGGGAAGTTTTCGAGTGAGTATGATGATGTCAGAGATTTTGTCCTTCCTGATGCAGTTGTTCGCTCTGATAGGAGATATATGGGACATGAAGGAGTGCAGAGAGTATTTAGAAGTCATGATGGGGAGATAATTGTTGTCTGTATGGATAAGCTTGTGTGTGGAAAAAGCGAAGTTGCTAATGGAATATCTACAGGGGATATTGAATACAATAGAGAATGGAACGAATGCCATTATTACTATTGTGATTTCCACGGGGCAAATATTCTATCATCGAGTAAGTCATCGAAAATTTTACTTCTTGACATGGATTTGTGTGAACTTGATATGGAGGAGGAGATCAGATTTCTTGTGTTAAGAACAAACGAGATGTTTGATGTGAGGTATCTTACAGGAATTGACTATTTAGCAGGACTGGTGTTCATGATTGATGAGGATGGAGTCTTGAGTAAGTTTGAAGTTGTGGGAATTGATTGTGAAAAGATAAATGAATGTTCTGTATCTATAAATGAAGAGCATGTGATGAACAAGCTTGTAGAAAGAAAATATAATCTTTGTAAAGAAGAAGGAATGCAAAAAACAGACACGAGTAATGCAGTGAATGAGAAATCAATTGATAAAGAAGTTGATAGTGCTTGTACAGGAGCTAATTTAAAGAGCGACAGAATGTTTTCAATGAGTGATATGATGAATGCAGCATGTGAAGATAAAAAAAAGGTTCAAGAATTTTCAATGAGTGATATGATGAGTGCAGCATGTGAAGATAAAGACAATATACAAGAACGTGTAGTTTGCAAAAGCGATGTATCAATTGAAATGGACATGAAGGCGAAACCTGAACACAATAATAAACACCAGATAAATTCTACAGGGAATCCAAAGATAGATAATCTGGTTAAAAGCTTATCTGCACAAGTTGACGCAGTTATCGAAGATTTTAGAAATATATGCGTTGATAAAAAGACATTTAAGATGTACAAGTACAATGCAAACGACCTGTCACTATTTACAGAGCAGGTTTACAAGAACATTATGAGACTGGAGGAGTACAAGTCTATGCAGCAGCAGATATCGGAGAAACTTTCACAGATGCAGGGCAGTCTTGAGACTTATGAAGCCATGGATGAAGAAAACATAAAAAGCGCGGTGAAATACATTGACAGTGTTATAGACTCTATGGATAACAGAGAGGGAAAGAAGATTGTCCATTATTCAAAACCACTGCTGCATACAATAAGTCATGCAAAGACCGTGCGACTTGAGCTAGATATTAATGCAATTAAGATCGGAAAAGGATTGAGCGATGTTGAACATACAGAGTCAAAAATGCAAGATATACACAAGAGAATACCTGCCAATCAACAGATTGATAAAGAACACAATAAGAAACACACTGATTCTCAGGAAACACCTGAGTTGGTTAACACCCCAAAAGAATGTATAAACACCATGAATGATTCTAAATCAGATACACAAACCAATAATGAAGCTAAGTTGGAAGTTAATTGTTCGAATGAAAACCCGAAAGAAAGGGAATATGCTCATGTAACTGTTGATACAACCAATTATCAATTAGATAATGTTACAACAACACAAGAGCTACCTGAAATTCAGAAACCACTCGTGAATATGCCACAACAACATACAAATATATTTGGCCAGCCAGTATCACAACAACAACAGACGGTGCAGTTTGGAATGATTGGAAATGCAATGCCATCTAGTATATTTGAATCATTAGCAAGTAATGTAACTTCAATTCCAGTATCAACGGTCAAAAACCAAGAAGAGCCCAGTCAAGAAACCCCAAATGCATTTTTGAGGTTTGCAAATACCAGGAATCTATTCTAAACTCAGCTATCTTGTGCTTTAATGCTACCTTTAACAAGATAGATTTAGATGTGTTACTGCTGCAAATAATAATTATATGCATTACTGCTTGCTACAGGTAAATAAATTATCCGTTTTAATTATTCTCGGGTTTGCTTTCCTTTATAGGCTTTCCTGCCTTGATTATTTCATCAACTAACAGCAGACTTGAGGCTACAACAGTTGCATTCGAAATCACTGATGATACAACAGAAAAGTTGTCAATAACAGACGCGCATTGTGCACCTCTAAGGATCTTAATGAGCTCATCTTGCACATCCATTCCAGAGTTCTTGAGTAGAATTTTCATCATGCTCAAAAATACACTCTCCATTATTTTATAGCCAACAACATCCTTTTCAGAAACCACATCCAGTCTCGATCTGACATATAAAACAAGCGATCTATACAATGAAAGCCCTCCTTCAATATAGGTTTTGTCTTTCATCGACACATGCAGGCTCTTCAGCGCACCCTTGATTCCAGACTCCATCCTGCTCATCTCATGCTGGCTATTTCCACGGATCAAGATCGTGCATGATCCTTTGAATGGCGTTCCCTCAACAAATGTAAACACGTCCTCACCTATCTTTCTGCTACTAACCTTTTTGCAGTATCCAAGCACCTTCTCATTCATCTGCCCAATCTGTGTGATCACACTTCCTCCACACATACGCACCAGTCTTTCAAGATTCCTTCTTTTCGCTCGTCTCAGTGCCAAAACCCCTGCCTCTGCAAACACTTCAAGTGAATACGGATCAATACCCTTCTCTGTCACTACAAGCAAGCTCTTTCCATGCACTTCCTTCAATCTCTTTCCAAATTCAGCAATTGCCCTTGCCTTTTGTAAAATAAATTCTCTTTCTTTCTCTGCAAGTTCATCTCTTTGCCTTGATGAACTATAACAAAACTCTGCATTAATCTCAGGCTTCTCATACTCAAGTGACATGTTAGTCACAAGTATGCATACGTCTTCAAGACTGCTCGGCATTCCATAATGTCTACCTCCGTGATCAAGTACAAGACCATCAACATACACTGTCTCAGACACATCTCCCTCTTGCATCTTTATCACTTCAACCATATTCACATCAAAATACGGCGACTGTGACACATTCTCAACAGCCACTGCAAGAATCTGTGCCAGCTTGTGCGCCTCCTCCTCATCAACCTTCGTTCGTATTGTATAGTACGCCATCATTCTCAGTGTGCCCTCCTCATACGGTTTCTCAGCACTTTTAATATGCCCCATCACATCATTTAAACATAATTGCAGTGAATTGCATATCCTTGATATTGCTACTCCATCACAGAACTGTCTGAACGCCGCGCTAAATATCTCACTGCACATCACAATCAATGAAGACGACCCATCACCAAAAGTACTGTACATAGACGTTGCTGCTCTTGTTATAATAACAGACGTAGGATGTGTGAATTGTATCTCCTTGCACAGCATATTCCCTTCTTTCACTATCCTGAGTGTCTGTCCAGGTGAGATCAAGGCCTTGTAGCTTCCAAAAGGTCCTATGCATGTGGAAAACAGACTAGATAAGGTCATTGCTGTGCTGTTGTTGATTCTTATTGCCTGCCCTGATTGTGTAACCTGTGCTTCAGAGTGCGTAGAGTTCATGGGGTAAATTTTTCATTCCAGTCATATCAATGCTTTATCCAGATGCGTTGTATCATTCATGCTCATTTGCCATTGCTCATCAGAACTCCAATGAAAACCCTAATCCATGAGTGCATCCTGACTTTCCAACCTGTAGATTTGCATTCAACGAGAGTCCTTCAATCACTCTTTCCTCAAGTGCAATTCCTAACATCATATTGCTGTTGAAACTTGCTCTAACTTGCGCCTTTGGCGTCACAAGCCTACATCCCACTGCTCCACTGATCGGATCACCACGAGGCATGTGCACTTCAGCCCCTGCATCAAACATTTTGTTGAATCTGTGATAATAGCTCATGCTTAGCGCTGTAAATTGTTGCAGTCCCACACAAAAGATTCCTTTATTGCTTTCGTATCTTCCACATGCTGAAATGCCAACCTCATTGTTTGTCTTGATCATCTCCATTCCAACACACACAGATCCAAACTGCTGCAGTACATTTGCAACGCATATCAATTGTGATCCTTTTAATGCTGGACTTATCATCTTCAACCCAATACTGCTTGCTTTGCTCCTCATGTCCACCTGTACTTGGCTAAACACTTCTCGGCTTCCACTCACAATGGTATGGATCTTCCCAATCACTCCTCCGATTGTGTGCACTGCTCTAAGTCGCATGCTCCCCTCATTGTCCATTCCAAATTGTATTAAAGAATTCTTCAAGCTCAATGCTCCAAACATCTGGCTCATATGCACATTTCCGTCAAAAAAGTCAATCCTGGACACCTGAAGGCACGGACTCAGCAGCTTAGACACTTCTGCCTTTACTCCTCCACACACTTGTAGCGTTGATATCTCACTAGCCTCTGCATTATAGGAATCAAAACTCACATTCGATTCGCTTCCGCTAAAAATATTCCGAATCCCCGTAACTACACTGGAAACCCACATCATCCCTGTTATTTTTCTTGCTTATCAACATCAACCCGTAAAAAACTAATCAACACAACAGTTTATTCTAAATCCCATAGTTCCGACGGCAGTACTCCTCAACCCTAAGATAAACTTCTCCACCGTTGGAAAACTCCTTCAAGTCCTCTAGAAGCATTCTCTTCACCTCAGGATGATTATTTCCTTCTCCTTTAATCTTCTCTTCTAAAAAGCTCAATACCTCAGAATATCCAAATCCTGCACTCACAAGTGTCTTTCCAACCTTGCTCCCTGAAACCATTCTAGAGCACAAAAGATCTCCAACAAGACGACAATCCATTGCTGCACCAGATGCTTTGACACTTCCAAGAAACCTCTCTGCACACAAAAAATCATCTCCCATCCCTTCTTCCCATAACTCCTTGATCACAGTTTTGTCAGTATAATTCGATATTCCCACAATCCTAAGCGCAAGATCGGGATGCTTATATGCATAATCATTGAACAATTCATCTGCAGATAACAAACGGTTGCTAATAGCAGGGTCAATCCTTCCTCTCCTAATAATCTCTGCTTGTATGTCTGCAAGCTCCAGCCTCATCTTCACATCATTAAACACAGGAGTATTCACAGACACACTCAATGCTGCACGCAATAAATCAACTTTCAATTCAAATGGAATCGGCTTGTTGTCCGCAAGATCAAGTAATGAGCTCACCCCCTTCATCTTCTCATTCCTATACACACAGTACTTCCAATGCAGCTCATATATCTGAGGATCGCTCGATACCATTGACTTCTCCTTCAGAAATCGCTCCAAAAACGGCACCGATATCCTAATCACATCATTAAGCACCATATTTCCAGGTTTACTGCAGCAACTGCATTCTCTACCAAATTCATTCGCTTTCAGCACTTCAAGTAGTGCCTCAAACAATGCATACAGAAAATCCTCTCTTGGATCCTCCAATGCAAGATTCAATGCTCCAGTACATCTGACACTCTTCTTTAACACATCCACGCCATATTCAAAGTCAAAACTGAAATTCTCCTTGATAAGTGCTGTACTTCCATGATAGAACTTAAACTCATTGTACTTCTCAACAAGATTCTCGTTGTACTGGACATTCTTAAGATTGCTCAGTGACTCAAATAATAATTCTCTCGATGGCCTTTTGCTTAACATTTCTAGTCCTCGTTGGTAATAAACTTCTTCAATTGGCAAGAAAAGTGGGCACTTCGTACTAAGCGTCTTTATAAGTGGCTCAACACTCTGGTTTACTTTGAACAAGTCAAGAATCGCCTTAAGGCTTCGCTTCTTAAACTCTGCACTGTCCTCAAAAATAACATGTCTCAAGGACTTCCCATCAAGGCACACTGAATACTCATACAATACATTCATATAGAAGCATGTCTGTAGAAACTCATCAATAAAATCACACACACTCCTCAAGTGCTTCGCCTTTAACTTTCCTCGAATGCTCTTCATCTTGATCTGCACCTTCTCAAGATACACCCCAAGATCACCTTTCACAACCTCCTCAAAGCTCTTATCAAGGACTGGTCTCATCAGCCTATAAAGATACACAAAAAGAGCAGAAAGCTGTGCATCCTCATTCTTCAAGCAAAGATACTCCAGCCTCCCAACATCTTCATTGTTTCCAAGCAACTCATAATACAACACAAGAATCTCCCTTTCTCCATAGCTCTTGTACACACTGAAAATGTCTTCTGATCGGCAGCTCAACAAAAATTTCCCCAGCTGCTGAACCTCATATATTAGCATCTTTCTGCCTCCAATCAAAAATATCACATTTCCATAAATCTCCCCAGTATCCACATCATCCTTGAGTACTAATACCTCATAGCTCTCAGAGCTCTTCAATCTATCAAAATTACACACTTGATCCTCATTCCTAGAAATAAGCGTAACTATACTCCCATCATACCTTCCTTTTCTAATCATACAAACTCTCTCTTCAGACATGCATACCTTCATTCCTTTGATCTCAGTCATGTCTCCAATGTTCGGGCTTCGCTTAGTCATCACTACTTTGCCATCATAGAAGTCTCTGCTGCCATCCTTCTGCACTGCATAGAAAAACACTCTTTCATCACTTTCATCAACAATCTGCACCCCAACATACTCCTTGCTCATTGTAATCTCGCCCACCTTGTACATTCCACCATCTACATTGTAAACAGTTACATCTCTACCAAGACTTACAAGAAACCTTCTCCCAACACTCATCGATCTTACTGCAGGCCTCTTCCTTCGCAGCACATTCGGAATAAAACTCGACAGAATCGATGCCCCTGGATCATATACATGCATGATCTTGAACGACCATGTGTCCATACTCTTATATATCACCTGATATACCCCTCCATTCTCACATCCAATAAACACATCGCCATCCGTGATTGCAATACATGTTGTCTTGCTTGGCGTTGATGCAACAAAGTCTGTATTCACTAAACACATTGTGTCTTTCTCAATTCCATATATCATTACCTGATCCTCAGTTGCCACAAACAGACAATGTGAAACCTTCTCATTGAAAACTCCACTGCGTGGAATAAAAACCTTCACTTCCAACACTTCAGATGAAAAACTCCCAATCTCCTCAGTCTCTCCACTTTCGTATCTCCACATAACAAGGTTCTTTCCTTCTGTCATCCACAGAGCACTCATCACCGGCAGTACACCCGTTCTTTTATACTCAACTCCAGGAATCGCCATCTCTCTCTTCTTGATTAACATCTTCTGAACAGCGTATGTCTGGTCCGAGCTCATGTAAATATCGCGTGTACTTGGCAGCTTGCGCTCCTCATATTGCTTTGCCTCTACAAGATTGCGATGCCTTGCTTCCATTTTAAGGGCATGCCCACTGCAAATTTAAGTACGCACTCATGATTTACCATTCGATCTATACATTCAAGGCTCATACAGAGATATCCTCACAACTTATATCCATAAACACATTCTGTGTGCCAGTCCATTGTTCTCATAGTACGGAATTTCCTGCTCTTCAATCAAAAACCCAAACAATTTGTAGAGGTTGATTGCATTCAGGTTTGTAACACTGACATGAAGATCTACTTTTATGCGTTCTATGTAAGTACTTTCTTTATTATTCACACAATATCCGCTTCCAGTGCACAGCTCTTGCTTGATTGCCTGCAAATAAAGAGATATTAGCTTCTTACCAATGCCTATTCCTCTAAAGCATTGATCCACACATAAAGAGTATATGTGGCCTTCCATTTCTTGTTCACATGCAACAGCCTCGATATATGCTATAATGCATCCACATGACTCTGCAACAAATGAAGTATTGCGGGATTCATGCAATGTAGATAAAAATGTACTTAGCATGAAATTCTCTGTTGAGTTCCTAATATTCAGTGTTTGTACATCAAGTAGATCATCAAACTGCATTCCTCGGAAGATAATCTGTACACCCTCGTCCATGGTATTTATGTCCAAGCTGTTTTTGAATGTTCTCAGAATGCAATGCATGAACTAAAAAATGATGTTTCTCACGCCCTCTTGATGAACAATCAAGTTGTAGTGCTTGGGCTTGAGAAAGATGAAATCAACATTCCAGAAATTACAGATGCGAATTCTGTCTATGAGGATGAAGTTTGTGTTGTTCAAATGAAGACCAGCCATCAGGTATATACACTGCTGAAGAAACTAGAAGGCATCGAGGGGGTCAGAGCATATTCATTGAGTGAGTTTTATGGAACAATAGCAGTAAAAGATAAGGAATATGCACCGTTGAAAAGGTTTGAAAAGAAGGAGTTTGTTGAGTTCCAGTTTTCAGGCGACGAGCAGTTTATTGTGCGTTGTAACAATGAATTTTCTGTGTATGACCAGCAAAGCAAGCAGATGACGATTATAAACAAATTTAAAATGAACGGAAAATGTAAAGCAAGCGATGATGGCATCTTTGTTGGTATTTTCCAGTCGAATTCCGTTGAAATACGTGCAGGTCAGCGTCTTTATGTGTTTAGTATATTACACACTGATGGCGATGTGATGAAAATTACATTTAGTCAGTGTAGCAGATACCTAGGTGTATACACAACAAAGGGTGTTGAGTTATGGAATGTGATGAAAAGTAAGTGCATACTAAAGACAGGATATGAAGTAAAAAATGAGCATGGAATTAACAGCGTGGTGTTTGATGAGGGGATGATGTACCTTGCAGGAAGCAAAATAGTTTTTTCGCTTAATCTTGAAAGAGAGGTTGAGCCAAGTGATAAATATGAAAATATAAAGAGTGTATTGCAAGAAAGAAATCAGATAGTGTCATTCAGTGACGGAAGAGTACAAAGGATAGTGTATAAGATGGAAGAGTATAAATTCACAAAGACACATGCAAACATTGATGAGATCAGGTTCATCTTTGCAAAAAACAGATGCTTTGCACTTATAGCTAAGACCATAAACAAGGTGTGGATATACTTTGTCGAGTCTTATGGACGAGATGGAATAACACAGACACAACTAACAGGAAAGATTGAACAGATTGCTGCATCTGATGGGTTTTTTGTAGCAGTCAACTCTGAGAATGTAGTTTTTTTCTACAGTCGAACAAAATTTGGATTCAAGCTTATGAAGGAAGTTAGAAAAGAAGATGGCGTTATTGTTGCATTGCAGGATAATATATGCTGCTTGTACGACATGGACTCGGGAAACATTGAGTTTTACGACAACAGTGAACTAAGAAGCACATACACTCACCATCAGTGTACCGAAATAGTGTGGTCACAAAGCGGACTCTATGTGTGTTCGTTTTCAACAGGCAACTGCTCAAGCGGACTAGTACAGGTTTTCAACCGAAATGGAAAGCTTCTTTGGAAAAAGGTGTTCAATGGACTCATGTTGTTTATCTGGAGGCCATTTATGCCTATTAGTGAGGATGAGAAAGCAAAGGCGCTTAGTGAGTTTTCAGGAGAAATCTCAGATGAGATTGACAACGATGGGGAAGGCGCAAACAAGGAAGAGCTTCTTTCACGATGGAAGAACTATCTGTTGTCCAAAAAGCATATGGCAGCTATGTCTAAGTAAATCAAAAGCATTATTTATGATTTGTGTTTGTGGAGATTCACAATGGATATTCGATGTATCTACTGATCCATGCATTGAAGAAATTACGCAGAGCAGTAATCTGTGAACCTAAACGTATAAACATTCATTTATATTCGTCTATAATACCTGTATTTCTGTAATACTCATGGACCTTATCCATTGGATATTCAGATCCTACAATATACCTGAACAAATCAATGCATGGGATCCATTCTCCATTTGATGCTATTCCCTTTGGATATCGTTGGCTGAAGTGTGTCAGCAACAAAGTGTTTGAATTGGATGCTTTAAACACACCGATAGCGTCAGAAACTGTCGAATGGTGTGTTTGGGCTGCTCTACCTGCTTGATCTGATGTAAATGTTGCTTCGTGTATCATTACGTCTGAGTTGTATGACATTAATGCAAATAGAGCAGAAGCTTTTGAATCTCCTGAATATGCCACGGATATCTTTCCATCTTTGATCTGAATGCCACACGAATCAGAGCAGTGATCAGCACCACAGATAGATATTTCAAACTCTGTACTGAACTTCAGCACATAATCATCTGCAATAATCGGATCTTGATGCTGCAAATCGTTCAACAAATTACTATATCTTTTTCTGAACTTTCTTTCCAAGACCTTTGCATGATTTGTTTCAATATATCTGTAATTTTCAACTCCGAACTTGGATATAAATGGCTTTATACTTGTTGGTCCAAATACATTCACACTGTGATCCAAGGCTCTCAGAACAGACACTATTCCCAGCACATGGTCAGCATGAGAATGCGATATAAATATTGCCTTAAGCTTCTTCAGCACATCAATGTTTCCATACGCTCTGTGCATCTGGAAAAGCGCATCTTCACCACAATCAAGTAGCATCGCCTTGTTTTCAGACTCATATAGAATCACCGATACATTTCTGTACTTTGAAGGAATAGCGCAGCCTGTCCCAAGAAATAATATGGATTCACAAAACAATCTGGGCTTATATAATACATGTTCAATGACTGTTTTAATGCTTTCTTCTGCATTATTTGTCGTGTTAGTTTCTTGTATTGTGTCAATGAACACATGCTCATCATAACAACGAGAAAAGCACCTCGAGGATTTGTTATACATAAGAGCATCTCTACTATGAAGCATTTGTGTATCTTTATTCAGAATACAGGTATCTTTGCTGATCGTTAATGGAACCAGGAAGTCTCGATATATTGCATTAAGATCAGCTTGAATGGTATATAATGATCTATATTCAACAGAACAGTTGTCTTCTAGTAAAAAGTACTGTGCATGAAAACAAGATCCCAAGGCATTGATCGTTTCTGCTTGGAAGCAAAATATATATCTAGGTTGCTTATTACAAATCTCAATCACAAGCTCTTCATAATTTTGAATACAGTATATAATTGCAATCAAGCCAACACTCACATCTTCTTCCATGTATTCGGCTCCGTTGTATTCTTTGCCATTATGCTGTATAGTCTCTCTTCTTGTAAGCATCGAATACATGTATTTTGGTATCTCTTTTGGAATTCTATCTGCCATGAGTCTTCCTCGGATTGGCTTGATATCCAAGAAATACCAGTTTTGCATACTTCTGTTATGCTTGTGATTATCGCTTCTAATATTTGTCTGAATGCATGTGTGATCGATACATCTACTGCAGAATGCATTACTGACCATTTCCACACTCACATACTCATCTGAGTAGCTGCTCATGTAGTTCATCTTCATATCCATCAGGTCTGCAAATGATGATGCCGACTCTGCGATTTCCTTGGTTATGATATCGCATACAATGTCTAGAGACACTCGCCTTATATCTCTTAATGTCAAATACGTGCCTACTAATGGCGGTATCGATCTGTCAGTGCACAGAAATAGAACTGAAATCTTACTGAGACTCACACCTGCTTCAATGCAGTATCTCTGTAATCCTTCAAATAGATCAAACATGTACTTTTTGTTGCCTATAGACAACACCAATGACTTTCCACTCCTTGTTGCTAAATACTTGAACTCAATCATGGACCGTATACAAGGGTAACCTTGACCATGCATGAACATCCATGCACTTGAAATATGTTTGATGCATAATTGAAACGCTGAATGTATAATCAAACGGAATACACATGTAATGAACAGAATAGCAATGATTATTGCAGTAATTGTCTGCACTACATTATGTATAGAGTATACCGATGACACAATGAATGCATCAATCCTGAACCTCGAAAGAATCGCATTGAAACTCAATAAGTTGATACTCAAATTGATCAAAGCAAGAAATACAAGAAAACAACAAGCTGATCCGTCATACAATAAACAAATAATGCATTGTATCGATAATGCATGCATGAACAATATAAACTAGCTATCTTATTTAATATTAACTAAGCAAACTGAAGCATTTATTATTTCATCCCTGTTGATCCAAAGCCAAGACATCCTCTTTCAGTTGTATATAATGAATCCATAACATCAACAACGGTTTCAACAGTCGGTACAAACACCACCTGTGCTATTCTACTTGATTCCTTATATTCAAAAGGTTCTTTGCCGTTATTTGTCATTGTGATTGAAAGCTCCGAGATACACCTTGAGTGTATGGATGTATTGTGCACATCGATCCAGTTATTCAGTGCTAGGCCAGATCTTCCGAATATCAGTCCTACTATTGACTGTGGGAGATGCCATACAAGTCCTGTTCTAACTGATCTCGTTTCATTAGGGAGTAGTATACCTTGCTCGACAGCATGTATGTCGTATCCAGCAGCACCATCTGATTGTCTTTTTGGAACGATTGCAGATGGATGTGTCACACTCACCTTTATTTCATGCATTGTCATGCTATAAATGTGCGGCGGTATTTTGGTTTTGGTTTTGAGCAACCCACGAATCTAATGAAAGGCAAGGATAAAGACAAGAAGCCCAGGATAACAAAGGAACAGCTGAAACACGAGGAGAGTATAGCACACGTTCCCATTGAGAACATGTTCTTCAAGGATCTTCCTCCAACGTTTGTGTCTGTTGTTGGACCTCCAAGCAGTGGGAAGAGCACATTGGTAAGATCGATGGTGAAGTATTTCACACAGAAGCTTGTAGATAAGATTGTTGGGCCGGTGACTGTCTCATGTGCAAAGATGCGAAGGATTACGATGTTTGAGCCGAAAACAGACATTCACCAGTTTATTGATGTATCTAAGATATCTGATGCGGTTGTATTTGTGATTGATGCATCAGTTGGACTGGAGATGGAGACGTTTGAATTTCTGACACTGCTGATTTCACATGGACTTTCGAAGATTATGTGTGTAGTTACACATGTGGATAGAAAGACCAATCCGAAGCACTTGAAGTCGATGAAGAAGAGAATATGGGCGGAGATATGTCCTGGGATCAAATTTTTCAATGTTGGAAGTGTGGATTCTAGAATTTACAGCGATAATGACGTGACTAGTTTATGCAGGATGCTTGGAGTGATGAAGTGCAGACCGATTGAGTGGAAATGCACGCACCCGCATGTGATTGTGGACCGGATAGACGATGAGTTTGTGTATGGATATGTAAGAGGAGGGATGATTCAGAGCAGAACGGATGTATATGTTCCAGGACTTGGAGATAACATGATGGAGGAAGTGGAGGTATTGACTGATCCAGTTCCAGTGTATGGAGAAAAAAGACTCTCATTAAGGTCAAGGATATTGTATTCGCCGATGTCTGGGATTGGCACAAGCGATGAAGTGATGCCGAGAATAGAAGGACTGCACAGAGAATCTGATGATGAGGATATTCAGCTGTTTAATGGAGGAGAAGTGCTTGCAGATGATGTGAATGATGTGAATGAACAGATGAAAGAAGAAAATATTGATTGTGTGAAAGAGTACGATGCTCAAGAGTCGGAAGAGTCAGAACAATCTGATGAGATGGGATTTGAAGGACTGCTGAAAGCTATCTCAGGAAGGTTTCAGAAGGATGCAGTTACTGAAGAAGATCTTATTGAGAAGTTTAATGAAAAGTATGAGGAGAAAGAGAAGGATCAAGGTAATTTTTTACTGAAGGAGAAAAGAAGGCTTGAGAGTGAGTATCACAAGAATGAAGAGATGATGGTTCCAGGAATGGTGTTTCCAGGAAAGTATGTGAAGATCAGATTGATGCAGCATGTGCCTAAGGATGTTGACAAGGGCAAGGCGATTATTCTTGGAAGTGTCCTTGTGTCTGAGAAGGAAAAAAGTATGATACAAGGAAAGATCAAGAGATATAAATGGTATAAGAAGATTCTGAAGAGTAATGAGCCTGTTATATTTTCTGTTGGATGGAGGAGGTTTCAGAGTATTCCAGTGTTTAGTATGAAGGATGCAACTAGGAATAGGATGATTAAGTATACACCGGAATCAATGCATTGTAATGTATCTTTCTATGGACATGTGGTTCCGGCAGGGACGGGTTTCAGCGTGTATAGTGAAAAAGGGAATTTTAAGGTTTTGGCGTCTGGGACGGTGACTGATGTGAACGGAAAGGTTGAGCTGGTGAAGAAGCTGAAGCTGATCGGATATCCAAAACGAATTATTCAGAATACGGTGTTTGTTGTGGGCATGTTTACATCTGATCTCGAAGTTTTGAAGTTCCAAGGAGCAAGCCTAAAGGCAGTGAGTGGACTTCGAGGGCAGTTGAAGGGACCTCATGGCAAAGATGGGGAATACAGAGCCACATTTGAAGGGGCAATGTTGATGAGTGACATAATAGCATTGAGATGCTTTGTACCGGTTGATATCCACAAGATTTTGATTCCAGTTGAGAATCTTATGGGAAGCTGGAATGGGCTTAGAAGGTTGCATGAAATTCGACAAAGTCTAGGAATGAAATATGATGATGAAGAGAGTTTTGAGGAGAATGAAAGTGAAAGCTGTGTTGATACTGATGATGGTATTAGCCTTCCATCTGATATTGAGAATGAACTCCCGTTGAATAAGAGAAAGATAGCGGTGGTTTCAAAAAGAATAATGCTGCCGATAGCGCCTGATAGTAAGAATGAGTATGAGATGAGAGAAAGGATAATTAAAGAAAGAATAAAGAAGAGTAAGGAGGACGAGAAGAGCAAAGCGGTTCGTGAGATGAAGAAACGGGAGGAAAGAGAGAAGATGGAGAAGGAGAAGGAGACAAGGATTAAGAAAGTTATACAGGAGAATTACAAAGAATCGCAGAGGAAGTTTAGAAAACAAAGATAGAGTAACATGTCTTTTAATTAAATATGGTTATGTTTGACTAGCAGTTTTGCTTATCTATTTTTGCGAAAGTGTCAAGACGGTGCTCAAGATCGATTAGTTTTTTGATTATCTCGTCCTGGTCTACAATATCTCTATCGAGGTATTGATGAATTTTGTGTATGTCGTTGTTTTTGATGTATTCGTCTGAACCTGATGATGCTTGGCACTCGTCGATTGAGCCTGTATGGATGAGGTCTTGAATGTTGATTTGTGGCAGAGTCTTGAACTCTGGAAAGTCAAGTGAAGAGGAGTCTGAACTGCAATCCATTGAAGGATTATTTTTGTATCAATTTAAGTGATTGAGGGCCCTCAATGGTGTTGTTGATGCTGAATGACAGGCTGACGCTTGGAGACAGATTTAAAGGAACTGTTCGGTATCTTGGAGGAATAAGAACGAAGGAAGGAAAGTGGGTGGGCCTAGAGCTTGATGAGCCCGTGGGAGCCAATGATGGAAGTGTGAATGGGGTGAGGTACTTTGATTGCAAGAATAAGCATGGGATATTTGTAAGATATGAGAGGATTAGGGAAGGGCTTGTATGTGAAGAGAGAGGAAGAGCAGTAGATGGATCAGAAATGTGTGATACAAAGATTGGAGATTATGAGCTAAAGATATCTGAGTTAGAAAAAACTATAGAGCAGCTTAAGAATACTGAAAGGCGCGAAATAGCTGAGCTTAGAAGGGAGCTAGCATGTTTAGAGGGGCAAAGATTGCAGAAGAATGCATGTTATGGTGTTGAGGAGCCAAGAGATATAAATGCAGCAGGATTGCATACGAGTCATAAGAAGGATGAGAATGAAAGAAGAAGGGTCGTGTATCTTGTAAACCGAATTATGCATGGAGTATTGGATGAAGAGGTAGATGGGATGGAATGCTTGTACAAAGAGTTTGAGTGTATTATGAAGAAGAATGGAATTTTAATGGATTGAGTAGGGTAGATGGATGTGTCAAAAGTAGATGAAACAAGTGCCTGAGTAAATGAAAAGTAAAACAGGAAAGTAAAGTGGATAAAGGAAAGGTATATAAGTAGATGAAGTAATTACTCAATTGAAGAGTGCTGTTTAATCACAGTAAGTATATAATAAAATGAATGACCACTGAACGTGGGTTGTAATATGATGTGGTCTATAGTGCCATAATGATAAAAATGTGAGCATCATTGGTTTAATGGTATAATAGCCGGTTGCCATCTGGCTGATCCGGGTTCGATTCCCGGATGATGCATTTTATATTTTGCGAGAATAGTGGAATAGTAAAGTATAGTGTCTCTTGATAAGATCGACTGTGTAGCAAGTATATAAGATGTCAATATGATAACACTTTATTCAGATTAGATTGTATATGATTTAATATAGGTATATTGCATGCTTCTCTTTGAATATATTGATAGAGATCAAGGTTATCCAAACGAGTTTTCGTCTCTTTTCCTACCTCTCATGCGCACAACCTCGAGTTTTTTCAAAACATCTGGATTGCCATGAACTAGATATCCTTGGTAGAAACCTTGTAGATCCTCAATGTTGTGCACACATCCAACCGCCTTTTCAAACACATACAAGTCAACAGCCTTGTCCTCATCTTTTGGTGAAACACTCGACAATCCAAAGTCTATCACATAAACCTGGTCTCCAAAAATGAAGTTGGACGTCGTTAGATCTCCATGTACTATGTTTTCAGAGTGAAGTTTACCCACCAGAACACCTACTTCATAGAACAGGTGCATATGATCGATTACATCACTCAAATACTCTTTCATTGTCTTTCCCATTACTTTTTGCATCACAATCGTATTCTCACTAACCTTGATCAGTTTTGGGCATGCAATTCCAAGTTTGTTCAGTTTTTTCATGATATTTGCTTCTCTTTTGGTTCTGCTGCGTATTATCTTTCTATCCAACTCTTCGATTCGGTATTCTTTCTTCATCCTTTCCTTTAAAACTACTTTTCCATCAGTAGACACACTCGACTCTGCACCAAGAAAAATAAACTCCATATCAGGGTACTCTATCAAAATCTTTCTTTCACCAGATGCCATAACTATGCCTAAGCAATAAAATTCACCTTATACAAATACAAATGATGCATAATTTCAAACATTGATTCCAGATCTGTTGATGATCTCATCTATTGCTAGCATTCCGCATCCATCACCAGACTTCTCAAAAAACACCACCTCTTTCCTAGACTTCATCACCACAATGCAATGCCAATCACAAGCATCCAACTCATCATCAGTAGGGTCGCTCAGAATACATCTCTCCACAGAGCAGTACAAAAAACATTTTGGTAAAAAATTCATGCTTACGCCAATAGCAGACAGCGCTGCATTCACACCAGCAACTGCAATGCTGTAAACGTTACCATCAATTGATAAAAACCTAAAATCAATATGCACCAGCATAACCTCCTTGCCTGCCTTAATGCACATGCTTTCAAGATCAACACACTTCTGCTTAACATATACCATGTTCAAAAACCATAATAACTTTTCATGTCTTCTACCAGCCATGGATGCGAAAAATCCTATCACTCCCTCCCTAGGCTTATCTACATAGGGTCTAGTTACATCAGATTGGAACACAACTTGTACACGTGTGTTTCCCATTGACAAAAACAGTGAATTTGCATATTTCTCAATCTCTATAGGTCTTTGTTCATCTATTCTTCTATAATCAAGCCTTTCCCCATCAATTGCCAATTTTTTCACTATCATCAGGGGAATCAGATGCTGCATTGAGATGAATGTACACTTAGATTTACACTACAATACAATACTTCACTAACAATACAATACAATACAATCGCCACATCATATTGTTTGTACTTTACTTATAACAACATCATAATGTTTGTTCTATGCAACATCATCAGTACATAAACAAATGCAAATGATTTTAGTGTTCATAGCAATCGCAATATGCATAACAGAGAATGTCTCTGTTGATTTTCGGACACCTGATGGACAAATTCTCCTACCTGAGCGTATTCCATCAACACCTGTCTTATTTATGGAGTTTAAAGCATTCTCAAGAAAGTTCAGACTCATGCTTAATGACTCCTCGCATTGCATCAATGGCATTACAATGAAAAAAAGTCTGTGCGACTTTTCAATATCATCCCAATCTCAAGATGATTGTTATGGCTCCTTATCATTCTGTGGAGAAATCAGTGGCAAATTCATTTTAGGTCAATATATATATAACATCAGATCAACAATGGCCAGTCACATTCACATAAGCCAAGTAGAGTATCCTGTAAGTAATCCAAATAAAATTAATGAACTGATCAGTACAGTATCTACAGCCAAGGTTACAAGTGATACACAAAAGAGATTACCGATATTTCTAATCAATGATTTTGAACGTGTGCAAGAAGTCGGTCCCAGCATCAATCAAGATACAATGCAAATGTTTAATATCTCAAAAAAAATACTTGAAAAAAACAAATGGAAACGATACAACATAAACCTGAAGTTAAATGGAATACTAAATGTTGTACATTCTCCATTAAATGTGAGACAAACAAATGTGCCTTGGGCTCAGACAATATCTGAAGATCACACTGAAGGTCTTGAGCAGTTTGATAACATCAGAATGTTAAAAACATTCAGCGACATGTTTAGATCAATCGACAATAAAGAAGATATGATGGGGAAACTAATGGACCAGGCTGGCTTGATTGTTCTTCTCCAACCGTCTGGAAGCATTGTCAGCGGATTGACTTTTTCCAATGGATTTGGATCCTCTGATAGACGATTCAGCATTGTCAGGATATCAGGCACCGACTCCTACTTCCATCAGGGAAAAGTTCTAGCGCATGAAATAGCACATTCAATTGGTGCAAATCATGAACTGGGAACGAAGTGTCTGATGAAACCAGAAGATAGTCCTGTTGATAATGATGAAGATGCATTTCTGAGCAATAAAGCCATAGATGCTATGGAACACTTTCTTTACAAAAATAAAATTCGCACGGATACAATCAATACGTGTGGAAACGGATTGATAGATGATGATAAAGAATGTGACTCAGGCTTATATGCTGGGTCATTGTGCTGCACAAATAGATGCAGACTGAGGTCAGGAGAATTGTGTAGTAATTAAAATAGATTAAAACCAAGAATATTGTTTAATTATTGAAATAGATCTGGAACCTGATTTATTTTATAATCATTGAAATGGAAAGTTAAGCATGGTATAATAATCAATTCAGTATAGAATTATAACAACGTATTTTAAATGATATGCTAATCCCGTATAACATTATAACAACACATTATAAATGATATGTGATTTATTAAATATTTATTAGTCATAAGATTCTGTTATCTTAAAACACAATCTAACCAAAGCATAATACATTCTAAATCAAACCTTCTGCTTCAACAGTAAGATACCCAATCGTCTTGAGCATGCTTTCTTCAAAATCAGTCCATACACTTCCAAACATCTTATTAAATGCAGATATATCATCCGGCTCCAAAAGATGAGACTTGTACCTCAGAATACTAAACAAGATCCTTTGAGTAATGTCAATTGCCGTATTCATGTGTGGCATTATCAGGTTCATTATCTTCAATACTTCTTGCTTGCAAAGCCCTTTTATCCACTCTTCATCCATAAGCTTTTCTAATGCCTGCACAGATAACGTTATATCAGTTAACTCATCGTTTACATCCGATGGCTGATGTAGTCCTCTAATTAGCAAAATATCTGAGCATAAGTTACTTCTTCCTCTCTTCCACACCTCCTCACGCTTATCAGTACTTGCTTTGAACATTGTGAAGTCCACTACATCATCTTCTGATTTATTACATTCCAAAAACAACATCTTATTTGAAAAAATAATCAAATCGTTACTTTCAGATACAACAAGTAAGAAATCAATATCCGGAGAAAACCTAACAAACTTTGCATTCTCATTCATCTCAAGCACATCAAGGTGCATAGAAGTCACCACATCATACACCAAAACCTTATTTCCACACAGAATTGCTATCCACTTCGAATCACTGGATATTCCATAATCAGTCACCTCCTCACCCGTTGCAAATACTCTAGAAACCCCATCCTCGTAGAAAATAATTCGATTCTCCATTCTTATCACCACAAAGTTCTCAACTAGCTTAATCGATCGGATTCCTGTACATTCATATTTCGACTTCATCTCACCCTTCATTGAATAGAAATGCAAGCCAGATACCGTAGCAACAACTATCTGATCTAAATCCATTGCTATATCAACAAGATCCTCTCCAACACAAAATCTGGCATGCACCAACTTTGACTTGAGATTTATCAGAAATACCTTATCCTTCCCAAAACAGCAGAAGTCCTTGTAAACAGCCAGACATTTCATATCCTTCTTCATAACAAGCCTAGACCTCTTCTCGTTAACTTCAAGAGCATGTAGCTGTTTGTTTCCAAAACACACGACATTGTGATTCACATCCATCATCTCAACTGATCCCTTGAATTTGAACATGAAATTCTGCTCATCTTTGTAGATATTTGTGCTAAAGATACTTCTTGGGCCAAAAAGAAGCACAGTGTTTCTATTAACAAACTCCATCCCAACAATCTCTCCGTTATAAACACTCCTTCGTTTGATCAGCTCAAGAGTGTAATTATTTATCTCATAAATACTTATCGAATTCTCTGTAGAAAGCACCACAGACTTGTTATCAATCAACCGTGCGCTTATCACCCGATTGTGTCCTCTTATACCAGCATCCTCATCCGCATCATAGTTCTTTTTTCCTTCAGATGTCAATCCCTTCACACTCATCATCTTTCTCCTGTCATCTAGATCAAAAACCGCCATATCAGCATCACTCACTGCTACCAACAAGTTTCCTGCAAAACTCATCTCATTCACCCTTCCATTCATCTTCAACGAAAATAGCATCTTGTCAGACTTCAAGTTAAAAATATGAATAGTCCCATCTTCTAGACCTATTCCCACTATATCAATAACACTACTCTGCTCTATCACACTTATCATCGACCCAAACGCAGTATATGTGTATATAATCTTCCTAGACATCACATTGAAAAGAACCATCTCTCCTCCTTGCATTACCTTAATCACCTTGTTCACATATGTGTGCGGATGAAAAAGCATCGCTATGCCTTCGTGCTCAATCTTGTACATCTCATTAAGATCTTCCGTTACAACCAGCTCATTCTCTTTCAAGAGTAGAATAATGCTCCCAAATCCAATCATCTGCTTCACAACCCTATTGCAGTCTTCATCTGCAACTTTTACTCGCTTATTGGACTTTTCACTGCCTTCATGCAACAAAACAGTTTTAATTATTTCTCCACGCACAGTAGCATAAACTTTGTTGCCAGAGCACACATAAACAACGCCGTTATGTTGATATCCACAATCAACCCTATAAAACATCGGTCCACAAAACACCAGGTTCAGTTTATTTGCATCATAAATCAGATATCCATTCTGAGTCATCGACACCACATGCACAGTTTCATCAACCTGCTGCACCATCAAAGCATGTTCTGATGTTATCCTATTTGCCACACGGTACTTCTTGAACAGATCTGATTCACTATATCTCATCCTAAGGGCAAAATTTTAGTATTGCAAATCACATGCCCATGGACAGAGAAGACGGTGGATATATTCACAGCTCTCCACGCAAGGAATTCTTGGGAATAAAGACACTCAGATCATTCACTATGAAGCAGATCAGCAACTGTGACTTCGATGAAGCATCATCAACACATCACATCGATTCGACAGAGGTTACAAACATCCAGGCTATTGGATGGGTCACTTCGTCAAAGTCCTCTGCTACTGGATCTGTATTTACACTGCAGGATGGTACCGGAAAGGTCGACTGCTCATTCTGGCCAAACAGTTCATATGAGGAAGATCAATGCAGACTCCTTCAGGAAGGAATACTTCTTAAGGTAAATGGGTCTCTTAGGACATTCAGCAGTAAGAGAAGTATATCTGTTTCTAACCTTTCAGAAGTAAAGAATCCAAACTTCATTATTTATCACTTTCTTAACTGCATCCATCAGCATCTGTTCTATACAAGACAGCTACATAGGGACGAAGTGGTAAGGAATGAGGGAATGAAAATGGAAAAAATCCAAGAGGATATTCTTGAATGCTACAGAAAGAATCAAGACGAAAACGGACTCCACATCAATGTAGTGATCAAAATGTTATCTTCGAAGTATTCCGAGAATAGCATTAGAGAAAACATCGATGCTCTATTGAGAGACTGTCATCTATACAGTGTAGATGGGATGGAATATAGAACAACAATATAAAATGCTTATTTTACTATACTTCTTGTGGTTATTCACACAGTATATTTTCAGAATTTACTATACTTCTTGCGATTATTCATGCATAATACTTTCAAAGCATGATGCATCTACCCTACTATTATTAAGCTAGACATCGTCTTGAATTCCACTAAGGTCCAATCCTTTTACATGTGTGTTGGTTATCCTAATCCTTCGTTTGTTTCTCTTGCCTCTGTTTATCTTTATCATTGATCTTTTCTTGATGTTTTCAGCCTTTTCAGTTTTCAATCCTGCCGTATTCAGCTCTTGTATTAGGTCATGATAAGTGCCTACTCGCACCTGATTCCACAAGCTCTTTATCTGCGCATCAGCAGGCTCCTCAAACAATTCGTTCCAGAACACTATTTCTGAGCCATCCATGTCACATAGAACAATCACTTCCTTCGTTGCCTTCAGCTCCTCAAGAAAAGGCGAGACATCAACTGGAGAATCCATCAGCTTGCTCATCTCAAGCCCTTCTTCTCCGTTAAGACTCTTCACAACCTTTCTCATATCATCCACTTCTCTAATTGAATACAGAGGCTTAAACATCAGTGAGTTCTGTGTGGAAACTATCCTTGGGTTCTTCTTTATCAGCTGCAAAAGATTATGGTTGTTGTACAGATCGATACGTGTCTTTTCTTTGATCTCATCAAACAGCAGTGCTCTGTCGTACTGTTTGAGTAGACTTATGACCGAGTGTATGTATGTGTTAGTGTGTCTCTCAAGCCCAATTGAATCGGTCCCAAAGTGATCAAAGCCCATGGCGTGGGATAATGCATTTATGCTTTTGTGATTATGAATATCTAATGCATTTCATGCTCATCAGAAGTTTAGCATTACGGAGCCCATATTGAAATGTCATGGGACGAGCATAAAGTAACAAGTATCGACCTGATTACAAACGATCCGGTTATCAACGAAGAGTCCATCAAGAAGGAGTTTCTTAGGTTTGTGGAAACGTTCAAAACTCACAAACGAGAGTACTCGCATGTGCTGGCATCCAACATCAGTCAAGATGACTTTTCACTGAGTGTGAAGCTAGAGCATATCTATCAATACTCTGATGTGCTGTCTCAGGAGTTATACAGAAGGCCAGAGAAGGTTATTGAGTGGTTTGAGGAAGCAATTGCTGGAAAGTATGTGGCAAGCAGGACGAAGGGATTCCAGCTTCGTCTTGTATCTGGCGCTAGATGCACGCCCATCCGTGAGATAAATGCATCCAAGACAAACCGAATAGTGAAGATTCAAGGGATTGTTGTTTCTGCATCTTCGGTTATCACAAAGCCAAAAACCGTGTATATTGTGTGCAAGAACTGCCTTACGAGCAAAGAGGTGAGTGATATGATACCCAGGAGTTGCGAAAAGGCTGAATGCCCAATTGATTCGTTTATGGTTATTCCAGAAAAAAGCCAAGTATTCGACATGCAATATGTGAAGATCCAGGAATTCTTTGAAGATATTCCAATGGGAGAGACTCCGAGACACTTCAGCCTGGTGTTGGAGAAGGGGATGGTAAATAGTCTTGTTCCAGGAGCAAAGGTTGTGGTCACTGGTATATATTGCATGAGAATGGTTAAAGAAAGCTCTTTTCCTGTTATTAAGGTAGTGGGGCTTGAGCACGAAGGCCAAAAAAGCCCAAGGATGTTTAGTGAGGAGGAGGAAGAGATGTTTCGAAATCTGAGCAAGGAGAATGTATATGAGAAGATATCAAGGTCGATTGCACCATCGGTATATGGACATGATGATGTGAAAATGGCGCTTGCATGCATGCTTTTCGGAGGGACAAGGCGGGTTCTTGAAGACAAGGTTGCATTAAGAGGCGACATAAACATATTACTATTAGGAGATCCTGGGATGGCAAAATCCCAGCTCCTGAAGTTTATGGAGCTTGTTGCACCAATAAGCGTATACACAAGTGGAAAGGGAAGCTCAGCCGCAGGACTTACGGCAAGTGTGATAAGAGATAGCAGTGGAGAATTTTATCTTGAAGGAGGAGCATTGGTTCTTGCAGACAATGGAATATGCTGTATCGATGAGTTTGATAAGATGAATGAGCAAGACAGAGTAGCAATACATGAGGCCATGGAGCAGCAAACGATATCAATTGCAAAAGCAGGCATAACAACGATGCTGAATACCAGGACCAGTGTTTTGGCAGCAGCGAATCCAGTGTTTGGTAGATATGATGATTATAAGACGCCTGAAGAAAACATAGAATTTGGAGCAACCATACTGTCAAGGTTCGACTGTATTTTTATTCTAAAGGATAAGTACGGACCGAATGACATTACAGTTGCAAAGCACGTTCTTTCAGTACACCAGGATAAGGGGAAGGAAAATGCATCTGAGCTTGAGGATCTTGGAGGTTTTGAAGAAAGCAGGCAGGATGAGGTAAAACAAAAAGAAAAGTCAGAAACACTGCCTGTGAATATAATAAGGAGATATGTTCAATACGCAAAAAGCAGGATATTTCCAGTACTTTGTGAAGAGGCATCTATGAGATTATCAAGGTACTATGTAAATGCACGAAAAGAAGCAAAGCAGCTCGAAGATAATGTATTGAAGAGGAATTCGATTCCAATAACGGTAAGGCAGTTGGAGGCAATCATTAGAATAAGCGAATCTCTAGCAAAGATGGAACTAAGTACAAGGGTCACTGAGAAGCATGTGGACGAGGCAATCCGTCTATTCCGTGCAAGCACCATGGATGCGGTTTCTCAAGGCCATATGCTGGAAGGAATGATGCGACCAGATGTGATTGATACGATCGAGGACATATGTAACAAGATAAGCCAATTTATACCTATAGGAGGATCCATAAGATACAGTGATCTGATTAGAAAGTTGAATGGGAAGGAAGAATGGATGTGCAAGAAGGCAATTGAATATATGTGTAAGCAAGAAAAGCTCGTTCTTAGAGACATGGGAAAGATATTGATAAGACAGCCTTGATTAAAGTTGCATTGAAGTTATTTATCTACGGTATATTATATGGAATCCAGATGGAGTTGGTATAGGCCCTATCATTTCGCCTCTCTTCAATGAAAATGCAGGTTTTTCAAACTCGGGCATCATTTCATTGCCACAAACTATTCCAAGATCTCCTCCTCTTTTTGCAGATGAACACTGGGAGTATTTGAATGCATATTCCTTGAATGCCTCTCTGAAGCTAGGATCGTTTATTCTGCACTTCAATTCCTGGTGTATCTTGTTTATCTGTAGCAAGGCATCCTCGACGCTTGTATCGACAGGTTTTCGGGAATTCCTATGTTTTATCAGTATGTGATATAATCTGAAGCCATCTGTCGGGCGTAATTCGCTCCTTTCCTGTGTGACAGTGTTGTAGAAGTATATAGCGTTTGTATCTTTATTAACGAGCTTTAGCCACATCAAGGGAGTATAAGAAAACAAATATGTACTGCATTATTTTGCATACGAAGCATCCCTTGCTGTAATGATTATCCCAATTAGATGCTTTACATGTGGAAAGGAGATATCCAGCAAGTGGGAATCATACAAAGATCTTCTCAAGATGGATAAAACAGAAGCAGAGGCATTGGACGAGCTTGAGATGAAACGAATATGCTGCAGAAGAATGTTTCTTGGACATGTAGAAATTGTAGACAAGCTACTTGAATTCGATGTCATAAAAGACTTTTCATCAAAGGTATAATCATCAATGCATAGCATGTTTGATTCAATATAAGCTAGATGAGAGGGAGTCGGATAACATATACTCAGCAATGGTTTTAGTTGCTGAGTATTGAATATTTATACTTTTATTGTTATGCAATATCAACGCTAACCATCTTAAGGGCTGCTTTTATCCACTCGGGAACAACCTCAAACTTTTTCAACATGAAAGACTTAATAAACTCAGGATAACAATCATCATGTATGGCTTCTCTTATTCTTCTTGTAAGGTTTTTCATATAATGCAAGTTATGCGCTGTAAGCAGCATGCAGAAGTTTGTGGTTCCTTTGATTGACCATAGAAATGCTCTTGAATATTTTGAGCATGTAAAACATTCACAATCATCATCAATCTTCCTAGTATCAAGCACAAACTTTGAAGAAAAGCAGACATCGCCTGTGTCTGAAAATGCTCTTCCAAACCTAGCTGTCCTTGTTGGATATACACAGTCTGACATATCACTTCCAAGTGCAACAGACACAACAATGTCTTCGGGATAGCCTACACCCATTAAGTACCTTGGCATATGTTCCGGGAGATTCCTTATGCAATAGTCGATTATTCTTGCAAATTCTGTCTTTTCTTCTCCACCACTCAATCCTCCAATTGCAATTCCTTTTGGTGATCTCTTAAGGATCTCATTGATGCTTTCCTGTCTTAAATCCTCGTGCAAGCCACCTTGGACTATTGGAAACAGGATCTGCTTGCTATGTTCGTTGATTTCTATATGTGGGGCATCTTCTAATTTAGTTCTCTTTTTGCCCTGGATGCGGATATTTGTACCTGAATTAACCGTCTTAATGCATCTATCAAGCCAACGGATCGATCTTCGCATCGATACCTCAATCTTGTTTCTTTCATCACACGGATTCACAACATCATCAAGCTGCATGATTATATCGGCACCCAGCTCTCTTTGGATTTCCATGCTATCCTCTGGTGTAAAAAGCTTCTCTGCAAAAAACACGCCGTCTTCAGAAACAGATACATCAGGAAGACTTCCTATTTGGAATCCACCTGAATCGGTCAGCATGCCTCTGTTGTACGACATAAACTCTTTGACGCTTTTCTTTAAGTCACGTAAGTGGTATGTATTCGCTAATATCATGCTTTCCTTAATGTCGGCAGAGCAGACTCCTTTCAACGCACCATATGTTCCAACAGGCATGAATATAGGCAACTCAAGTTTTACATCGTTTAGCTCAAACTCTGAGACTCTTGCATTTGTCACTTTGCATTTCTTCTTTATTTTGAAATCACCTAGCATAGGGTGTGTCTCAGGATACATGAATAATAATAAGTTATGCAACATGTACAGAATGATCTAACAATTTTTGTATTGCTGTATCTAACGTAATATAAATAACACTATAACACAATGATTCTATGTATATTTTACTATAGTATTTCTATATACATTTTACTACAATGATTCTATGTATATTTTGTTACAATGATTTATACACATTTTATATCACATTATGTTTACTTATCTATTTAAGAATTCTACTGAAAACTGTTTTACTTATCTATTTAAGAATCCAAATGAAGATGGTTTTTTACTTCTCTTGGTTATGAGTTTGTTTTTTGCAAGACTACAGTTACAATCTCTATTATGTGCGTTGTATGTGCATTTACATGATAGCTTGCTAATGTCTATATTCATGCATGCCAGATCATTGCAAATATCATTGAATCCCTCATGATCATTCAGTGCATTGCATACCGCAAGCATGGCATCATGCACTTCTAAAATAGCCTGGTTATGATTATTCATTAAAGCTCCTTTTCTGATGTTTTTCTTGAATCCATCGTATAACTGTCTAGCATATTTCATGCAAATGGAATTAATCTCAGGTGCTTCACATTTAGTACACAATGCACAAATCGCAGATAACATAAATACAACCACTTCTCTATAGCTGCATAAACAATCTATTATTCTATCCATAATATTCAGAGCAGAAACCAAATAATTTAGTGGAAGCTCAGAGATCCTGTGCATAATACTTTCAAGTAATTCACAAATCGATTCAGGCTCTTCTCTGGTAATTACATCTTCTATAAGCACTGCAATTTTATCTATCCATCTGCGATCACTTGTATCTCTGAGTGCACTGATGCATAGAACACACACTTTTGTAGTGTTAATGACATTTGTATTGGAGTGTGTCTCGTATATCAACCAACCATCTTCATAATGCTTGGTTTTTACACAGAGTTCAAGCATTGAATTGTCCATCGCACTGATTTCATGCATTCTGTTTGCAGCCCAGACATCAAGACATTCGCTCCAATATACGTTTTTTTGCTGAGCGCACACCCACTCATCTAGCTCAATATTAGATTCAAGTATTTCAACATACTCTTCAAGATACTCATGCATCTGATCTTTTGTGAGTGTACTCTTTGCAAATCCATGTCCTTTAAAGTCGTTTATCAATGCAGTTGTAGACACACCTGAGTCAGAGCCCATGCTAAGCAGCAATGCAAGATTGAATATTAGATGCGTTATGCTGTTGGACTTCTTAAATACTTTAAAGAATCTGATCGATTCGTTTCTTCTGAAAAGTATGACCATTAGCATTTCTAAGTGATTTTTACTAAGTGTGATGCCTGATTCATCCAATCTTCTATAGTACCTGTATGTTATTGACTCTATTTCATGCTCGCAATTGATCTTGATCTTCTTGTCAACGAAGTTCTCCTTGAATGTAGCAATAAGCTGATTTTTCAGGATTTCTGAGTACATTTCATTCATGCTTTTTCTATATGCCAGAACAGTTAGCACATCTGCAGCATCCCTTTTTGCCACTTTATGCATTATAAACATCTCCACACTGAAGAGCACATTCAGGTCAATCTCATGAACATTCATGACGTGATTTATAAGACATGAAAGTGCACATCCGTATACTTTGAACATATCATGGAGATTGTGTATGTCCACAGAGTCTTGACAAAATACACATTCAATACCATTTGTTTTTGGAAACAATGTCAGAAGACAAACCATTTCCATGAATGCTTTTTTTTCCAAAGGTTCAAAAAGGCACTCGTTGCATGAAGTCTCCTTCTCTTCATCCATATGCAGTATTTACTTGTGCTGTTTATATACCTGAAAACATTGACTGTCAACCATCATTAATTGCATGACGTGCCTCAGGCACATTAATTATTGACACATTCATGATGGTGTAATATGCCAGTAATGTATATAAGAGGTGTAGTAAGTGGTAAAAAGAAGGAGCAGTGAATGATAAAATAAGTGTGGTAAATGGCAGAATAGAAGTATCAGAGAAATAATATCAAATGGTAAAAAGAATCAGATAATGGTAAATGGTAAAAGAAAATGTAAACATTATTTTTATTGATCGGCTAGAATGCTATCCAGCTCTTCAATATCTTTATCAAGCTCTTCTAAAATTACAGTGGTTCCGCTTGATGCGTCTGATGTATTAGTATTGCTTGCTTTGTGCTTTTTAGATGGTTTGCTATCGTCATGGCCATTCTCAATCTGGGGCTTTCTTATACATTTGTCTATATGAAGCTTAGAAGCATAGAATGATTCTGGATCAGTTTGATGCATTGAACTAGGCTCATGCATCATGGTTACACTCTTGGCATCAGATTTACTGTGATAACTATGTATCTGAACCTTATCGTTCTCCTTTTCTACACTGATGCTCTTTTTTTCCTGTACTGTATTCTGACCCTCTATTTCATCCTGATGTTTCGATGAATCGCCTCTAGAAAAATTATTGGAACTATTAATATCGCTTTGAATGACTTCACAAACAACGTTATCAACTACATCTTCATAGTCCTTGAGAGATGTAGTATCCGTATATGCATTGCTACATATAACTGTACTTGTTATGCATTGATTCGATGTGTCATCTTTGTGATCTAAAACGTCATTTATTTTGCATTTAGGTATGCTTTCCATATTGTGTGTTGTTGGATTGTTCTTCCATGCATCTTTTAATGAATCCAAATGTCTATACTCGCATTTGACCTTTGTACATCCACTTGGCTTATCTTCCCAGTAGCACATCTCTTCACGACGATTCTTTTTACAGTGATACTCGGAGTGGCGAAACGGACACTCATTTTCGCATGTACCCCCAGCCTTCCAGTTTTTGCACGTTACTACATTGTTCCTACAGGTTTCGTTGTGCCGATGTAAACACTTGCCTCCAAACTTACATTCTGAATACAAAAAGAAATAGCAGTCATCAACCATCACAGGGCATGAAAAACAGCCGATTTACAAAATATCGACCCAGAAAAACACTTCAAGAAAACCGTTTATTATGAATACGACTCTTTCTTTATTTTATGCGCAGCATCCAGAAATTCTCCGTGTTAAGGAGTATTCTCCATTACAGGAGTGCATTCGCTCACCAAAACAAATGGTTTGCTATCTTAACGCACATGACTTCCTGAACAAATGCCTAATGAAGTCTTGCCACAGTCCATAGTAGACCAGCACATTCACAAATATTATTGTGTAGAACATTTAGGGCCGCACATGAGTTGTGTCATATTGCATATCTAAAGGAGAATTCTTTAATCGGCACATGCATATTTTTATTATTAAGTGATGAATGAAATTATCAGCTTTGAAGCATGCCATCTAGAGTACAATGTGAACGAGGCATGAATTGATGGCAGGGTCAACAAAAGCACAAGTGAGCAAAAATAAAATCCCCATAATGGAGGAGAAATCAAAACTGAAGTACCTTAATGCACTGGAGAAAGAAAGATGCACAAAGACAGATGTTTGTATTGACAAGAAGTTTTTTATTACGTTTCCATATCCGTACATGAATGGAAAGCTACACTTGGGACATTTGTTTTCAATATCGAAGGCGGATTTTTTTAGCTATTACAAAGAGCTTCAAGGATACAACGTGTTGTTTCCGTTTTCTTTTCATTGCACTGGCATGCCGATAAGTGCATCTGCAAAGAAGCTTAATGACGAGCTTAATGGAAAGACGGTAGATGTGTCAGTCAGGAAGATAATTGAAGACTTTGGATTTACAGATCTGGAACCATTTACAGATCCAATACATTGGATAAGAACGTTTCCTAGTCTTTGTGAAAGCTCCTTGAGAAAGTTTCATGCAAATGTTGACTGGAGAAGGTCTTTTATAACCACAGACTTGAACAAGTACTACGACTCATTTGTGAAGTGGCAATTCAACATACTGAACAGATTGGGATATCTATCGTTTGGAAAGAGACACTCGATATTTTGTCCTGTTGATAGGCAGCCATGTCAGGATCATGACCGTAGAAAGGGAGAGAATGTAAAGCCAGTGATGGCAATTCTGTGTAAACTAAGGTTTAGTGAAGGAGTTCTTCTTTCAAGGATGAAGGACGGATGCATTCCAAGTAAGGTAATTTTTGGATGTAAGAGGGAGATTGTTGGCTTTGAATATGATGGTGTGAAATACTTTGCAGAAAGGAATATTTTTGATAACATAAGGATGCAGACTAATGTAAAAGTGACTGATAGAGATTCAGATCTGAATGGCAACGATATGCCGAGGGCTATTGAGATCACAAAGCTTTTCAAACATACATTTATGGTGTTTGATAGAGAAGTGAAGTGTGAAGCTATTGAAAAGGATCTTGGATGCATTGTGAAAGGGGCTCAGGCTGAAGTAGATGAGGAATGTATTGGAAAGATCAAAATGGAGTTTGAGTCAATAGAGAAAGCAGAGGGTAGCGATGTAAGACTTGCAGAGACAGAAAATTTCATCAAGTTCTATGAGCCAGAGGACGAGGTGATAAGTAGGTCAGGAGGAAAGTGTGTGGTTGCATTAACAGATCAATGGTATGTGAATTATAATGATGAAAAGTGGAAGCAAGAAGTGTGGAGATGTATGCAGAAGTTGGAATGCACTGAGGACACAAGGAAGGTTCTTGAAGAAGCACATGGATGGATAGGTAGATGGGGATTCTCTAGATCGTTTGGACTAGGTACAAAAATACCTTGGGATGAGGAATACCTGATAGACTCACTGAGCGATAGCACGATCTACATGGCAATGTATACATTTAAGCATTTTCTCTACAGTGATTTGGAAGGCAAAGATGAGATATTTCCAAGCATGCTGCTGTCCGATAATGTGTGGAATTATATTTTCTTGAATAAAGAGGTGACGCCTGAGCTTTTAGCGCATGAACATGTGCTGATGAAATGCAGAGAGTCATTTGAGTATTTCTATCCAGTAGACCTGCGAGTCAGTGGGAAGGATTTACTTAAGAATCACTTGGTATTTTTCCTGTTTAACCATGTTGCATTATTTGATGAAAAATATTGGCCAAGGAGAATATTCACGAATGGGCATTTAATGCTGAATTCTGAAAAAATGAGCAAGAGCTCGGGAAATTTCCTAACGGTTGATGAATCTCTAGCGAAATTTGGAGTGAGTTCCACTCGTATGTGTCTTGCGGTATGTGGTGATGGAAATGAAGATGCAAACTTTGTGGAGTCGAATGCCAATGCATTTGTACTCAAGTTGCATTCGTATGTGAAGCAGATAGAGGAGATATGCTCAAATGGTACTGAGAGATTGAGCGTGTCTAAGATTGCCAGTGAATATCCAGAAATGGGATTTGCAGATAGGTTCCTGATTCAGACGATTTCCACAAATGTTTCATTTACTATTCGAGCGCATGAAGAAATGATGTATCGTGATGTAGTGAAATATGGATTCTATGAAATGATACATGCAAAGGAGATGTATCACATACTTGGAGGTAACAACATATCTCTTGTTATTTTGCTATACAAATCTATTTCACAGCTATTATATCCGATAACGCCTTCTCTATCGAGGCATCTGATTGCAACCTACTTTGATTCTGAATTTTCACTTCCTCCCGTGTTTGTATTAGATACTAATGAAATTGATGCAGTAACATATCTCAAAAACACATTAAGAAAGTTGGTTTCACAGAAGAAGAAGAGAAAGTACTCGAGTGTGGAGATTTTAGTAGGTGTGGAATACACAGAATGGAAGAGGAGATGCATGAGTGTAGTTGATCAGATTTTATGTGAATGTAAGCTCGCAGGAATAAGTATTTCTGATGAGATTAAAAATCCCGACTCACTCTTGCTTTCAAAGATCATAAGCTCATCAAAAGAGATTCTTAAAGAGTTTGGTATTGCTGAGCAGAAGGGAATATCGTTTTCAATGGATTACCTTGCTCGCCCAGAGTGTTATACAACAAAATTCAATGAGTACAAGGTCTTGGAATCGTACAAGCATTATATTGCGGACAATGCAGACATTGAAGTATTTGTTTGTGTTAGCTCTAGAGCAGACCCTGGGAATCCTCTATTTGAATTCAAATAAAACGCTTTATGCATTTTCATTTGTAGATTGTTTGTGATACACTATAGATTTTATTTGCATATCACCTATGGAAAACATTTGTGGTGCATTATAGATCATTTACATTATTATCTATGGAAAACATTTACAATCACCTGTCCATTATTTGAATAGCACTTATAGATTATTTGTGATAAACCAAAACAATTAGTTTATGATATTCTACCCCAATGACTGTAGATCAATTCTTCATAATAAACAGGTCAGGAGGAATGGTATTTAGGTACGAAAAAGGAGACAGTACGGAGATAAACAATCTTTTGGTATTAACAAGTTCTTTATATTCAACATGCATGATCTCCTCAAAAATATCGGGTCGGTCAACATCAAAGCAAATCATCCATTTCGAGAATCGAACAATATCGATATTTAAGACATTTTCAAGCACAATGTTTGTTTTTGTTGGTGAAAAGGTTTCCGACCAGACCTTTAGCAGAGTCTATACACACTACTGCGAGTACGTAACAAGGAATCCATTCCATACTCCAGAAATGCCAATTAATTGCTCAAAGTTTAAGCCTCATCTTATTTTCAACTAATGATGCCTTATCTATTATACTTTCTAAGCTTTTACTTAACAAGCAAGCTTGTATGAAACAAAGAGCTTACGTTTAATTTAATACAGTAAATATAGATAAGCGGATACACTGTGTGAATATGCTTATAAGCCAAAGAAAAATGTGCTTGGATCCAGCTCTCCTTTGTGATCCAACTTTTCATCAAAGCATCTATATCGCTCGTTATCCATCTTGGCTATTATTGAGGCAAAGTCAGATATCTTTTCTATTGAGTGTTTGTTCTCGTATATTTCACTGAGAACATCCAGGTCCTCGTTGACCTTGAGTGGCTTGCTCGATTTGAATACAAAAAAGCTCCTTTCTTCGTTTGTTTCACAATGGATCTCTGCCTTTTTGCTTGTGCTAATCACCATGAACGGCAGATAAAGCCTTTCAAGATGTGTGTCTTCCGAGGAAGAGTTTCTGTCTACAATGAACTTGAAGACCTTCTTCATCTCCTTCAGCTTCTTTATCTCCTCGAGCTTCTTTGTTGTGTCATCCTCAGTTCCAACCAAGAAGTACTTCTTCCCTTTCTTGTCTATCAGTCCCACAGCTTTCATAACGTTCAGAACGTCGTATATCCGTCTGTTAAGGGTCTCTGTGTTTGGAAACACAATGTTCTTGCATATAAACTGATATGTGCATGCCTTATTTTCCTTGAGCAGTTGGAATACTGCTTGTGTAATATACTTCAGACCTTCTCGTCTGTTTTCAGAGCCATCCATCTCTGAGTTCGGGCATTTCATACCTTGGGATTAAAAAATTGGTATGATTTGTTGCCATACTTTAACAAGTATATAATTAGATTCGTTAGAGCCTTTGCCTATTGCTTCATGATATGCGTTTGGCCAGAATCGTATGCTTGTTTCATCGCATGAATGTATTGCATAGGTCTCTGTATACTCAATATGGCACTTTCAAAGTCAATATGAAACTTGTAATGCAAACCCAAGATTGATTGGAGACATCGAAACTCATGCGTTTTAGATAAAACTATAAATACTTCAAAAAGTTCATACATCAACATGAAAGGTATTTCAAAGATCATTTCGGCTTCTATAATCCTAATGAGGCTAGGCTCCTCAAGGGCTGATCCTTGCGTTAACAATCAATTTAATCAAATGCCTGTGATAATGCCATCTCAGGTCCTGATTCCTGGAAATCCAAACAATGGACTATATAATTGTTCAGGCAATACGCCTCAGGTGTTCTACCCAACTACAAATGGAGTACCAACTGCGCCAGGCACTACAACACCGCCCACTAGGTGTGAGGTCTCTGTTGTAAAGAATTGTGAAGGTGCTGAAGAAACACCAAATGAACCTGAGACAGTAATAACGACTCCGCCTCCAGTGACTACGACACTTCCTTCAGAGGTAATCACTGTACAGACAGTAGCTCCTCCAGCATTATCTACGCCACCACCATCTACTCAGACACCCACAGTTGTTGGTGTTCCAGTAGTTGGACCGAATGGAGAGCAAGGAGTTGTTGGCATGCCTGCAGTAATGGATTGCAGTTATCATTTAACTCCGGGTGTGCCAGTAGCTCCGGGCATGCCAGGTGTACCACTAACACCATGCAATAACATAACGGGAGGAAATAATGTTCCAGTAACACCAACTGTACCGATAACACCAAGCGCTCCAGTAATGCCAGGTGTACCAACTGTACCTATAACACCAAGCGTTCCAGTAGTGCCAGGTGCACCAACTGTACCGATAACACCAGGTGTTCCAGCAGTGCCAGGTGCACCAGTAATTACAATTCCAGCAAATTATTGTAATGCTTTAACAGGAGGGATTCCAGTAAATACACTTCCAGGTGCACCAATAACTCTATGCAATAACATAACAGGAGGAAATAATGTTCCAGTGACTCCAGGAATGCCGATAACGCCAGGGATGCCGGTGACTACACTTCCAGGTGCACCAATAACGCCAGGGATGCCGGTGACTACACTTCCAGGTGCACCAATAACGCCATGCAATAGCATGTCTGTAACAACTTTACCAAACCCTTCAATTGGTAATAATTCATATTTCTCAGAGTCTGAGCTACTTGGAATCGGAATGTCTTGCGTTAATCTTGGAGAAGTAGGTAAAACAGGAGTTGCCGGAAATCTGGGAGCTAATGGATGTCCTTATAATGTATCTCCAAGTACGAATGTGAATGTTCCTGGAATTGGCCCTCAAGTTTCCATAGGATCATGCGGACTAAAAACTCCGAGAATCATAATTAATGATCAAGAGTTTCCTGCTTCACCAGCATTTGTGCAACAGATGAAAGATTGCCCTGTGAGTAGTTTATGCGGTGAAAATTCATCATGCGGTATGGAAGCGTCTGGCTGCCAATCCAGTTGCCAAGCCACCACAGGCTGCTCAAGCTCTCAATAAAATGAGTTAATTATCAAATCGAATCTTCTGCATCCTATTTAAAACCAAATCTCTTTCATATTACTGAGATAATTATTGAATTATTCGTATTATACGCAGCCACTTTTACATCAATAAATATAAATCCATGTTTTTATCAATTATTTAATTACATCACTACTCTGTCACGTTATGATTAGTATAGCTTGTAAAAATACTTATACTCGTTTCTAGAGGTCTTATTATTGCTAAACCACACTTATATTCATCTACACAAATCTACTCTTGTTGTTTTCAAATATATAAGACATCAAAGTAGGTTTATTAAGATAATAAATGATAAATATTTAGATGGTAAGCTATAATTGCTTGAAGCTTTTATTTACAAATAATAATTGCTTATGTATGTTTACATATATCAAATATCAAGTCAAAATGCATAAGTAATATATACAATAATCCAATACATATCAAAAGCATGAAGAAATACCTTAAACCTTGATTTTATATATTAATCAATTATATATCACACATTTAACTTAACCATGTATTTAGTTTATCATGCATGTTACAAGATGTATCAAATGCTCCAATCATCTATGAACATCTGTAACAAAGCAGAAGGTGAATGTGAATGCCGCAGACCTCAAACATCTATATGAAATCTGATTTGTTTGTTATGAAACACAGCCGGCAGAATAAAATATAAAAACACGTTTTCGCCCGTTATCAAAGATGCTGTTGAGTTTTGCAGTTGTTGCCTTCATAGGATCGTGCATTGCCACAGAAACAATGGTTACAAAGCCAATGACTTATCCGACTATGCATACACTTCCTTTACAAGTGCAGCAAGGAACTATAATGCAAGGTTCGAGAAGGGGTAGTCAGTGTGCAATACTTGGTGAAGGTGTTAGTGATTGTGCGAAGGAGTTGCAAAAGAAGCAAGAAGAGAAAGAAAGGAATGCCCAGATAGCTGCTAGTATTCAATACCATCAAACCATGAATGAAAAGGCAGAAAATAAGTGCATTAAACCCACGCTAAATGGTTCAGATGTATGTGCTGAGCAGGAGTTCCTGAAGCAAGCAGCTACAAATGGCAAATACACGATTTCCACAAAAGACAATGTTGTTATGCTCAAAGAAAACGACCTTGTTATTGGCTTGGCTGTTCATGATCGTATGACGACAGTCCCTGTGAAGGAGAAAGCGAGGGAACCTGATCCGTTGACAGGCAAGAAGGAGACCAGAGAGGTTAAGCTTAACCAGTTTGGGCAGGTTGTTGGTCTATCTGGCCCACCAAGCAAACCCAAGGATGATTGCGTGTGTCCTAATAAGACTGGCAAGTCAGGGAAGGTCACGTTTGAAATGGCAACAAGGAGCTGTGCGGATGCCTGTGCTTCCAAGAATATAATGTACGATGCAATGGTTCAGAACAATTCTTCAGAGGATGAAGCAGACACTTCTAAGCCCAGTGAGGAAGAAACCGCTCAAACCACCACAGACAATAATAACTCTGGAAACACCGAGCAGATCACTGAAAATAACACTCAATGAGAGGATGTAGGCCTTAGAGTCATTTTTAATAAAAATCACCCGGATTTTAAGTAATTTTCTACAGCTATGCTATCTATAGTTAGCTTTTGTTTTCGTTCTATCTATTGTGCCTATTGCATTTGGATATATTGAGAAGTGCCCAGGATCTATGATAATCCTTACTTCTTACACATGTTTCAAAGATTACCTGCATTCTTGCATATGTTTCGGATATTACTTGTTTTCTTACACATGTCAGAGATTACTCTTTCTTCTTACATATGTCAAAGATCATCTGTTTCAATATTACTCAATTGAGTAGTCTATCCTTATTTCTTTTCCTTTTATTGTTTGTCCTAAAAGCTTCTTTTTTGCCGTTATGGCGTCATCCAATGTTTCAAACTGCAGGAACCCATATCCCTTCGACACTTTCTTGTACTTGTCATATACAATCACCACTTTATATCTCTGGATTTCACATACCTTTTCCTTGAGAAACTCTGTTATGTCCTCTTCTGTAACGTATGCTCCCAGTCCAAATAAACCTATTGACTTTGAAGGTGCGCCGTTTCTCTTTGCACGCAGTGCATTCCTCTCGCTTCTATGCTGTGCCTGCTCTTGAATAGTTTCGTATCTTAATTCAACACATTTTTGCATATTAGGATGTTGTTGCTCAGATACAAATCTTTGCCTGTAGCTGCCTCCAGTGAATTGACTGTGTGTAAATGTATGGCCATCTACTTTCCTCCTTCTTGGATCTTCAGGATCTCCATTGTATTTGCGAATGTTTGGCTGTTTGTATCCTCCACCGATTGTATTCCTGTTGTGGTATGAATTGTTCCATGGTGTTTGCGTGTTTCTTCTTTGATCCCCTCCTCCATTATGCCTTGGATTATTCTCCATTAGCAGGGTAATGCATCATTGTGTTTTAGTTTCCATGCGCATGATCTGATTAATAATAATACTTGAGTGGCATGTGCCCATCCGAGCAAATGGAAGAAATTAGCAGTATCTTGAGAGGTATAAATGTCACTATTATGCATGAAGAGTATGAAAAGATCATTTCTCAGCTACCTACAGACACAAAATATCTCAAGATGGTTTTCGATAATATTGACGAGCTTTTTGCTTGCAGTATGAATGGAGGAATATGTTGGCTGCTTGGTCTGCTTAGAAACCCATTCATGCTTGAAATAAGCCAAGATGTGTTTGAAAAGGTTGCAAATGTTCTATTGAAAGCTGCAGATACAATGAATATAAGAAAGATTGCGTTGAAATGTCTTGCAATGCTAGTTTACAAAACAAATACAAACCATTACATAGATTCAAATGATTCTGAATGTATTATAAATATGATTAAAGTATCTAAAGAAACATATTATGTGTTTCTGAAGTATCTTTCAGTGCTTGGAAAGAAAGTTGAGACGAATGGTATTCTAAAAGACGATTCAGTCAGTGTTAAGATGTCAAAGATAAAGATAATGGCAAGTAATCCATGTGTTGAGACACTCAAGGTATTTTTTGATTTGCTAAATGAAAGCGATACTCGATTAGGATGGGTACTGTGTAAGTCTTTTGTAAAGATTTGTATGCATGCTGACATGTCTATGGCCATCTCTGAGTTGAAGAGCCGTTGTAAGGTGATATTTGCAAATGAAAGCAGTTGGATAAATATAATGACGATTCTTGGGATGCTTGCACTACATGGTGAGGATATTGGAGATGTGTTAGATATTGTGATTGAAGCTGGAATGTATAACAATCAATTTGTTCACAATGCAGAGATGATGCGTGAAGCATCGTTGTTTTTGGTGTGGGCAACTGTTAGAGGAAGCTCAACGTTTGACAAGCAGCTTGTTTGTTTTTCCGCTGCACGTGCATTGCTTGATGAGTCTTTATCGTGTAGGAGAGCTGCTGCATCTGTTGTTTTGGAGTATGTCGGAAAATTTCCTGCACTGATAGATCAGGAAATTGTATCTTTGATAAATTTCCATTCTGTAAAGAGGTTATCAAGCTGTTCTAATGTAGTTGGAAAGGTAATGGAGCTGTTACAAAGCCAAGATATATTCGAAAGGTGCATTTTAAGAAACATATTCCATTCAAGTATTGAAGTGAAGGAGCAGGCTTGTTATTGTATTTCAAGTTTTTTTGATGCAAAAAATGCAGTATGTAGTATTATTCGAACCAATATCACTACGCCATCTGATTATATAGGTGTATTTGTTCTAGTAAGAGAGTTTTTCAAACAAGACAGGGATGATGAAGTAAATGAGATTGTAGAATTGATCTGTAATATAAGGGTAGATAGTAACTTTGCAAAGTTTAAGGAATTTGAAGTGTTTGTAAGCTTGTATGTAGAAATAATAGAGCATGTATCTGGTATTATATGCATTAATGATATTGGAGATACAGAATCTATTTTTGAGAACGTATATATGTTTCTTGTCAAGAATGTTTATTCAATTGGAGTGTCAAGGATTGCTTGGATGCTTATGAAAAGTAACAAAAGATTTGCAGATCGAATATTTAGGGCAATCAACAGATGTAATGAAGGATTTATATTAGCGAATGCAAGGAACGAAATACATATGGATAAAGTAGAGAAACAATACCAAGAGTGGCTGAGGCACGGATCAATTGATACAAAGATACATGTGATGAAGGCAATATGCTTTACCGAATATTTTGAGAAGTATGAGGAGCACGTACTTAATGGCCTTGAAGATTATACTACAGACTTCAGAGGAGATATTGGCGCAGGCTTACGGATGCAAAGCCTTGTTGTGGCATTTATGGCTATGAAGAATGATATACCAACTAGATACTTTGTGAGATACTTTGTGGGAAAGTCAAAAGTATTGAGAGATATGTGTGTGGCAATGTGTAAGGAATGCAGAATTTTTGTATCTGGATTTGAATACATCCGTCAAAAGTCAGTGTATATTAGTTGTGCTGAAGCATCTATTTATAATAGTCTTTCTGCAATAAGGCCATTTCTTGATGAATTCTACAAGGTGTTTACAAATCTTTTGATTGAATCAGACAAAGGGAACGATGAGATGATATACATGTCCTTGATATCAGCATTATCTTATCTAGATGGCTCGCACCACAAGGAGTTTGTATATGGAATAATTGAGGCGTTTGGGTCTGTAGATGCATCAATGTGTAAAATGATTTTAGAACACGCATTTGAAATCCGAGAGAAACTTCTTCCATGCATAACACAAATACTTAGAGATAACACACACTTCAAATGTGATGGTTCAGATAGTATAACACATAATGTGCAAAATAATATACTCAGGAGAATAAAATGGGCCACCGTTGAGATGGTTGTTGGTCTTATTCAACTTGAAATAACCTACAACAACCCTATTTATATCAATAATTATGAACTTATCTCAATGGTATCCTTAACTACAACCGATCCTTTTATTCCATTAGGCTTGAATAATGCAATTACTCAGGTTTTACAGATTCATAAATAATTCATAACAATAAAATGCTAATAAAACACACATTTGGAGCAAATAATAGATTAAGCAATTCGTTTTAATATAAAATATCAAGCCTTACATGCCTTATAGCATTCCTCTAAGCTGTGGCTTTGCCTTACCTTTTGTTGTGATTCCCTCCACAGCATTGCCCACACATCTTGCACCCCCGCACTTCGAGCATTTCAGAAAATAGAGTCTCTTTTCTCTTACAATTTCAGTGTCTTCAACATTCTCACATATCTTGCATACCACGAAATGCTCAATATATCTTCTGAGAACCTCCTGTATCTCTGATCTAATAAACATACCCTTTATAAGCAGCTTGCCATCTTTGTTCACAGATCCAGTTGCCATCAACTCATTGGATATGAAACTCACCAAGTGCTCCACCGATCTGTTAAGTATGTTTGCTATTTCCACTATGTTTATTGATGTCTTTCTTGCTTCTCGTTTTACATCCAGCGGTAGCTTTATTCTTGTAGACTCGCCTTGATCCTTCCCTTTTTTCAAGACAGCCATCGCGCACTTAAGTAAGGTTTCGTATTCTAGCTCAGTTGGTATTTGCTCTACATGCTGGGATGCATTTGCTTGTTGTTGTGCAGACTTCATACTCCTTAGTCTCGATTGTCTTTTTCTTGCAAATTCTTTAAGACTAGCATCTAGTTCACTAAACTCATCATCGCTCGTCCCAGACATACCCTCATAATTCTACAGAATAAAATATTTTTGTTCTACAGCTCTCATGAAGCAATATTTCATTTATACTTGATGTTCAGGACAAATACATTTATTATGTGCTTCTTACACATTATTATTAGACAAACATTTTGTAGTTATTCAAAGCAAAACTTCTGTATATCATCTGCACTCAGAAGGCTGCTTCCTGTTGCAATGCATTCTTGTGCCATTTCTCTGTAAAATCTCCTTGCAATTGCCAAAGCCATATCCACACTAAGATTGCAGTTTCCTCCTTCAATGCGCTTCTGGATCCACTTCGGTAGTTTGCCTTTTTTATCACTCCTCTCAAATCTCTCATCTGCAAGCACCATCAATCCATAGTCGTTCTTGTTCCTTAGTACACGTCCAAGACATTGAGCTGCATGCCTCATTGCATCAAATGTGAGAAACTCATACTCTTTGATGCCATATTCAAGCCTTAGAAACTCTAATCGTTTCTTCAGACGCACACTTTCTGTATATTGAAATGGAATTCCTATCATAACAACACATCTGCCATATCCGTCTTCAAAGTCAACACCCTCAGACACTTTGCCTCGGGCAACACTGAACAACATTGCTCCTCGCCCATTCTCACATGCTTTCTTGTATTTTGAGAGAGCCATTTCAGTCTCTTTGTAATCCGGTGTCTCAACAAACACAAGCTTGTTCTTACTGAGTTCGTTAATTATGTTCGTCTCAGCCCAAAGGCTTACTATTTCCTCCATATACATGTATGAAGGGAAAAAGCAAACCATTCCATCAGGAACAACCTTAGAAAGTTCCACAACAAGATGCCCATAGTTTCTTACAACTGAAGGATCTGATCTAAGTGAAAATGAAGTGGTCATTGCATCCCCATGGTTATGATCTGCACCATCTCCATCATCATTAAATGATCTCAATGTCATTTGATCATTTCCCTTTGTTATTATTAGAGGCGAGATAGAGTTTCTATCAAGAGTTGCACCTATTTCCACAGTTCTTGATGGTGCAAAGTTCAATATCTTTGGATATATATCTATAGGACTGAGTGTTCCGCTTGTTATTATCACATTCCTAAATTTTGAAAAAATAGGTGCCATTGCTATCGATGAATCCAGGCATGCCAATCGAAGAGTTGGATTGAATACTGTAGATGCCTGTGAGTCAAATGGTTCAAAAACCACGACAAATCCCTTTGAATACATAGAGACCATAGTTGACAGTTCAGCTACTGTCTTGAGATGTGCAGTATCCTCATCATCAACTCCAAGTGCCTGGCAAAGAATTCCTAGGCGCTGGGAGCAGAACATTAGTGTCTTCTTCTCCACAAATGCCAATTCCTTGATGCTTTTGCAAAAGGATTCTGTTGATTCTGTTGTAAGATGCATTGTCTTAAGCTTTGTTTTCAGAAATTCGGTTATTCGCTTCATAACAGACATAAAGTGGAATGAGTTTCTAAGATTCCCAGGAATATATTCATACTCACATTCTCCAGATGCATAAAAGTATGGAATAGTGCCTGAGATCGGCTCTGATAACTTTTCTCGCTTCTTTCCATTAAACACGTTAGAGAACATGTTGTCAGCTACGTCTCCTTTTTCTATCAACAAAGCTTCAAGATTCTTTGTTGCTCTTGATGCACCTTCTAGGACATTCCGCTTAATTTCAATCGACAATGCCTCTATGCAATGACTGTCTATGTTATGTGCTTCATCAAATATAACCACACAATCAGGACCAAGCTCTTTTGAGACAATAGAGTATATTCTTGGATCTATAAGGTAGTTGTATGTGTATACTATGCAATCACATGCAGGAATTGATCTTCTAACAAGATAATACGGACATATTCCTCGCCTCTCTCCCATTTCCTTCAGCTGATTGAAATCATAAACAGCCGCAGGAACTTCGTGGAAACCTTCAAGATTTTCATAAAAGTCGCATTTGGAATCAACCAGCTTGTTTATGAATGTTCTGCATGCAAGGTCTATGTTAAAGCTTTTTGTAGCAGCTTTGTTTATGCAAAGATTCCTTCTTCCTGTTAATCCCAGTCCCAGAAAACTTATAGACCGATATGTCTTTATGTATTCAATTACCCTGTCCAGTTCTCTCAGTGTCTTTTCTACTTCTGGAACAGTTCTCGAGCAATATATCACCTTAAAACTGACATTCTGCTCCTTCATGTAGAGTTGATAGCTTATTGTCATGCTGAGGAGAGCCACTGTTTTCCCTGTGCCTGACGGCATTTCTATCAGACAATGGCCCTTGTTCTCAAGACATCTCTTGATTTCCCTCATATACTTAAGCTGCTCTGGATACACAGATTCATATGGGAAATACACAGGAACGTCATCTATTGTGATTTTCATGAGGGTTCAATTCAACATATAGTTACATTCACGCGCATGATTGATACTTCGTTGAATTGTTCAAGCATTATAACTTTTGAATGCATATATTGCATAAATAATCGATTCCAAACCTTCCACAAATAATATAATAAGACATTTTGCTATTTATCAACAATTTATTTAAACGATCAAATGTAGATGTGTATTTTTGCAAGATCAGGTTCTATACTACACAGCCTTATCGGATAGTACAAGCCCAAGAACTAACCCTAGAATGCCGATCCCTGCTGGAATTATTTCCAGAAAAACAAGCTTGTAGAACAGTGATGGATCTTTCGAGTCCATCATTGTGATTATTGCACATATAATGCCGCTTGCAAGTGAGGAGCAATACGAACATACACCAGCTATGAATCCAGATGTGAACAATATGAATTGTCCTCCGTATGACTTGACCTCGTTCATCCTTATGAGCAGAAGATTAGACATGACTAAGCAGAAAAAGAAGTTTGCTTCACAGATAACAATTCCAAGAAGGGCTCGTGTTCCTACTCTTGGTGATTTTATAGATGCGCCTATCATGTACCTGCCGATTGACTGGTATCCCTTTGCAGTGCCTATTGATGAAAGTGCAATGCACATTACTATTCCAAAGCAGGAGAGGAATGGAGAGGTTCCTTGTAGAATGCTGTAGTTCAGATAATGCAGGGGGATGTATGCTCCGATCAGAAAAAATATTATCATCCACATCTTGTGGGGTAATAATGCTTGATTTGTTTTTCAGGATCCTGATGGAAACACAAAATTTAGACGAGGCATACAACGCAGTGTTGAACGAGGTAAACAAACGACGGCTTGGCCTTGTAGAAGATTCAAGAGGATATGCGGAGTCCAAGAGGATTTTTGAAAGAGCTGTGAAGGTTTCTGAAGAGCTCAAGAGGATGAGAACGGTATTTGGAAACAATGCATGAAGAGCATTTGGCATGGATTTATAGTGTTTTATGCGCACACTTACTAATGATGCATGCAAAATTTATGTGAACAGTTGATGAAGATGCATTGATAAAATGAAAATGCAATAAGTTATTGTAGTGATAGAGTGCTGATGCAGAGGCATGTAAACAGAGAATAAATGTGTTTCGAGTACGATTGTTATATTGGATGAAAAAATAGCCCTAATGATGCCTGTTTCATCGCTGCTCAAGAATGCATTGACGCCTGATGAGCAGCGGCTAATACCTGGGATATTGGTAAGCAAGATGGATGAGGAGATGCGTTTGTATGAGAGTGAGTGTTTGAAGAAGACGATAGAGTTTGAAAAGAAGGTTGAGAGATGCGAGGAGGTTATTGCGGATATGACGAGAAGGAATATAAAGCAAGAAATAGAGCTTACAGAGACGAGGAGGTTATTGAGCATGACTGAAATGCAAAGGGAACAGTGTTTTCAAGAAAATGCTTGTTTAAAAGGTGAGATAAACAGCTACAGAGATAAAACTGGAGACAGTAGTCAATATTTTGTAAAAGAAAGTGAGGTGGAGAAGTTAAAGAAAGCGTTTGAAGAGCAAACAGAGGAGATGAATAGGAAGTGTGCAGAGCTTGAAAGAAGCAATATACGACTTGCAGATAAGATTTTAGAGCAAAAGAAACAAATGAAGTATTTGGTGAATAGTTCTGAAGTGCCTGAGGCAAGTAGAGACAATCTAGAGTTAATAAAGTTAATTCAGAAGTTGACAAAGAGGAATGAAGAGCTTGAGAGATGGAGTGAGGTTTCTACAGATCGATCCAGAGTTCATGATGGAGCAGATATTAAGGAAGAGTATAAAAAGAAGTGTGATGAGCTCAATGAGATGAATAGAAGAGGATGTATGCTTGAGATTGAGTATAATAAGGTATTTAAAGAGAAAGGAGAGATGGAATCGCGAGTTGCCATCGAAGTGAATGAAAAGAAGATAATGCAAAGATACATGGAAGAGATGAAAGAAGAGATGATGTGTTTGAAGATTGAGCTAGGGAATGTGAAGGCAAAGAATGCGATACTAGGAGATGCATCATTGAGACTCAGCGAAATGAACAGTGAGATAGTCCGATGCAATCTGATAATGAAGGAAGACAGGAATCGAATTAGGGAGTTAAAATCACAGGTAGTTGAATGCGAAGAGAGATACAACAAGTATATTTTAGAGGAGAGGACGACTGTAACTGCGATTATTGGACGAGAGATTGAGGGGATAAAGAAAAGTCTTGGAGAGTATTCTGGATTGCTATATGGAATTGAATTGGAGCTTAAGAATGCATTTGAAGAGCAAACTAGATTTAAGAGGATGATTTTTTTGCAAGATGAGGAAGTGTCTCAAGCGAAGAAGATTGTAGAAGAGTATATTGATAGAGAAGGAAGGCTGAACTGGGAAATAGAGATGCACCGAGTGAATGAGAATAAAATGAGAGAAACAGTTTTGGCGATTGGCTGGGATATTAGAGATATGGCACAATGTATTGAGGACGTGTTAGTTGATACATCTGATGTGTGCTTTGATATTATGAATAGGATTGTGAAACGAGAGGATATGAAAAAAGGAATAATTAAAAAAATGTTTGATGAGGCAGAGAAGGTTGAGAATGAGCTAGCTGAAAGGGAAGCAAGCCTGTATTCGTTAATAGAAGGACGTGTTGATGATGCAATTGAATTTCTTGGTAAGGAAAGAAATATTCTGAAGCAGGAAAATGTGTTTCTGAGGAATAAGGTTGAAGGACTTGAAGATACGTTTGATCTTATGGATAAGATGACGGCACTAGAGAAGCAGAATGAAGGGATGAAAATGCAGATTGAATCGATGAGAAATCAAGAGGCCAATGAAGAAGTAGTTGTAACAATGCACAGGATGGAACAAAAGATTTTTTTATTGAAAGCAGAGTTAGACAAAGCCAATGAAGAACTTAAGCGCAGTAATGATGCAATAGAGAAATACAAGATTGTTGTTGAGAAACTAAAGAAGATTAAGGATGCGTATATCAAGCTTAAGGCCGAATGCTCTGAAAAGAAGTGTGTAGAAGAATGCATGAATGGAATGTATGAACAAGGTGATATAGAAAAATCGAGTGTGATTCCAAGCATAAAGGAAATGTATCTTGGGGAAGAGAATGTGAATAAGAGTAAGGAAGTAAATATTGAAAGGAAAGCTGATGAGATAATCACTGATCATGACATTTTAGGTCATGAAACAGCTGTGGAAAAAGAATCGCCACATGTAAGAGGCAGAAGATCCGAAAGGATCAATCACGGAGATGAGCCAAAGCAAGGCCATTATAGAAGATCTTATTCAGATAAGAAAAGAGGATGGAACACATCAAATGAGTTTAAGAAAACCAGAGATAGGAGAAATTAAAAGGCTTGATATCTAAGTGACAGAAGTTTGTGTATAAGATGTTTATTAAGCTTTTTAGCTGCTGTGGCATTGTATTAGAAAAAAATGGAAAGAAGTTTTCCAAATCCAATAACCATGCATGAGAAAGCAACAAAAGGAGAAAGTCTTTCTCCAACAACAGAAAACTTGCGAAGTACAGTGTAAATGCCCTTTTTATCTTTTGAAACCAACGAAGGGAAGTGCTGCTTTGCATAAGTTATTGTGCATACTGCGAGAACAAGCACTCTTACCAATGCATCTATGTTGAAGAGCGCAGACATACAAGGGTTAGCTCAATTTATTTGAATTGGATGGCATTACTTGTTCATAAGATTGATATTTTGATTATTAATCATAAATTAATTCATGTGTTGTTTTTATTAGTGTAACTTATATTTATTCCGACCTGCTTTTGTATCGCATAATTAGCTTAATGACGCTTTCCGACCCTTTTCTATCCATGATGTCTGGCAAATACTTTTGTATTTTCCTTGTGAACTCTTTCTTTGATTTATTGCAGTCTGTTCCTTCGTAGTATCCCTTGAGCATTTCCATTCCACCTTTTGATCTGATCCAGCTGGCACAGAATCGGGTTTTGAATGCTGAATTAACACTGTAATTATGGCCATCAGGAAGCTTCATAAGCTCACAGAGCATCGGTGCATATTTCTGCTTGAAATTGCCCTCAACTCCGCCAAATGTATTGAAAAGAATATCATCTGATTTATTCTCAAGATAAAAAGTATTTACTACCTGATCTAAGTTTGTATATGATTTTTGTTTTGCAAGTGCTTGTGCAAGTTTCATTGTTATATTTGAGTTTTTGTCGAATTCGTTGCGTTGAAGCTTAAGGAAGAAGTGATCTGCTTTTTTTGAATAATGCAGAATTAGCTCTCCAATGAAGTAGTTTCCATATTTATCTCTACAGAGATTCATTTCATTTCCTGCCACTGCATCAAAAAACATTTTCAACGTCTTTTTATTGGCAGCCTGAACTATCTTTTCAAAAAAATACGATGTGTTTGGATTGCATATGCTTTCCAAGCTAAAGTGATGTTTCGAAACCTCGTATATGACTGTTTGGCTTCTATAGCAATGCAGATACATCAGAAGTGTTACAAAGCTATCCTCTTTGGTCATGCTTGGTATCAGTTCAAGAACCGCATCTTTGAGTTTTTCCAGATGTCCTGGCATCAATGGATCGAATCGCTGTTCAATTCTTCCTTCTACAATCTTCTTGCCGCAGGCAATCTGGAACAGCTTCCTGATAACATGTGTGGCATTTGTATTCAAGAAGTTTTTTTGAAATGCATCTTTGGTGTTCAAAAGGCTAAAAAGTGTTACAGTGTCAACTTGTAATTTTTTGATGTAGATTGCTTTGAATACAACATCACAAATCACTTCAATAAATCTTGATCCAAGCTTTTTCTTAGACAGTGAGTCTACATCTAGCTTTTTTAGAAGATCAGTCACCTGTTGTACATTACTTTTCTTGACAATACTTTCCATTTGATAAGTAGTCTGTGAGTTCGACACCAGCTCCTTTTCAAATCCATTGATTTCCTGATACACGTTGTTCAAAACTTCTGGATCTGTGACGGTTTCCAAGTCGATGTTCTTGACATATTCAAGTACACTTTGCATTTGTGGGCTGTGATTTGAGACATGCATTGACTTGGAAAAGCATGAAAAGCGCAGACCCTGAATGAAGATAGAAGTTGAAGATATAGATCAGATTATGCAACAAATAACAAACATGGTTCCGCCAATGCACAAAGACGACCATAGGATTCTGAATGCTCTGAAAAATACAATTGAAAAGAATGTCACAGTCTCCAACTCGCACCTACAAGAATTGACTATTAAGAATGAGCAAAAGGAAGCTAAGATGATGTCTCTTGCGTTTTTGAGAAAAGATCTTCCACTTGAAGCCACAGAAGAGTTCAAATGTCATATTGATTTCATTAAAGAACAGATAGAATCAAAAAAAGAAGCATCTACATTGCAGCACAGAACACCTAAACATAGAGCCTGTGTTGAATTGAATGATACAATAGAAAATGAAATTAGAATAGCAAATGAAAATATTACAGCAATAAAGGGAAAACTTCAGAGGACCAAAGAAGTAGCTGAGGAAGCATTCAACAAATCATCGGGTAGATTTCTTAAACCACTTGAATATGCCGAGAAGTTCTTCAGATGCATTTGATGAGGATTAATGATTGTACTGTAGATTGTCCATTGATGAATGTATTTTGATGGAGTTTGAATAAACTATAATGCTGTATTTAATGTTTTAATTTGAATTATGCTGTATCCTCATGGCAGTTGATATATTGGTGAAGGGTTTAGAAATGAAGCCTGAAGAAATTGAAGATATAATGTACTGTGAGAATACAAAGATTCTGATAATCAAGGCTAATGGAAAGGAACATAAATACGCAGTTGAGAAAAGAGACGAGACATATATAATCAATTACAATGAAAGCCCTGTACTTACAAACAACTTAGCAAGAGAAGTCAAGGAATAATTGTAAAAAATAAGCTTAGTATGTAGAAGAGCTGCTGATTGATTTTAACCCTCGTCAATGAGTCGTACGTTCAACAGTCGTAAGAAAATAGAAGCTAGGCAAAGGATGCTGGAAGCCGAGGCTGAGAAACAAAGGAAAGAAGAGGAGTTGAAGGAAAATGAGCTTGAGAAATACTGGGCAATTGGTGCAAAGGTTCCTGGAAGGAAAGAAAGAGAAGATGAAAAACGAATAATGAAAGAAAAGAGAAAGCAAGAGCTTAAGGAGCTTTATGAGAAAGAAATGAATGGTTGATTAAATGTGTATTTTTATTTATTCTAAACAATCTCAAATGAGCACTTGGGTGTGATGCAATCAAAAAGATCTGAGGCATAGTCATACACATTATTGTTTTGTTTACACGCTATATTCTCGACGGCCAATCCAAGAAGTTCCTCGATCAATGATATGTGATTTTTGAGAAGAGCCTTATTATAGTTGCTTGCTGCAGACTCCAGCTTGTTTGTTAAATGATCAATGAAACCTGCAGTTGCATAGTACTTCCAGTCAGTTTTACAGGCAAGTAGATGCTTCTGTGCTTCATTGACTTTTCCAAGAAAAAGATTACAATAAACTCTTAACAAGTCGAGGACGTTATTGCTTTGTGCATGCAGATGTTCTAGAGCCTCTGCGTAGTATTCATAGTATATCAGAAGCGCAATGTATCTTTCTTGAACCTGTATCACGGGATTTATCTTCAAAGCTTGCTTGTAGAAAACAGACGCTCTTTCAAAGTTATTCATCCTGTGATACTCAACAGCAAGGTAGAGCGATGGCTTATAAGAGCCTATCATCTTTTTATGCGCAATTTTCAAACAAGAAATACTACTCTCGCATTCTTTCATTCCTGAATATGCCATACCAAGGTACATCCACCCCCTTCCATACTCACTATTGATTTGCACTGCTTTATAGAAACACCTTCTTGCTTCTTGGTAGTTCTGTGTCATCAGAAAAAAGAGTCCTAGAGATATGAATGAAAACTCTGAGCCTGGATACTTTTTCACCATGCATATACCTAGACTGAATAACAATGTTTCTTTTCCGCTCTTGTAGTATCTCTTTGCTTCTTTTAGCCCATACCATGGAGAATAAAAAGCAAGTGAATAAAAGTCAGGTTCAAAATAAGGATAGAATATTGCTTTATACACATCACGTATAAACAAATCATTACACTGATCAACAAGATAATTCAGTTCTTTTTTATCAATAATCCCTTCGTTCTTCATTCTTATAAGTGCCTCTATATTGTAACTATCGTTTCTATATGCTTCCAATAGTATTTCTTTGCGCCTAACATCATCCTTAGTTAATCCCTCAAAGAGCAAACAAACACTTGTTTTTGATATGTGTTCCGTACTGTACTTCACCAGTGGATTATTTAAGCTCTCATGCATTTCATTGCATTTTTTATCTTCAATCTCATTTTCTACAATTCCTTTTCCAATTTGGCCATACTCTGTATTCTTCTTTTTAGTTGAGTATTTACACTTGTAATAGATTATCTTAACATGACTGTATTTCATTAATGAATCATTCAACTCAATTATCTCCATGCATCTTTCATAGCAGCACATTGCATACAATGATCTCAACAACATAATGAGCGCAATATCGCTCTTGTCCCGTGTATATATGTACTCAGACAATGCCAGTGCTGAACAGTGCATTTCTTCATTAAGGTATGAATTCACAAGCGAGTACAACTTGTTTTCCATGCTGAGGGCTTTGCATACACACTTGTATTTAAAATATAGCACATAAGCTACTCATGCCTGTTTTCTAAATCACATAAAACTATTTATTCGAAAATTTTTCTTTGAACACTCCAGCAGGCAAGCTTAGTCTTATGTTGCTCCATGAATCCTGGATTGCAATTGCCTCATCTTTCATGCCTATGCATCCATATATTATCGATCCAAGCGGATACTTCTCCTCTCTCATCTCTTCATCAAGCATTTGTATTGAGTTGTTATTTGTAAATGCTATTTTGTTATCCAAGTATGACACAGATGTTATCAAGGCATAACTCTCAAACGTCTTGATCTGAGCAGAAAAGTGGTCTTCAAATGCAACTCTATAGACAGTATACTTCTTTTTTGCATCGAGACAATTAAGCATAGTAAAAACAATAAATGTGTCTTCATCGCATTCGCATGCTCCAATTATGTCTCCATCGACATCCAGCGTCCAGATATCTTTTGCATCGTTAATAGAATAAATTTTTTTAGAATGGCTCAGTATTATTACATCCCTGATCAAATAAACACATTCTTTGTAGTTATCAAATGTAATGCTTCTAACAACTTCACTTGAGTTTATGTTTATTAAAACAACCTCGTACTTATAGTTTTGAAGTATCATAAATTCATTTGTCATTATCAGTCTATTTGCAGGTTCATATTTGACTTTCCTTACACTTGCTTTTGCTTTCGAAGCACCAATAATTAGGTTCAGAATCCTTGTTTCTTTTGAATTCGAGTATGCGAGGCGTTTAAAATCAGGTGAAACACTTGAGCACAGTACATTTTTATCAACAGTAACTCTAAGAGGATGTCTGTAAGACTGTCTCCTGTATCCGATTGTTTCCATTGATGATTCAGAAAGTTTGAATGTTATCTTCCTGTTGCTAACCACACTTGATTCGTTATGCTTCAGCCCAGTTTTATTAGTTTTTCTATTCTTGTTATTGCCTCCCTCATTTAACAAGTAGAACTCAATGGAAGATCTGCAATTAATATAGAATTCCCTACCTATACTCGAAGCACCAAGCTCGACTGCTTTATGGAACACTTTGTTATCCAAATACTTGTTCGAAGTAGGCCACATAATGCTTAGTATTGTGTCTTTTCCAGACGTGACTATTCTGTCGTTATCCACAAGAATGTTCTTGACTTCAGCATAATGTGTGTCTATTTGATAAGACTTGATAAACTTCATCCCAGTCCTTGAGAATGCTATCACTCGCGAATCTGCGCCACAAAAGTGAAGCTTGTCATTAACATATGCACATACATTGAGTGGGCTTTGCCTTACTGCAGATGTCTGAAGAACAATACCAAGCTCCACATCGAAGTATGAAAAGCTTCCATCGTCACTCACACATGCATATGAGTTTCCAGATACATGGCATATCATATTTATTCTTTTGCGAGATGTGCGTATTTCACAAACTTCTTTCTTACCTTTTAGAGCCCTGATTCGTCCTTTCACATCACCCAAGATTAGTAATCCATTATTTGCAGCAAATATTGCAGTTGTTTCAGCTGCTCCATGATAAAAAACATTCGATTCGTAGTCTTTCCATTCATACACTGTCCGGCCAATTGAATAGTACACAGAACCCCATTTGCAATCAACCGATACTTGCCTGACATCAATTGCAAGTGGAAATCCATTGATATCTGAGCATGTTGCCTCAAGCGTGTGAATATTGAAAAAAACGAGCTTCTCACATTTAGTCCCACATACTACAACATACTGATCGATAAACTTACTGGACACAACCTTGTACTCGAATCCCATCGTGACATATGTTCCGAGTGTTCGAGAGTCTACCAACTCGATTGTTTTGTTCTTTCTGAATACCACAATTGTGCTGTTGTTTGAAGCCATTGCCACTATTGAAGATGGCTTTTTCGCGATATTCTTGAAGAGATTCAACTTCATTGTGAGGGATCAGAAAGTATTTTTATGAACGTTTGTACTGTTGTCTGATTATGCATGGTTTGTATGTGCATCAAATACTAGAATGATTTATGTGCACTTGATAGTTATATTGTGTAAGTAACGACCCATTTGATGAGTATGGATTGTGGAACAGTGTGTCCGATCTGTTTTTCAGAGTATACATCTGCTGGAGGCCACAGGATCGTTTCTCTTGGATGTGGACACTTGTTTGGAAGCCAATGTATCCAGAAGTGGGCAGGCAGAAAGGCTAAGATTCAATGTCCAATATGCACCACAATAACATCTTGCAAGCAGATTAGGCCAATATATGCATTGAAAGTTACGGCAGTTGACAATTCAAACGAGCAGATGCTATATGAAAGATTGCAAAGTGAGGAAAAAGTAAAAATGGAATTCATGGAGAACAACAAAAGCCTTTTGGCACAGATAGAGCAGCTCAAATACGATCTCATGATTGCAAAAAGCAAGGTTTTGAAGGATCCATGTACTGATTTGCATAGAAACAGAGAATTTGCAATTCTAACAGGCCTGAATTCGTTCGGCACATTGATAGAGTATGATGAGTCTGGATGTATTATGATTCTTACATACAAGCAAGGCAATGCAGTAGGCATACGTAAGTTTGGATGCTATGACTTTAGTAAAAAAGAGACTGTTTTACTTGGTGAATGCTCAGAAATACGTGCAATCGCAATGAGTCCTTTTGCAGACGGAGTTGGTTTAGTTGCTGTAGGCACGGTTTTGAATGTTATTAATATATACAGCGCAGAAGTTATTTTGAGATGTGATATTGAATGTGCAATATCAAGTATGTGCTTTGATGAAGAGGACAGAAACATGGTATATTGTGGAGATGATAGTGGATGTATACATTTTGTCTGCCTCTCACAGGCACTGGTGCTTAAAAGCATCAAAATATGCAAGACATCTATTCATTCGGTGTTTAAAAAGGCGATGTATGTGTTTGCATGTACATTTCATAATGCATATAAGGTTCTTTTTTCTGGAGAATGCATTAATTATGATCTAGATATGGAGCCTTATTCCATTTGTACAAACATGTATGGACGCACAGGCCGTGCTCTTTTTACACTTCGTGATGCGGATTTTGGAATAAGGCACTTTTTATGCTCCAGAAAGGAGGTTTATTTCAGGACAGGTATTAAGCAAATAAGAAGGCACAGAGACAGAATATATGGAGACTATCTGTATGTGTGCGATGATAAATACAATTCGATCAGAGTGATTGATATGCACTCACTTGAAGCAGTATATACATACACTTTCAGGGAGCAAGTCCTAGATTTCTGCATTACCAAATATTTAATGTTTATTCTAACAAGGTCTTTAGTCCATGTGTTTTCTGGAAACTATTCTTTCAAAAACAAAAGCCAGGTTTTTATTGATTAATGATTGTAATGAGAATAATGTAAATGTAATCTACGAATGCCCTTCATGGCCGATTCAAGTAATGTAAACAACATACGATGTTTGTGTGCAGACATGGTTCAGAAGGCTAATAGCGGACATCCTGGTGCACCTTTGGGCTTGGCACCTTTAGCATATATCTTGTATACAGAAGTATTGAATTTTGATCCTGATGACGAAGGATGGATTGGCAGGGATATTTTTATCTTGTCTAATGGTCATGCATGTGCATTACAGTATGTGATGAACTATCTGATAGGACGTTTGACTATTGATGATTTAAGAGCATTTAGACAACTTGGAAGTAGAACGCCAGGACATCCTGAACGAGGACTTCCGGGAATAGAATGCACAACTGGACCACTGGGGCAAGGATTAGCGAATGCTGTTGGATATGCAATTTCTCTTAAAAAGCTGAGTAGTCATATTGGGAATACATGCAAGGTATATTGTGTATTTGGAGACGGATGTTATCAGGAGGGAATAGGACAAGAATCTTTTTCGCTTGCAGCAAATCTAAGACTGGACAATTTGGTGTTGATTTATGATTTCAATAAAGTAACGATAGATGGACCTACGTCGCTGTCAATGAATGAAAACGTAGTGAAAAGATTTGAAAGTCTCGGATTTGTTGTTGAGGTTGTTTCTGGTAATGATATGAATGGAATGAAGAGAGCGTTGAAGGACATAACACATGGCATGCCAAAGGTGATTATTCTTGAAACTGTGATTGGATACGGAAGTGAGATGGAGGGTGATTGTAAGGTTCATGGCAGTCCACTGGGAGTAGAAGGTGTTTCAAAGCTTAAAGAGCGTCTTGGAATGCCATCTGCTGATTTCTTTGTTTCATCATCTTTGCTAGATAAATTCGATGAGCTTATTAAGAAAAAACGAGCCGAGGTTATTGAATGGAACAGTAAATCAGAGGCGATTAATAAGCTTTGTGATAGAGTAATGGATGTAAGTGACGAGAAGTTGATGTATAAATCGGTTTATGTGAGAAATGATGCGCAAAAGGCAACTAGAAAGCATTTCTCAGAAGCATTGTGTGATCTAAAAGACAATTCATATTTGATTGGCGGGTCTGCTGATTTGCAATCATCAGTATTAACAAGGATAGGAAGTAATGATTTTTCGCATGCCAATAGAGATGGAAATTACATCAATTTTGGAATCAGAGAGCACAGCATGTGTGGAGTTATGAATGGGATTTCATCCCACGGATATTTCCTTCCGTATTCAGGAACCTTCCTAAATTTTATTTCTTATGGGTTTCCATCGGTCAGGCTTGCTTGCATGGACAATCTAAATCTTTTCTATGTGCTGACACATGATTCAATAGGACTTGGTGAGGATGGCCCTACTCATCAACCAATTGAGGTGCTTGCCACACTTAGAGCAACACCGGGACTTATAACAATGAGACCGTGTGATGGATTAGAATGCAGAGCATCGCTGATGATTTGTTTATCACGGCCAGGACCAAAGGCTGTAATACTTTCTAGACAAAATGTGCCAGAAATTGCAGACACGAGCTTTGAGAAGGCAGAAAAGGGAGCGTACTTCCTTGTTGAGAAAGATGAACCTGATCTGATATTGCTTTCAACAGGATCAGAGATTTTGATTTGTTATGAGATTATGAAAAAATTATCACACATCCGGATTTCCATTGTTTCGTTTTTTTCATGGGAATTATTTGAGCTGCAAAACGATGATTATAAACGACATATACTCAAGGATGTCCCAAGGATCAGTATTGAGGCAATGAGCACATTTGGATGGACGAAGTACGCAGATATGCAGATTGGTCTCGACTGTTTTGGTGCGAGCGGAAAATATAAGAATGTCTATGAGCATTTTGGACTGGATTGTAATGCGATTTGTAACAAGATAGTTAAATTTTTGAATAAATAATTTGTTTTAATGAGTTTAAGGGATGAATTCATCAACATGTGAAAATAGACAATGTGTGAGGAAAATACTTGAGTATTTGGAAAGCAGAACAGATGTGATTCATTCATTAAATCAATTCAGAGATATGATGCGTGTGAATTATGACAATAAATTGACTGTTCTAGTATTGCAAAAAGTTCATGGGCTCCTTCATAGCGAGTGCAATATTGAATATGTCAATATACTTATGGATATCGTACATACGGAAGATGCATTTGATGAAGTATTCAAAATTATCCAGAGTTTCGGTGATAAAGCAGAGTTTACAGAGCTTGCATTCAAACTTCGAGATATAAATGAGCTAATCGTACTGAAATACATGAAAGAGTTCAAGAAAATTCATTTACTTCGTGAATTTATTAAAGAAATGGACAAGAGATACGATGCTATCTTAAGCTCAATAGACATCAGCCAAGAGTAATCTCAAATGTTGATGCTAAAGTTTTTTCTGTAGAACTCTATAAGCTTTATAGAAACACGATCTTTTCTATTTGCCAGTTCATTAAGCATTATATTTTTGTTTTCAAATTGATTATCTTCCATATGCATATCAGGCTCCATATTTCCTGGGTATTTGCACATTGATTATGTTGCTTGAATGATATATTGCAATCTATATTACGCCTTGATCATCTATCATCTGACTCAAAATCCTCAAATCCAAATCCATTGCTAAGAAGGTATGAAATGTTGTCCAATCTGCTTTTTAAGCCTGTTTTCGACACAATCTCTTTGAAATCATCTACTTCTGCTCTAGCAGCTGCACTCTGGATATTGAGAAAAACTGCGAGTTCCTTAAGTTCGTTTTCAATCTCATTATCAGCCTGAATAATTTTATGAAGACTTTCTTTGATTGCTTCAAAGCTTTTTGTACTTGAATTATCATTATTATGTGTTTTCACCATAGATGGAATCTTTTGAACTTCGTTGAGTGAGATTCTCTTGATTGCATCAAGTGTTTTCTGAGCTCTTAGTGAAGTTTCCTCAAACACTTCCAATGTTACTTCACATAGCATATCCAGGGCACAAGGTTCAATTAATCTACACATAGGAATCTAAACATTATTTTAATTAGATGACTGATGATTGGATGCATTATTCCTGTTTAGTATCACTATCATCTTAACACACACCATGACTACAGTACCTATTGTCACTGCCAGAATAAACAGGTTCATCAGCCAGCTATCTTTCTTAAAATCCAAATCACGAGGTGACGAAAAACACTCCTTGATTGCCTTGATAATCATAAGAAGACCCACTGGGTATAGAACACAGTACATGTTTTGACTGTGTTCTATGATGTTATTAATGTACATATGCCATAACATAAAAGTTATCAGAATCAATAGCACAGCAATATCAGTAATTAAATCAAATACATCTGCGTATACATATCTTATTGAATCAAATTCAAAATCGCATATTGAGTAAAGAAAGCAAAGTACGGTTGCAGGCAGAAGGCATGACTGGAACATCCCAGAGCATTTATTGTAGTCTTTCTTAATGCACTGGATTGCTGCTTGAATCATAATAAAGCCAAATATAAGAACATATGGAATTATACAAGTAGCATATGAAAAAAAACCACATTTACCGTTTGCTTTCATTAACTTCCAGTTGTTCTGCAAATAAAACACAGACATTGCAACAGGATATATAGCAGCAACTGAAAGCATAGCCAGCTTCATACCAATGTTCGTATCGCAATTTGCTTCTATGAACTCCTTTTGAAACATCATGATAAAAAATAGCAAACCAAGAGATACAATAATCATGGCACATCTAATTCCTTTTGGAAAGCATTTCAGCCCAGTACACTCTTTATTTGTGTCCATGCTCTTTTTTGGTTTCATGAACTTAAGAATGTTTTTCATTAGGGCTAAGTGACAAAACAATATGTCATATAGACGAACAGTTTTGCGCATTTGGCATATAAAATAAACATAGAAATATCGAAAAAAAACATAGAATGTAGTATATTTATCAATTATATAACGCATGATGAGGCATACGATTTATGCTCGAGCAATCCATATTTTACAGATTAATGCCATTTTTGGAAGTATATACGTTAGAAGGAATATTAATAATCATAGACATTGCACGTATATAGGATATAATCTGAATAATTATTGGGAGTATAATGCACAATAATACGAAGATAAGCATGCCCATAGAATGGCAAAAAATAAAAGTATGAGTTCAATAGGAATTGCTGTAGCAACACGATTAAAAAAAGGTTTTAGTAATAACCCTAAAAATATCCTAAAACAATGTTTCATTAAAATAGCACAAATCGATCTAAAATTATATAATTATCTGGTTGCAAATAAAAAAAATCCTGAATTAATGGAATTAATGAAATCAAGATATAAGGCATTGGATAGTATTTATAAGAATATCGATAGTATTCGTGATGAAAATAAAGATGCAATTATTAAAGAATCTATTGAAAATACATTATTATCAAAAAAAATAATAAAAAATGAAAATGTACCGACTGAATCTATTCTTAATGGTATAAAAGATGCATATAAATCAAATGATTTAAAACCGAAATCTTATGAATATTATAATGAATCACTTAACATTCATATAAAATATGATAAAGAAAAAAAACAAATTACAAAATCTAGTATTAAAAATGATCAGGAAGAATCGAAAACGGAGTCATCGGATCTAGAGACTCATCTTATCAATCCACAAGGTGAAAACAATGCAAAAGAACATTTTCATCAAACAGGTCAATCATCTAAAGATGGTTCAACTGATCTTGTTGATAATGAAGGGTCAGGAACTTCCACCTTACTTGCGACAAAAGCCCTCAAAGATGAAACTAAAATAGAAGAGAAACATGCAGAAGCAATAAATACATTGACAGAGAATCATCAAAAAGCAAAACCAAATGCACCAAATAATGAACCTAAAATAGAAGAGAAACATGCAGAAGCAATAAATACATTGACAGAGAATCATCAAAAAGCAACACCTCTTAGCAATCCAGTTGTTTTGCCAGCTAAAGTAGAAAAATTAAATAAAAGTAGCGATAGAACACCAAAATCATCAAGCCCAACAGAACGGATAGACTTATTGGATTTAATCGGCTATTTTGTGTGTGGTATAATGCTACTTATGGGTGTTGGATATGCAGCAGGAATAAACGTAAGTAATAGTGGAGTAAGGGCATCTGTGTTTGTAATATCAGCGATCTTACCGATTGTATCAATTGTACTTTCATTTAATAGCATGAAAGTAATCCAGAATGAGAAAAGAATCAAGGTTTCAGCAGCTGTGGCACTGCCTGCTGTAAGTGCAGTATGTGTAATGATAACAAATTTATACGTGTATTTGATCAATATGAACGTAATGTCACTATGTGAACTACTTATTCATCTTTCAATGACATTGCTTGTTGTGATGAGCATGAGCGTGTGCATATGGCGAGACGTTTATGATGAGATGTTGATGTGTGGAGTGAATGTGTTAATGATTATTGGATATGTAATACGTAGAGCATGCATAAATGGGAGTGATGTAGCAATGAAGTTGAAGAATGTAGTGGAGATAGGATTGGTAGTGATGCCTATATTAGCTTATGTAATGATGCAGGTGTTTAGAAAAATACAGAAGAATAAGAAGGAAATGAAAGAAAAAGTACAAAATGAAGTACAGCAAGGAAATAAAAATGAAGATAGATGGACGAAGATAAGAATGATCGTATCATTTGTAGGAATGGTAGGAATGACATTTGGATGGGTGCTATCCAGTTCACAGAATGTGAGTGTGAATAATGTAGCTGGTTATGCGTGTGAATTAGAAAGTACGTAATAGGAATAATGAAAGTATTTATGAGCTGAGATTAGGATGATAATAAAATAGATGAAATATAATGTGTTTATGTAATACAAAAGTAAGAAGGTGTATGATGAAAGTTTTACGATGTTATCATGAGTTCATCATTACATTGTATTGGCTTATGTTGTTGTACTACTTCATCCGCTTTTTCATATTTATTTCCAATTAACTTATTAATATCCTTTATAGTTAAATTTAAACCAAATATCATTATCCCAAGTACTATCCATCTTATAGAAGGTTCGAAATTTTCTTTGTTTTTTATAAAATCAAACATTTCTTCATCTTTCAATAAATCACTTCCTTTTGATTCTTGGCTTACTGGCTGACTCTTATCTACTAACCGATTCCCAAGATAAAACTACTGGAAATTTTACGTATACGCTTATCTTCACCATCAATAATAAGTTTGCATTCATTCAAATCACCGCCACTTAGATTTCTAGTATGATATAAAGCGCACGCCAAGTTACAAATGAACTCAATCACGTATTTAAAATTAATTTCTTGTTGTAGTACTCTCCACTCTTTCCAAACAATGGATTCAATAGGTTAATCAGTTCAACCATACTAGTCGTTTTTTGCAAACTTTCTTCCGTAATTCTATTTTGTGTTGACTTATTATCATGTTGTATTTTGCATATTAATGGTATAATACAATCTTTCCATATCAACATTAGGTTAAATTTATTATTACCTTGTCCATCTTGTGCCCACCATGCATGTATTATCTTATAAATTCTATCATATTAAGCATCCATGGCAACTTTCTTCAATATTTTCAAATCAATACGGCTCAGTTTTTCAAGTACTTCTTTATCTATACTCTTAGAAAATATATTCATCAACATCAATGTACGTCCTAAATCATTTACCTTATTTTCTTTACTTTTTGGTTCCTGGGCTGTGATTGCTTTTGCTATACGCTCCTTCATATCTATAGATAAATTACCTTCTGATTTTACATTAAACATTGTGTATTCAATTATTAAGTTAAGCAAATCATCTTTTGTATATTTTATAAATATTTCTAAATATTTATCTTGATTATTCAAATTCTTTTGTTTTTCTTTATCGTCTTCTTCATATTTATCTTGACTATTCGAATCATCGCCTTGAGCTTTCTTCTTTGAATCATTCAATGTATTGCATATAGCATTCTTATTGTCATCTTTTATTAGTTCTATATCACTATAATTTTCGGCTGATATTTCCCAGTATCGATAATTATATAACATTTCCATCATTTTTTCAGTTGAGATGCACTTTAAAAATATCAAATGTGACTTTCCTCCTTTCTTTTTATCTTCAATACTTCCCCCTGTATAGACTTAATACATTCTTCTAATTCATTTTATTAAGCATTTCCTTTATCAATTCAATCATTTGATCATCATCATCTTTATTCATTGTTCATTGTTCATTGTTCATTGTTCATTATTTTAATCATTGTTTGATTTGAAACTAAATCTGCCATACAGTATTTCAGATAATCGTTGTTTTTTAGCATTCGCCACAATCGAACCACATCATTTTCATTATGCACATTCTCTCGTATTGTGTTTTTAATCGTTTTCATTTCATTTCATCTCTATCAAAATCTTCACTTTTAAGTATTTCCCCCAGAAATTTAAGAGTGTCTTTTAATTTAATCGTAGGTCCTGTAGGACCTTTTTCATTGCTTTTTATTGAATGCTTCCAACACCCGTCATCTGCATTAATGAAATATTTACTTATACGATTGTTTTCGCATAAAATACTCATTTTTGTTTTAAGTATCATGACTTTTTCTGTAAACACATCCCCATGCGATTCTATTATATCATTCTTCTCAATTGCCCTCAATCTTTTTACTTGATTCTTTGTCATATGAAATGTATTATCTTCTATATTCCAAGATTTATCACAATATGTGCATTTATTCTGATTTGCTTTATTTGCAGATTCTTCATCTAAAATTTTATATAAAATTTGCTTATCTTCATTACTAAACATCAATAGTACGTTTTCAAATTCCATCTAATCAACTAAGGTATTTTTTAAAGTATCAGAATAATTCTTTCTAATCAATTTATATACGATGACTTGTTCTTTATTAGGATTTTCCTTTATAAGCTGCTCATCTAAGATATTTTTTTGTGAATCATCAGAATCCTTTTCATCATCATAGTTCAATACGAAGTAAAATTCTAATATTATATTCGGTAATAGCATTTTAGATACCATGTCTTTATTTACATGCAATGGTATATGTTTAGTACTCAGCACTATAACCATACTATTCTTATCTATTTTCTCATTAATTATACCTATCTTTTCAAAAAGACAAAGTTTTCCCCAGATCTCTATTATATTAGAAAACGCTTTATTTATCTTAGGATCTTTATTTACTAATTCAATAAGTCTATTTTTCTTTTTTTAGATTAGTAGTTGATTAATATAAAATGTCCTTATAAATGTTATCCATTATGTTTCTCATCTCTTTTCTAATAGATTTTATTGCCTGATTATTATTTTCAGTTGCATTCTTTTCTGAGATTCCAGAGTGTTTTATTCTCAGTTTTATAACACTTGGTGAATTATTGGCCAGAATTTGTATTCTGTCTTTTGCTCGGGTATCTTCTTTGCTATTTTTATCATTTTCTTCTTTTTCTTTGTTAAATAATTCAAATAGCACATTTTCATTCATTTCATAAGCAAAAACATCCGTCTTATCACTAATAGTTTGTAGATCTAGAGACATAAATGTTTCTGCATTGATTGCGCTTATGATCTTGCTTAGTATATCCAAATCATTGCATATATTCCAAATCATTTGGTTCTATTAGACTTACATAATTTTGGAATGGCTTACTTAGATCATTATGCCATTTTTATATAATTTTATAAATTCCAAGTAATTTTTCTAGGTTGGATTTGCTTCAGTTCATCCATTGTAGGGCAATCACCTTATGCCTTATTATATTCATCTATTGCCATATTATTAAATTACCTTGCTTTATTGAAGACGCTTGTGATTTCATCTATCAATCATTACAACCTCATCTCAGTTCATCAAACTCATAGCATACCTCAATCTCTACTCTACATTATATCCATACATTTTCAAATCAACTTGTTATCAAAACCCAATAATTATAACAGCGTATTCAATAATCAGTTCATTATACTCAATAATCATAACAATTAGCTATAACAATTTCATTTATTATTCTCTACTTCTCAATTCATTCTCATTTCACAACTAATCAATTTACTTTCATTTCAGCAATTAATTCATTCACCTTGTTCATTATTCACCATTTAATTCATTCACTCATGAGTGACTTCACCAATTCATCAACTCGCTCATTCTCCCATAGAATACTGCCTCGCTTTTGCACAAATCCAATCAGCTTTTCTTTGAATTCATAACTCAACGTCTTTCCCTTGCCTTTGATTACAGCCTTTCCGTGTGAAAGCATTGTATCAACTCTGTTACTTGTCAGAATTCCACAACACTTACCTTCATCAAACACTTTTTTGCGTCTTTCATATAAATACTGCATTTGTGATCGTACACATCCTACCACACTCACATCATCTTCAATCGGATTCAGTTGTTTATTCACCTTGTTCATTCGCTCAATGATCTTTTCAACAATTCTTGTACTCTCAAGCATCGTTTTCTGCATGTCTTTACCAATCTCCTTCTTTATTTCACTATACTGTGTTGGATTAGTATGTAGAAATGTAATCTTATCAATCTGCGTTTGTATCTTCTTCAACAGGCACTTCGTTGTGTCATTCATTAATGCTGTTCTATTGTTCTGTTCATTCATATCCATGTTCAGATGGCCCAAATAATTCTGTTTATGTATTACAGAATAGCTAGGATGGACAAGCTTGCAAAAGACATTCTTGAGTGGGCACTAGAACTAACAGTCAATGACATCATACCATACTCAACATGTAATTTGTTAAAAGTATCAAAGAAACGTGTATTATGTAATAGAAAGAACAATATATTCGTTTGTTTTGCTACACAATCTCATTCATCTACTGAGCAATTCCTAGTTAATGATGAAAGGAATATATTGAATGATGAACAATTCCTAGTGAATAATGAACAACATAGAGTTTTTCATAAACATTCTAGATCACATTATGAGTCGTATTCTACACCAGTTGGTTTCATAATGTTCAGATTCACAAAAACAGTAATGTATGTATTCGAACTACATGTTGCTCAATCACACAGGTCACTTGGTATCGGATCAATGTTACTGCTTCAAAGCATACAAGAATATGCTGATAAAATATCCAGAATAATTCTGTATGTTCATAAGAAAAACATAAGAGCACAAGCATTCTACTCAAGAAACGGATTTATAATCAATCGTACATACAAAAATCAATTGTTCCATGAAATGGTGTTTAATAATCTACAGAAACAATACAAGCATCAACAATCATCCAACTGTAATTCTACTACTCAATAAAAAACTCTTTATATTCATCATACTCAGGTATTCATCAACATATTAAGATTATGATTCATCATATACACTTACATCTTACATATCTACATTATCAGTAAACTCTCAATCATTTATTTACTTTTATTCATTTATGATCTACATTACTCAATAATATCCACACATCTCTCAAATACACTATAATCAATTATTCGATACTTATTTATTATTAACTAATACTTTTATATACATTCTCATATCACTTTACTCTTGCATTATTTCATTGCTCGTTTCATTATTCTTATTCATACCCATAACCTGTGCTATCCATCCACTCAATATCATTACACATGTAAATCCAATCAATATCACATTCTTAGTCATTATACCTTTACCATTCCCATTCTTTTCACCACTCTTCTTACTCTCGTTATTCTTACCTTTATTAATCTTAGGATCTATAATCACCACTATACTTGTTATTATCATTCCTACACTTATT